CTGCGGCTGCTGCTGCTGCTGCTGCTGCTGCTGCTGCTGCTGCAAGGAGCCGCCAAAGTTGGCGCCGCCGGTACCGGCGCCGGGAGGAGGCGCGTTGCTATTGTAGTTTCCGAGGATGCCGCCTGGGCTGTGGATCGGATTGTTCGTCCGCGAGGCGACGGGCTGGTGGATCGGGATGGAGCCGGCCGAGCTGCTGTGATGAGGCGCGGCGGCCGACTGGAAGCGTTCGTTCGGTTCGCGTTCCCGGTCGCTGCGCTCCTGATCGCGACGGGCCATCTCCTCGTGCTGCTGGATGGCGCGGTGCCTCTCTTCGATTTCGCGGTCTCGATCGTATGGCGTCGCGCCGCTTCCACCGTGGGGGTGTTGACTATTATTCATGCTCTTCTCATTCTTTCGAGATGGCGTGGTCAGACTCGGATGGCAAGGGGTGTTTTTGGGTGTTGACCGTCCCCGGTGGGTTGGGGGGCTGTCATCCGTCCCAGGCATTCCCGTCAACGTAGATGACAGCCCTCGCAGGACGACGCGCGCCATGCGCAAGGTTTCGCGAGGAAAGAAAGGACAGCCGGGGCTGGGTCGGGGAAGACTGGGTTGGAAGGCTATATTGCAGGCCAGAAGGGATCAGGACTTACAGAAACATGAGCCGGGTATCATGTGTGCATCTGAAAGGAAGCGGGAGAAGAGGGAGGGAGAGAGGTGTAGGGGTGATGAGAGACGCTTGAAGGAAGCTCTCAGAACAGTAAGAAGTAAGGATATGCGAGAGAGGAGGCTCCCTTCCTCCGTCTTGGTCTCTGTCGTCTTGCTGTTTTACCCTCTGTTGCGAGACAAGGTGAAGGGGAAAGCAAAAAAAAAAAAAGACCCCCCGAAAAAAGAAAAAGAAAAAAGTAAAAAAAGAAGAAGGAGGAGAAGAAGGAGGTGCGAGGGTGTGACTGTAGAAAGTTGTTGATTGTGAAGGGGTCCCTCTCTGCTTTGACTGGTCGCTTTGGCTGATTGCTTCGGCTGGCTCTGTCGGACTGGCTGGGCTGGCTGGGGAGAGGCGAGAGGCGGGCGAGGGCGGGCGAGGGCGAGAGCGGATGTGACGAGAGAGAGTCACTGGGATTCGTCCAACATAAGCTGGGCTACCTGCGATAATCTCATCACGTGCTGATAAGATGCCTCAACTCAAAACTCTCATCTCCGTAATCTTGTCCTCTTTTTTTTTTTTTTTTCTACCTTGCGACGCTAAACCGTTCGGTATCTCAGGGGGGGGGGGGGGGGAGGGGTCCCGTCAATTCCACCATCATTTCCCCCGTAGATCCGCCTCACCGACTGCCCGATTTGGATGTGGGGCATCGTCAAAGGAACTCGTCGATTATCATTCACGATGGATGATTATTCTCTTACGATGAATGTTGCTCGTATGAATGTATAGTATCTCATCAGTCAACCATCAATCAACCCTTGATCCCTTTCCCTCCTGTAACCCATCTGGCCTCGGATATACCTAGCCTCAGATCCCTCTCAGGAACATTACGTGCTAGTAGTCCATCCCTGATTCCTCCATAACACGTCTTCATTAAAAAAGAAAGAAAGAAAGAAAAAAGAAAAGGAGAAAGATTCATCCCATCCCCTCCTCCCCCCTCCCCACCCCCTCCAAAAAAAAAAGAAGAGGAGAGGAGGGGAGGGGAGGGGAGGTGAGAGAACCGCTGATGATACAGTGTCTGTCCGCAGAAGAACTCTTCACGCAAGGACTGTTCGCAGAGCGCGGCAGACCGTCCCGACACCCCGAGGTGCCCTAAGGAGCGGGTGGTGACTGTGACGGTCCAGGTTGGGATCTCCTGACGATCTTGATCTTTGGCCGTGCCGCGGGCGCGGCCGATCCGGGCGCGGCCGACGGCGTCGGCGGCGCAGCGGGACTGCCAGACTTCCTCGCCACGGCGGAAGGCGTAGACGGCTTAGGCACGGACGGCCGCTTCGGCAGTCCCCCGGACCCCGACGTCCCCGTAAGGTGAGACGGCGTCGGCGACGTGGACGGACCGCTGCCCGCGGATCCGATCTTGGGCAGAGGTTTCCTGGCCGGGTCGCTCATCGTGCTGGGCAGAGGCTTGCGCATCGACTTGGCCAGGACGGATTCCTTGGCGAACCCCCCGCCGCTGCGTTCGGGCGTGCCTTCCTTCTTGGGTGTGCTGTCCCGCCTGAACAGGCCGGGCAGGGCTTTCCTGTTCGGCCCGTCGCGGGAAGACGACGACGAGGACGACGTCGACGAGGACGAGTGCGGAGGCCAGGGACGTCCGAGGGCCAGCGCAAGCCTCTTCGGGCGCGTCTTGAGCGTCACCATCTTCCTCCTGCGCGGCGGCGCGCTGCCGTGGCCGTTGGTCTGCTGGTGGCTGGCCGCGTCCGTCCTGGGACGCTTCGCCGCCGACTGCGAGCTGCCGCCGTCCTTGTCCGGGTGGGGGCGCTTGGCAGATGACGACGACGGGGCTGGCGGCACGGCTGTCCCAGGTGCAGGCGGTGCGGGCCTCGACACGTCGACGCTCGGCTTGCGCGCCACCGACGTGCCTGCAGCGCTTGGCGGGTTCCCGGTGCCGGCACCGCCCGGCAGCGACGGACGCGACGTCTTGAGCTTGATGGACGGTGCTCTGGGGAGGGACACCGGCCGCTCCGGGAGCGGAGGTGCTGCCGTGCCGGTGGCGACGGCCGGTTTCGCGGTGGGAGCAGGAGGGCCGATGGGACCGATCGGGCCGATCGGTACGGTGGGGACGGTGGGCGCGACGGTGGGCGCGGCGGCGGGCGCGACGACGGGCGCGGCGGGAGCGGTAGCGGCGGTAGCGGCGCTCGGGGCGGTAGGGGCGGTGGCAGGCGCGACCGTGACCGGCGCGGGGACTGCGCCGTAAGGGTCCCTGGGCTTGGTCCTGAAGTAGGACTTGAAGTTGACCATGAGCTGGAGTGGGTGGTGAGTAGCAGAGCAGTGTCAGCATCAAGATCGGCCTTTCCCGTCAGAGAGTACGTGCGCGTCGGGCGCGTGCAACTTACCCGACCAGGCATCTGCTGAGCGGACCTGTCGGCCGCCCAAGCCTTCGGCAGGCTCAACGTGACGACCCAGCTCTGCGCCTCCTCAAACATCATGGCGGCGAGGTCGAGCAGCGACTCGACATCCGCGCGGCCCAATCCCTTGTGATCCAGGGCCTTCCGCATGGCCGTGAGATACTGCCGCTCGTCGGCAGCATACGTCGTCTGCATCTCCCTCCTGAGCGCCTTGAGCGCCACGTCGAGGTTTTCCTTGCGCTCAAACATCTCCTTCCTGGCCTTGACCTCCTTCTCCGTGTCCTGGACGACGAGGAGCGGGTCTGCGTCTATGCCCGTGCCCGTGCCCGTGCCCGTGCCCATGTCCAGGTCCATGTCGCCGGGGGCGTCTGCCTCCTCCTCCTTGGCGGCGCCGCCCTTCTTGGCCGCGTGCTCCTGCGCGTGCTCCCCGAACGCGATGGCCGCCAGGCCGCGGGCGGTGGCCTGGATCAGCCTGCTGCGGACGTAGGGGGAGCGGTCCGAGGCGAGGACGTAGAGCAGGAGGCTGAAGACGGCCGGGTCCGTCATGGCGCCCAGGTCGATGAGCGCCTCGAAGCACTTGATGCGGATGGCGTCGGCCGTCCCGTCCAGCAGGTACTGTCCGAAGTCTGCGTAGCTCCGGGGTATCACCTCGGCCTTCATGAGGCGCTGCTTGGCGTCGAGCCCGGCAATCGTCCAGATGTTCTGGTACGAGTCGGTCCACTCGTCCCTCCTCAGGACGCGCTCGATCTGGTCCAGGGCCGAGGCGAGGAACCGGTCTTCCTCCTCGCCTTGCACCTTGCGCTGGCGCTCGAACCACTCGTCCTTCCGCGAGGGGATGAGGGATGTGGCCAGCGCCTCGACGAGCAGCGCGATCCAGTGGTGGTCCGAGTACGGGTTGTCCTCGTTGTTGTTGTAGAGGAGCTGGTCGAGGATGAAGACGCGCGCCTCTAGGGGGCACCTGTGCCCGCCGTCCCGGACCTGCGCGATGGCCCGGATGATGGCGCAGCGCACCTTGTACTGCTGCTTGTTGGAGAAGTCGTTGGGCTGCGGCTGGTTGGTGCTGTCGAAGCAGAACATCTCGCGGTACGCCTTGAGGAGCTGCCGCAGGCCCAGCATGGGCAGATCTTTGATGTTGGCCTGCCGGGGCAGCGCTTCGGCAGCCATGGTGCGGATGCCGTGGAAGTAGCGCCTGTCGACGAGCGTCCGCACGAGGAAGCCCGACGCTATGGGGTGCAGGGGACCGTGGGCCAGGTAGAGCATCGCGTCCTGCTGGGCGACGACGTCGCGATCCTGCTGGAGCTGCGAGACGTACATGTAGGGCTCGAGCGTGTGCTTCATGGCGGCCGCCCACTCGAAGTCGGCGTCGACCCTGATCCACTCGTAGGACTCCTGGTCCATCTTGCGCTCCGTCTCGGGATCCCAGTCGATGAGCTCCCAGTCCCTCTGGTCGTCGGGCGTCTGCAGCACGTCGCCCAGGCAGTAGAGGAGGGCGTCCTCGGCACCCTCGCCGGCGGCTTCCGCGTTCGCGGCCCCGGCGTGCTTCTCCTTCATGCGGCGGGTCCTCTTGAGCCGCTTGTATTTCGTATTGTAGGGTATCTCAAACTTGGTCAGCCGCGTGGCATCCTCTCGTATCTCGAGGATGTGCTCGTACGGCGTGCCGTCGGCCTCGTGGATGCGGATCGTCATGGGCCCGGTGAAGAGCGGCTGGACCGGGCCGACGGGCGCGCCCGCGCGACGCTCCTTGATGATGCGCAGCACGTCGTCCTTCTCGAGCTCGGCCTTCTTGGCCGTCTGGTACTGGATCTGGTTGAGGGTCAGCTCGACGCAGAGCCGCTTCTTGTTGAACTTGGCCTTTACGTCGAACCTCGGGCACCCGGACCCGTACACCCACTGGCTCCAGAAGGCCTCGAGCCGGTTCCTGGACGCCTTCTCGCACCTGGCCTTGAAGTCCTCCGTCTTGAGGATGGCGGAGCTGTCGCCGCTGTCCACCTGGACCTTGGTAAGATACCTGGCGAGGATGCGGGTCAGCCCGTGGCCGCCGGATGCCTTGACGAGACGCTTGTCGAGGACGAAGAGGATCAGGGCCGACTTGAGGTTCATAAAGTCCATCTCGGACCCGTCCAGGTGCAGGTTGGGGCCCAGGTCGTAGAGCGACAGGCGTCCGATGTCCAGCTCCACCAGGCGGTCCGACATCATCTTCATCCGGAAGCGGTGCTCGTTGTTCCCGCAGAGACGCTTCATGAAGAGGTCCGTCATGTAGTGGGCTATGCCGAAGATGAGCCAGAGGTCGTTGCGCGTGTTGGGGATGAGGTTGATGCCGATCCACTGGTACGCCAACGTCAAGACGAGCTTGCGCGTCACCTCAGCCTCGGTGTCGACAACGTCCTCGGGGTACAGCAGACGCGTGCTGGCGAAGGCGACCGAGTGCAGGGGGGTGGTGTCCTCCGCCATGTCCTCGAGGAAGCAGAGCTTGAAGTTGCTGAAGGGGTACTTGGCAAAGGTGTAGCTGAAGAAGTCGGCGGCCATGGTCATGGCAACGCAGGTGTTGCGAACCCACTCCGCCCGCCGGGGCAGGCAGTAGGCGTGGACCCGGAGGGCACTCGTGCCCAGCTTGATCTCGTCCTCCTCGGAGCGGAACTCGGCCGACAGGTCGACGTGCTCAAAAGGCCCGACGGCGAAGCCCAGCTTCTGGACCGACGTCTTCTTCTCGGGCTCAAAGGACATGATCTTCTTGCGGTCGTCCCTGGGATCGACCATCTCCTCCACCAGGAAGCCGGAGCAGATGACCGTCATCTCCCTGAGCCTGTCCTCCTCCACCATCTCGATGCTCCTGTCCTTGTCGGAGGAGCCATCCTTGCCTGCCGTCTTGTGCGATGCCGGCTTCTCGAGTGCGTCGGCCAGGGTTCTCGGATACCGGAAGGAGATCTTCCACTCGCACCGCGAGCCGTGGTCGTCCAGGCACGGGAATATGCACGACGCCGTCCCCGGCTGGATGGAGTGGCGGCTGTACACGTGTGCGTAGCGATGGTCCAGGGGGTCGACGCCGACGAACTGGACGCCGTCCCTGGGGTTCTTCCTGGAGAAGGGGATGGATATCTTGTACTGCTTGCGGCCCGAGTTGGCCGACGACTCGAAATTGTTGGTGGACTTCCGTATGATGAGCCTCGGGCGGTCCTGGTCGCCCTTGCCGCGCAGGTTTACCTTGAGCGACGAGTAGGCGGGCGTGCAGCCGACGGCCTCCCTGCCCTCGGCGGGGACGTCGACCTTGCGGCTGTGGAAGAGATTCCGGGCGCGCATGCGCCGGAGATCGTGGTGCTCGGCCGTCCAGTTCCAGTTGTCCGGATGCTCGAGGCTCTTGTAGGGATCCCGGTAGTTGGCGACGGCCTTGCGCTTCTGGCCCTCGTGGGTGTCGCCGTGGACGTCGCGCACTTCCGTCACCGTGATGCGCTCCGTGTCCACCTTGCAGTTCGCCGCATCGAGCGACACCTCGTCTAGCCTCTCGTTGAGCATCCCGATGAAGATGTCCGTCGTGCCGTCGATGCGTCGGTCGCGGAAGTTGATGTCGAGGGTCACCTCTTGCTTGATGACGAAGTACTCTTGCACGGGAGGGTCCTCGACCGGCGGCAGGTCGCCATCCACGGCCAGGAGCGGGTGTCGCTCCGATTCACCGTCACCCGGCATCCTTCCTCTGTCAGTTCTCGGTTTCTCGTCTCGTCTGTTCGGTTCGGTTCGGTTCTATGCCGTCGTCGTCGTCGTCGTCGACTCGCGTGCGTGAAGGCGGCGGCGGCCCGGGGCGGCGGGCGCTCGCAATCACACCGCCAACTAAGTCAAGAGCCAGACACCGACTCCAACCATCGACCTGAGCCGCGTCTGCGCCTCACGCACTCCAGTGTATCCGACTTCAGATATGGCTGTCCGTGCGCATAGTGATTTGGCAAGCGCGACGCGGGTGGTGGTGATCGGTTAGGCCTGCGGTTGTTGGTGCTCGGTGCACGTTGCCTTCGTCGGTCTACCGGATTGTGCGTTCGTGCGGGGTGGAAAGGTGAACGGATTGAGAGGGAAAAGAAGAAGGAAAATAACGAGAGTGTTTTTCTATGTTCTGATATTAGGTCATGGTCATTTCCCCGTAGCGAGGGTTAGAAGAAAGACTGTCGTAGAGTATGGCGCTTGACAGAATTCGATAATATGCACGAGGTCCGAGAAGCTCCAAACTCTCTCGCGGCGTACGGAGAGAAGGCGCACGGTCCACTTTTCTGCTCCACGAATCTTAGCTCTCAGCTTTGGCAGATCGCGTCCCAACCAAGCCCCAACCCCCAAACCCCCCCCCCCCAATGCCGAGGACCAAAGTACGAGGACAGCTACGACAGCTAAAAATAATATACGTGCACATGTGCGATGCAATTGATAGCACCTTTGCACAACCGGCAGTTGCAGTGATTTTCCAGACTTCTTCTCAATGGAAATATTATAAGCGTATTCGGACCGTGGATATCGTGGGTGGATTCGTTCATCCACCCATCGCCACACATCCCAACGTACCGAACCATATCCATCGCTACTCATACTCCTTACTAGTCCACAGACGAATCCCCAAAATCAAAACAAAAAAATCAGAAAAATCAAAACAAAAAAAAATCCTATACGCCGTGTCCTTTGCCAGGTATCTCTTTTCTGGACACACCGGCCCATCCGCTTGAGTAATCATACATCCTTCTCCCAGGAAAGCAAGAAATAATGAGAATAGTAACAACAACAACAGCAACAACATGAAAAGTGAGGAAGGGGGGGGGGGGGGGGGGGGACTGAAGATAGAAAAAAAAAAAGAAAAAGACGAAAGGGAAAGGGAAAGAAAAAGATGAAGAGAGGAGGGAGGGCAGAGAAGCCAGAAGCATGCTTCACTATCTGCTCCTTCGNCACACCGGCCCATCCGCTTGAGTAATCATACATCCTTCTCCCAGGAAAGCAAGAAATAATGAGAATAGTAACAACAACAACAGCAACAACATGAAGGGGGGGGGGGGGGGGGGGGGGGGGGGGGGACTGAAGATAGAAAAAGAAAAAGAAAAAGACGAAAGGGAAAGGGAAAGAAAAAGATGAAGAGAGGAGGGAGGGCAGAGAAGCCAGAAGCATGCTTCACTATCTGCTCCTTCGCTTATCCCTACGCTTCTTTCTCGCCCGTGCCTTCAGCGTCTCCTCATCCCTATACTCCACTGGCAGATCAAAGTCTGCCTCGGGCATATCAGGTATGGGCAGTCCCCAGGCGAGCACGTTCCTCCCCGATCGCCGCGTGCGGTTCAGGGAACTATCCCGCTCTCCCCTCTTGGCGAAGAAGGACTTGAACTCCCTCGGGGGTGACGGCGGCTGCCGTGGTTGCGGAGGCTGTGCTCGCGATCTCTGCGGTGATGGCATCTGCTTAGCGACCGCCAGCTTCGATCGAGCCCGAGCCTCTTCGCGCAACTGCTTGGCAGGCGAAGGCGGTTCGCTCGTGTCCCCGGCCGATGAGCTCTCGTCGAAGCCCATGCTGTCGTCCCCATCTTCTCTCTTGTCGGCATCGTCGTCTTCTGCCTCTTTCTCTTCTGCCTCTCCCGCCTCTCCTTCAGCTTCTTGCTTTTTCTCCTCCCCCTCCTCCTCCTCCTCCTCTTCTTCTTCTTCTTTTTCTCCTTTTTCTCCTTCCTCTCCTCCTTCTCCTTCTTCATTTACTTCCTCTTCTTCTTCTGCTTCCTCCTCCTCCTCCTCTTCTTCCTCTTCTTCTTCGTCCTCCTCCTCTTCTTCCTCTTCTTCTACCCCCTCCGCCAGCCGCTCCTCCTCTACCTGCTGCTTCCTCCCTGCTCTTTTCTTACTCTTCTTCAGGCCAGCCTTGTCAGCTGATGCCCGTCTTGACTCCAACTTTCGCCGCCTCTCCTCTAAACTCCAGTTGCGAAATTTGGCAATGATGGCCTCGCAGCCCCGGATGAAGTGTTTCCTGGCCGGCTCAAACGCCTTCTTCTTCGTCTCGGTGACGCCGTTGACCCCCATCACCCGCAGCCAGTCGGGGCCCTGTAGGCTCTCGAGCAGACGGATGATCTGGTCCTTTTCATGCTGTGCTCGGCCCTTTTCCGCGTTTCTGATGGATCGCTCCAGACGCTCGGCACGCTTATGGGTCGGCTGGAACAAGCTATCTGGCAACGGGTCGTCCAGAGACTTGTTCTTATGCTGCGCGTCCAGGAAGCTGAAGTCGATGCGCTGGGCATCTACGACATCCGTGTAGAGCGCGTCACCGAAGCCTCGTATAGTGCTGCCAACCGATGTGCTGTGTGGGGATATGTGTGCTCCCGGTGCAGCAGCATCGCGATGCCTATCATTCGAGTCGAGTACCAGAATCGGTGTATCGGCGTTTAGCATATCTGCAGTGCGTTAACAGACGGATGATTGGAACAGCGCACATGCAGAATGAACAGACGGATGACTGTGCACGCAATGGATGCAGTAAGGATAGGATACGCACGTTCTTCCTTGGGATCATTGCCAATAACCTCATCATACTCAGGAAAGTAAGAGGCCAGCTCGCTCTTGAAGCGCGTCGCTTCCTGGGATCGCAACTTGCGGCCGGGTTCCTTCTTGGCCGATTCATCCGGCTGCAGGCGATCCAACTCATGTCTTATGCCATTGGTGATTTTAGACTTGCTCCTTGAAGGGCCATTTTGGCCACCTCCTTGGGGATGCGGCGACGTCGTCGTCGCTTGCGATCGCTGTGCTGGGGCCGCTGCTGCTACAGGGGCTGCAGCGGCTGCAGCGGCCGGGGTGAGGGCGCCAGCAGGTCGAGGGGACGGTGCAGCGCTGGTGGCCTGGCGGCCTGGATGCTGGGGTGGCTGTGACGGAGGCGACTGTGGCGACGGAGGTGCCCTGGCTTTAGTGGTGGCAGCAGGAGTAGGAGGAGCAAACTTGTCTGCCTTGACGCCAGATTGACCGATTATCTGAACAGCGATGCGAGCCTTCTTGGATGGAACGCTATCATAGTTGTAATCGTAGTCGTATTCGATGGGAGTGTTATTCTTGTCAGACTCGAGCGCTCGCTTGGGACGGCCACCGCCTCCTCCGCCTCCTGCAGCAGCACCAGCACCAGCACCAGCACCAGCACCGGCAGGGCGGGAGCGCGTCATCGGTGGCGGGCCTGCTGGGAAGCGAGGTCCCTCAGCTCGTCGAGAGGAGCGGGTGACGGAGGTCATGGACAGCCGCGAGGAGACCTGGCATCGTCTTCTCACTCGGCATGCGATGACGAAATTTCTTGTCTCCTTTTTGCTTTCCCCGTCGTGGTCGATTCAGCAGTGATTGTTGTTGTCGTCGATTGATTGAGAGCTTCCCTGGTCGCGATTGTTTCGTGACACGCCCTTCTTTTCTAGCCTGGTGATTTTTTATCTCTATTTTTTTCTCCCTTTCTAGCGGACTTGACCACTTTCTAGGCGTCGGAGTTCCTCCTGAACGTTCCTTCTCCAGCGGTGTTGCCGGCTGGGGGGTTCCATGGTATTACAGGTATTATTACAGTGGTGTGGCGGAGGCAATGGCGCTGTAGACGCTGCTCTTGCGCTTTTCGGCTGCTCTGCTCCTGCCGTCCATCGTTCTCAGGAGAGCTTTACCCTGTATCATCGTACTTCTGAGGAAGCGAGGCCGCCGAGGGGTATGAGTCTCCAGATATTGATGGGCTTGGTGATCATCTTCGATCTTGTAAGTGGCCCTCGACAACTGGTCTGATTTTCCTTGTATCGTGGTCTACATGTGAATCACAAACACTCGGTAAGGTTTTATATTAAATCAAATGTCGCGTCAGGCCACAACAATCACGTGCCTACACACGACGTATCGGATCTGATCTGGTCGCATCAAACGCTCACTTCTCCGTGGTCAAGACCATGTACGAGCAGAAAAGGCTCAGCCGATACGAATCGCTCGAAAGTGTCATTTTTGGTGGATCAGTTGGCAGCTCCATAGACGTAGATATCGCGCATGTACAATCTCGCTGCCAGAACGGGCTGTCTTGGGTCATGTGAGAGGCAGACAGGCGTGCTCCTCAAGGTATGGATATATGTATGGATATATGTATGGATATATGTATGGATATATGTATAGATATACGTAGAGATATATGTATAGATATATACAGAAGAAGTAGTAGACAAGGACAATTCAGACGCTGCCGGAAGAGAAAGACATCATGTGTGAAGTCACTCTTTATCAAATAGAAACGCCTTGAGGACCGGCGAACCCGAGAACTCCGGGTTCAGTAATATACAGCTGCGGGAGGTCAGCCAGCCAGCCAAGGCACATAGCCAGAGAGAATAGCAGAGAGGGGAGGAAGCGGAAAGAACGTACTTGAGGAAATATTGCAGACCAGCACGCCTCCTCTCCAGGAATCGTGGTTGAAACTTTGATATGACGCTCTTTGGCGGCAATGACGGGATGGTAGTCTCAAAGTTGGGAAACGTGACGATGAGGCGGTGGCGGAAGTCGTCGAATTCCGAGTATCGTTTGCGAATATTCATGTAGCTTCCCTGTACTGGAGTCAGGACGACCTGTATTTCTCCTCTCCGTCCTGCACGGCAGCTTGAGCGGCGATGGCAGGAGAGGCATGGGAAGGAAGACCGTACCGTCAACGTCTCGACCCTGATGATCCAGACGACAAAGGCTCCGATGTTGGAGATGGTACTCCCACCGACAACGATATGGTCGACAATCTCGACGCTCCTTGCCCAGCAAGCCGTGTTCCGATCGTCATCCTCGAGCGTCTCATTGTCGCGAAGCGTGATGGCCCCGGCGGGCAGAGAGTCGGACGACTGATTCGAAGGCGTGCGCTGGTGGCCGTTGTTATCTGACTTGTTGGCGGTCCAGTACGGCGGCGTTGTGACGGCGGAGCCGGGGCTCAGGGGGAGGCCGTCACGGTTGCTGCTGCTGCTGCTGCTGCTGCTGCTGCTGCCGCTACCACCGGTCGCCTGGACGTCATCGTCTGGATTCCCGACGGCGTCTGCGCCGCTATCCTGATCTACGGGCTGACGCCATCCGGCTGGCTGTGAGGTGGCGGGCATGCGTGTTTCAGCCTTGGGAGGGCGGAGGCTTCGTTAGACTGCACGGGCACGCGGCGGGGGGTGTCGTAGTCGGGATACAGGTGGAAGAGAGCAGTGGTAGAGATGCTTGTATGTGCGTATATGTATCATGTACGTTTTGGGCGCGGTGTGTTTTGATGATGCAATTCGGGCTTTACGAGTGGGTCGCAATCGTTGTCGGGAGCTGGTCCATGGAGAGAGAGAGAGAGAGAGAGAGAGATCGTGGTGGTGTCTAGGCCTATCGCTCCCTTAGCGTCTTGCTCGTCTTGCGTGTGTGGCGTGGCGGAAGGGTATGAGATGGTGGCGGGGCGATTGCCATTGGAATTGAGGAGGGGGAGGATTCATCAATTCCGGCTGGGCGGGACTCTCTCTACTCGTAGTCTCGTACTCCGTATCTTGATGCAGATTACATGTAATAGATATCAAGCAATACCTAGAGGTGGCTACTACGAGTATACGTACTCGGCGCTCGTTGTCGTGATGAAGATGATGATGGCGATGTCCCCACTACTACAGTCTACGAGCGAGTATATATTAACCTGTAATCTGTATTACTACGGAGTGACTGCAGGAGGTTCCCCCCCATGTCTTGACGGGAATAGACAGAAATGCACGTTTTCTTGTCTTTTTTTTTTCATTACTCGTACGGATGAGATCGCTATTATACGGTGCAAGTGAGTATCGATTCCTAGACATACTCGTACAATCTACCCTGACCTTCATACCAGTGTCACGGTCCTCTCCTTTTCCCCTCTGCTCCGATATTTCAGCTGCTACCAGCCTCTAAACCCAAGATTGGAACTCTCCGCACGTACCAGGTAATACGACGTATCTATCGTACGACGTGCAGGATAATACTCGTACTCGTGAATGGCTCAGGAAGCTTAAGGAGAAAGAACAACCCCAGTCGCTCCCAATACTATCCAATAATACCCAGCCGTTCCCTTCTCCCGGCCTTCTTCGATGGGGTAGCAACCGTAGCACGGACGGCCACCGCCAATCCGGTTCCCGCCACAGCCCGACCTCTCCCCGGTATACTACTCAGACTTATCACCAGTATCAGAGACGACTCTGGTTAGAGGGAGAGAAAGGAGAGAGGTGAAGAGAGAGAGAAAGGAGAGGTGAAGAGAGAGAGGAAGGAGAGAGTGGAAGAGAGAGAGGGAGACGGGAGGAGGGAGAGAGGGGAATGGGAATGGGGAGGAGGGGCGGGGGAAGAAGGAGAGACAGAGAGAGAGAGAGAGAGAGAGGGATGGAGAGAGCAATATAATGATGATACTACTAGTAATAGTATACATGCACATGAAGTACTCGTAGTATTATTACCGCACCGACAACTATCAGAGGGACCCGTCCGTCGATGTAGCATCTATCCACTGCCGTTTTGACAGCAAAATCTCCCAAGTCCACCTGCGACTGGTGCGGGCGTTGCTGCTGAATACGAGCTGGTTCCCCCACCCGTGCGGAGAGTTTGACCTACCTTTATGCAGCAAGGTAGAATGCCCGACGACTATGCACGCATCTTTGCCTCTCTCGAATTCCGAGGCGAGGGTGGGTTAGAACGCACTTGGCATATGCATAATAGCAAGCCAGCAGCGTCGAACCCCACCGAGATGTGCAGAGACGGGAACAAACACGATAATAGTGTTCATCCCGTATCATCGCCTCTCAGCCAACTCTAAACAGAAGATGAAGGAAAGGAAGGAGAAGAACAGCAACAGCAGCAGCAACGACCACGATGACAACAATAACAGCATCCCTCTCCATCTCCCAAAGCAAAGACTCTTCCCCCAAAATCTTCTTTCCCGTCCCCCTTCTGAATTCCATCCTGAAAGTATGAGACCGGGGGGCGGCGGATGGAACATAATGACCGTTGCTGAATGGATGGGGTGTATAATATCCCCCCCCCCTCTCTCCTTCCTCCCAGACCGACACAAGACAAGACACACGAGGGAGGCTACATTACTGGCGGCGGCGGCGCAGACTCGCGCCAACAAGCGCCTCTTGGCTCTGCATAGTACGAGAAGAGGAAGAAGAATAAGAATAGGAAGAGAGACAGAAGTCTAAACCGAACTCCGAACCGGAACTTCGAACCGAAACGAGAGAGAAGATGGGAGGGAATCATCAGTTGCTTCCGAGTCTCTCTGCATTATGGACCTCTCCCGTCGTATAATGTCCTCAATGTAACCTCGCCTAGACTTCTCTTCTTTCTGAGTTCTGACTATACTACTGCCATTATCCTTCTCCATCGTAGCTGTGCAGGTATCATTGTGAGCCCGTGTGCCCCCCTGTCCCGTCACTTCCCCGAAGCAATCCTATCCCCGGCTCGGCGGGCGGCTTGTAATACCACAGAAGGGTCCCGCTCATAAAAGGCACGATCCCCCTTTGCTCTCCCCTCTGCCAATCTTATTCTCTTTAACCCCCCCTCATCTCAATAGCATCCCATCTCATCTCTTCTTTTCTCTATATCCCTTGTCTCCTTCTTGTATATTTGCATATCGTCCTCTTTCATCAGGTCAGTGGGACATCTTCGGACATGACTGTCATCGTGGGGCTCTCCTGCTAACGTATCGGCAGACAGCCTCGCAGCATCTCACCCCTAGCATCATGTTGTTCCGTTCCACCCTCGTCTCCGTGGTCACGCTATTCGTGGCTGTCGGCCAAGCCCAGTACAAGATCGACCCTGACAGCGTGGACTCTGACGTTCGAGGTAATACCCTGCCGTCCGAGCCGGACCATGTCCGACAGTGATACCGGCAGGCTGACGTGAATGTGTACGGATAGATGCGTGGTGCGTCACGCAGAAGGACACATGCCCTCTGATCTGCCAGCAGACCAAGCCGGGAACGACACTCGTCAACACTTGCGACTCTGTAAGTCAACTATGCCGTCGGCATCGATGCTCATCACCATGTCCGGGCGAGAGGAGCAATGGCTGACGAGGTGACTCCTCTTGACAGGCCACCCTCACCTACGGCTGCCTGTGCGGTGACAACAAGAAGCCCAACCTGTCGGAGTACTCTCTGACCCTCCCCTACTTCGTCTGCCGTGAATGGGGCACCCAATGTGTCGCCAACTGCGGAGAGCACAACAACGAGTGCGCCTCCGACTGCCGCCAGAACCACCCTTGCGGCGCCCAGAGCCCCACGCGCGTCAACGTCACCTCGACGTCTGCTGCTGCCACAGCCAGTGCGACAGATGACACCACCATCTACGACCGACCCGGCACCAGCAGCAGCGATGATGACGAGGGTGCCGCCGCGACGCTGGCTCTCGGACGGACGTACGGTACCGCTGTCGTCCTGGGGGGCATGTTCGTCGGCTTTGCCATTCTGCTGTGATGATTTTTTTTTTCCTGTTGCGTGGTAGGATGGCACTACCTACATGTGCATTTCGCATCCGGTGTTCATGGTGTTTCTCTTCTCTCTGTCCTCATGTCCTGCTAGCTTGTTACTTTTTTTTTTGGGGGGGGGGGTAGCTTTCCTTCTTGGCATCGGTGCTGGGATACCGCATACCCAAATCCGGGTTAATTGGTAATATTAATATAATGAACGCGAAATTTGATATCAATATTTCGAACATGGTTCACACACAGATAGGGAAAGGCCGTCTCCATGTGACCGGGGAAAAGAGGGAGGTTGGGGCCCCAACGGAAAAGATGCATGCAGTCGTCGTTCGACCTGTATTACTGAGGATGTTTGATGATGTTGACAATGTGGACTTCGAGATTGGGGAATAAGGGAGGGGGTGCTGACATGCTGACAAACAGAGGAAACATGCCCGCCCGTCCATTGAATGACGATACCAGCGCACCTTTCACGTGCTTGAGCTGGAGGTCGATGGGAACCCCACTGGAAGCCACTGTATGCATCCACTAAGACGCAGTCGGTAGTGCGACTGGGACGTACATATACACGGAAGGGGGACACTGCGGTCTGCGAGTACGGATTACGGATTACAGGTATAACATTATTCAGACCCCTAGTCTCGGGGACATTGCTAAGCGCCATCGACCGTGACGCAGCGTCCCCTAACAATTGATTTTCTGGTCCAGACCGCCGGTAGAAGGATAATGCTACTCCTAACACTAATGCTACCTGTGCTGCTACCAGTGCTCCGTACCCGGTAATAGACCATTAGGGACATGGTGTCTAGATCGATATTTTCTTCTTCGACACAGGGGCAAACGAAGGAAGCCAACAGATTGAGGCGACGGGGAGCGCGTTTACCCATTTTTCTGCACGAGACTGGCAAGAGCCACCCACCGCGCCGCGCCGTACCTTCCCTCCCCATTGCCGTCGGTCCCCTAATTCTCTTTTAATAACGAAATAAGTGGCTCGTCCCCTCTGGCCACCCCGGTACACTGTGCAATCGCACCGTCGCCAGCTTCTTCCTGCTTCCCTTTTGGATATTGCATCGATCCATCCATCCTCTCTTTGGTTTGCTCGAGATTGGCAAGAAGAAAGGACGTCGGAAAATGTCTCTGACCATCACCAAGAGTAAGAAACCCGCCCACCATCTCGGACCCCACCATTCTCTCCCTTCTCTCTGCCGAACGCCTTGCTGAACTGACGCGCGCCGCCGCCATCTAGGAAAGGCTGTCGCCGAGTGCGTCTCGGACGAGGCACTCTCGCACCTCCGGACCTACAAGTACTCTAGTGTCGACTTGTCGCCCGTGTCCAAGTATATCCTCGGCCCTTGGGTATGTTCCTGACTGGCCTTGCATCCGGTGGCGTTCGCTGACCCCCCATCTCTCTCTGTGTAGTGGAATGCCTTTGTCAAGATCCTGCCGCTATGGCTCGCCCCCAACATGGTGACCCTCCTGGGCTTCTTGTTCATCCTCGGAAACATCGGCCTTCTTCTCATTTTTATGCCAGACCTCGTCGGACCCGTACGAACCCACCTCCTTCCCGCCCCCAGAGGCTGCGCAGCCAGCAGCTATATATATATGTATTGACCTTTGCCGACATCTAGGGTCCGACCTGGCTATATTACAGCTTCGCCTTTGGCCTGTTTATGTACCAGACCATGGACAATGTGGACGGGAAGCAGGCCAGGAGGACGGGAACTTCGAGTGGTCTAGGTGAGCTCTTCGACCACGGCATCGACTCGCTCAACTGCACCCTGGCCAGCTTGCTCGAGACGGCCGCCATGGGCCTCGGTACGTCGCGCGTCGGCGTCTTCACCGCCCTGTGCCCCTGCCTGCCCATGTTCTTCTCGACTTGGGAAACATACCACACGCACACGCTGTATCTGGGATACTTCAACGGCCCCACCGAGGGTCTGCTCATCGCCGCCGGCGTCATGGCTGCGGCTGGCCACTACGGCCCCGGCGTCTTCACGCAGCCCCTGGCCGCTGCCATCGGTCCGTATTCGCCCACCATCGGCGCCGCTCTCGGCCACACAACATTTATGGACTTGTGGGTGGGTATCATCGTCGGATCTCTCCTGACGGGCCACGTCCCCTGCTGCGTGTACAATGTTGTCAAAGCCAGACGGGCCAAGCACCTGCCCGTTGCGCCCGTCTTCCTCGAGTGGCTGCCCATGGCTGTCTTCACGTTGTCCATCGGCATCTGGGTCTACTCGCCCTACAGCACTCTGATGGCCGAAAACCACCTTGTCCTCTTATGCCTCACCCTGTCCTTCGTGTTCGGCCGCCTGACCACCAAGGTCATCCTGGCCCATCTCACCCGCCAACCATTCCCCTACTGGACCGTCATGTTGAACCCGCTGATTGGCGGCGCCGTCCTCGGCAACCTGCCTCGTGTCGGCCTCCCCCAGATCACCCCCCAGCTGGAGCTGTACTACCTGTGGGCCTACTTCATCTTCTCCGTCGTCGTCTACTTCCGCTGGGCTTATCTGGTCATCACCAGCATATGCGAATATCTCGGCATCAGCGCCCTCACCGTCCCCAAGGACAAGCAGGAGGCTGCCGAGGCTCGCCTAAAGGGCATGTGAGCGGGCCGTTAACAGAGGATCTGATACATTCCACAGGAGACCGGATAGTCAGGACCTTGGAAAAGACTGAGACATACCTTTCGATGCGCTGCGAACCTCTGGCCAAGATGATGGACGACCCTCTTTGGATGACACCCTCGATGACAACCAACCTCGATGATATCCTCGGTGAACCCCTGATTGGCAGCGACTGCCGTGTCAACCGGGACCATCCAGAGGCGATCAAGTCAATTCCGAAGTAGAAGAGGAAGAAGAAGAAGGAGGAGGAGGACGAGGACGAGGAGGAGGACGAGGCGACGAAGAAAATAGAGGAGAGACGGCGCAAGTGCGATTACTCCCGGAATTCAACACTGTAGTATAGCGACGACTTTCAACCTATCGATTCCAGGGCATGATGGGCCTGGAAGATGCATGATCTGGGCGTTGGAGCATCTGTGATTTCTTGTTTCGTTATATTGAAGTGATAGGATTATTATGAAACGATTTTTCTTTTTCCCGGTTCTGGAATATACCTTTATTTATCGATAGAAGTAGCATTTCTGAAGTTATCTGTAATATATTTATTACCCTGCTATATGTACAGATGACAGATGAGTATTTAGCAGTGATAATACTAGCAGTAGGACATGAAAGATTGATGTCGTTCTCTTGACCTGCATCTGGAGTGATGCAGATTACGGAGTAGAGCAGGGGGAGTTGCGTGTGAAACCGGAGCAATGTGCTAGGCCTAGACCCCTATTAGTGCCGCACTAATAGTGCGTTGCGTGGCAGGGTCAGGCACACCAGGCTGCTGGGATCGGCAACCCAAGATCCCAGGCCGGACCAGCAATGGTGGCTACAGGCAGCTATAATAATAGCCTAGATAAAAAGGAGAGAGCATCATCTTACGATAACGACGGCCGTAAACCCTCGAGGTCTGACGCCAGCTCGGTCCATCATTACCAAAACGAACCAGTTTACGACCTAGTGATACTTACTAGTAGCATCAGTAGCAATAACGGACCAAATTACTGCTGCTGCTAGTCTCACCCTGATAGACAAACCACCGGCGTACGGAACAGACGACCCCACCAGACCATCATTCGCGGCGGGATTCGACAATCCTGGTTGGAGCCCGCAGGTCCGCAGGCACGGAAAAGAGAGGGGGGGAAAAGGAGCGGACGCGGACAGAGACGCCCTGACCGATTTTCCGTGGCGGCGCATATTACTACGAGTACTAGGAAGAGCGAAACGAAGACGAAGACGGGCGAACGAGAGCAGGTGGTGGAGAGAAGCTTCCTTCCCCTCTCTCCTCCCACCCCAAGATGCCCTCGTACACGACGTGGTGGCTCAGGGTCCTGATGGCCTCGTCCGCTCTGCTCTTCCCGTCGGGGACGTCGACGCTGACGGTGACGGACGAGGCGCTGCGGCGCATCCCGTCGCCGGGAGACGACTTCGACATACACTCGGGGAGGCTGCTGGCGCCGATACTCCGACCCCGCGTGCCGGGGACGCAGGGGTCGCTGGACGTCCAGAGGCACATTGTCGACTTCTTCGCCGCCGACCTGCCCGACTGGACGGTCGTCTCTCAGAACTCAACGTCCAAGACCCCGGCCACCGGCGACAGGGACGTCCCCTTTGTCAACTGGATCTTCCGGAGAGACCCCCCATGGGTCACGCGCGAGGGCGACGCCAGCAGGTTGACCCTCGTCGCCCACTTTGACAGTCTGAGCAAGCCCGAAGGGTTCGTGGGCGCCATCGACAGCGCGGCCCCCTGCGCTATGCTCATGCACGTCGCCCGGAGCGTGGATGCCGCCCTCACGACTAGGTGGAAGGCCATGCAGGACAGCGGAGAAGACGGGCTCGAGGATGAGAGCAAGGGCGTGCAGATCATCTTTCTCGACGGGGAGGAAGCCTTTGAACACTGGACAGATACCGATTCCATCTATGGTGCACGGTAAGTTCCAACCAACCCCGACCCCCCCCTCCAGAAAAAAAATAGCATCTTCCTTTTCCCGAGTCATACGAGTGCGAGCACCGGTGAGGATATAGATTGACGAGTGAACAAAAGATCCCTAGCGGAAGAATGGTCCCGCGAGGCCAACGACGTCTCGGCCGCCTACCGCACCCCCCTCCACTCCATCAGCCTGTTCGTCCTACTCGACCTGCTGGGCAGTCCCAAGCCGACGGTGCCGTCCTACTTCCTACCCACGCACTGGGCCTACCGTAGCATGGCCTCGCTGGAGAAGCGCATGCGCGACCTGTCCCTCCTCGAGTCGCAGCCCGGCCACGTCTTCCTCCCGGACTCGGACAAGTCGGCCAGCCTGTTCGGCCGCAGCGGCGTCGGCGACGACCACGTCCCCTTCATGCAGCGAGGCGTGGACATTCTGCACCTCATCCCCTCGCCCTTCCCCTACGGCCTCTGGCACACCATGGACGACGACGGGGAGCACCTCGACCTGCCTACCTGTCGGGACTGGGCCAAGATCGTCACGGCCTTCACCGTCGAGTGGTTCGAGCTGGGCGAATATATGCCTGCTACCGGCAAGATGGCGAGGGCCGCGCCGGATGTGTCACACAGCAGTACGGAGAGCAGTAGTAGTAGGAGGACGGAGTTGTGATGAGACCAGCATGGCTCGGGTACCATGCTGACTCTGTTGACGTGACGTGTTTATTGTTAGAAGCGAGTATTACTTCTCATTCTTCACTGATGTAGGGAGCCTCCCCTCCTCCCCGGGAGGGGCCGCCGGAGGCAACTTCGACGGGCGCGAGAATCGCCGTCTCGCCTCGCAAATTCATACAAAGCTGCATTGTGGAACGCTACAGATTGCATTGCGTAGACGAGTACCGCCCACGCCGCTAGCCTGCCTGGCTTCGAGCTCCCTCTTGCCCGTGTGTTCTTCCCTGACGCTGCCGACGTTGGAGCCTCGAAGGCTACCTACCGATACGGGCACTGCACCTCGTACATGTGGAGGCCCTCTCCTCCGACACGGGAACGGGCCTCTCGGGAGAGCGGCACACTTGTGCCTGGGCAGATCAATGGCGGCCCCCACGACCCCTGCGTACTCTAAGGAAGGAGGAGGGTCTCTATGGCTTCCTGACCACGCACGACCCTCGTGGCCGATGAAGGGTCGTTTCGTTGGTCTGCTCTTGGCATGCACAATCATGGTGAACAAGATTAAAATAGAGCCTAACAAAAGTCAAGGTCAAGACAAAGATGCCAAGATGAAGGAGACAATGTCGTGAAAGCGTGTAAAGGGACCCCCAGACGCTGACGCACAACGTCTCCACCACAACGTCCCGCGCAGACCAATCAAGTAGCTCGGCCCTTGAACCACGTAAACCACAAGCTCCCTCATTCTCACTCTCACTCTTCTCTCTACTATCGGCTTGTCAAGCTCCTAAGCCGTAGCAGACATTGAAGTTCCAGCAAACCGACCAAAAGAGAGGGACCCCCCAACACGGACCCTTCCACTTCTCCGCCTCACCCGCAGCGACCCGCAGGAGCAGGTCTTCCACCTCCCCGTCACGATGCGCTTCCCGGTAACCTCGACGTTCACGCTCCTGGCTGGTGCGGCCGCAGCCGCCGCCGCCTCGTCGTGGGGCTTCAGCGACGCATCGGTCCAGGCCGTGGCCAAGTCGGGCGTCGTCGACAGTACCCACACCTTCTCCGACAGCAGGCCGGCCGCGGAGCCCGTCGTCCTGGGACACACGGACAAGCTCAAGGTGTCGCTCACCACCAAGTCGGGATCCAGCGCCAAGAAGCCTCACCAGGCTTTCCTCATGGTGCGGGAGGAGTCTGGCCTCGAGGCACCGTTTGCCCTGACACTCAAGGGCTCTGGCAAGGGTACTGTCGAGATTGTATGTTTCTACCTCTCTATTTCCATATCTTTCCAAGTCCGCCCGCGCCCGTGTGTGGTTCTTTGGCTGATTGAATGCTTTGGTGGGTAAAACCAAAAAAAAAAAAAATAGTCGCAGAAAGACCTCCCCGTCCAGCTTCTGGTCTCCCCGAAACCCCTCAAGGCCAGCCTCGTTCTCGGCTCCTTCGGTTCGGATCAGGCCACCATCTCGCCTGCCTTCGACATTGTCCTCCAGCTCGACGCCAATGCCAACACGCCCGTCGTCGAACCCTCCCTGCGCTACGGAAAGCAGCCCAATATCCACCACATATTCCGTGGCGACCCCAAGAGCCCCCCCATCATTGTCTCGATTGTCTTTTCCCTGGCTGTCGTTGCGACGGTCCCGGCTCTGTTCATCGGCGTATGTCTCCCCCGCTTTATATTTATATCTGCCCCCCCTCCCCCTCACCTCTCCCTCTTCCTGAGAAATACTGACTGGAGTATGTAGTGGACCGTGATCGGCGGTAACCTGTCCCACGCCAAGGAGGCCCTGTCCAACGCCCCCATCGCCCATGTCGGTTTCTTGGGCTCCATTATCGCCATGGAAGGCGTCTTCTTCCTCTACTACAGCGGCCTGAAGCTCTTTTCTGTCCTGCCGTTCATGGGCGCCGTCGGTCTCGTCGCTGTCCTCAGCGGATCCAAGGCCCTCGGTGAGGTGCAGTCTCGTCGTCTGGCTGGCGAGAGGTAGGTAAATCGGTGAGGAAATATGCATCAAACTTGCAATCGATCTGGTGCATTTGCACGGGGGGTTTATGAAAGGAAGGACAGAGGGGAAGACATGAATGAAGAAGGGAAAAAAGAGGGAAGGAATCAGTATAACGCATGAAGCGATTTAACTGTACATTATGACTTTTTGTTTCTCTTTACTCTATTCTCGAAAAAGGGATACGTGGTTGTTGTAAACTACCGAGGTTATAGAGATGAAATGCAACGACTCTGTTCCATCTCGGTTCAATCCGTATGTCTCGTGTACCTGTTGGTTGTCGTCATCAACGGGTCCACTCTCAACGTGACCGACCCTAGTCTCTTGCATCGTCATCAACCATCTCAGCCTCCCCAAGTATCAGCAGCTCATTCTCCGCTGCCAAACCTCTTGATATTGCTCGTATATTAAATAACACAAGAAGAAGAAGAAGAAGAAGAAGGAGAAAATACCACTCCAACACGATTTGAATCTTTCGGCTTCCCTTTCATAAACCTCCTAGCGACACCGCGCGCGCCCATCATGGTCACAAACATGCACGTGCTCCCTTGACTTTCACCTGCGCTTTGACAGGCTCCCGCCTGGCCCGAAGCTGACTTGTGACAATCCCCTCCGTCTAGGCCATTCAAGGTCCCCTCGCTAGAAGAGACGATCAACCACCCATCCTACGGGTCGACAGTATGGGCCCTCGAGCCTCACCGGAGTGGCCTGTGTCCTGCCGCCCAGGATCGCGGTGGTCCCATCAACATAGCCTGGGAGATTCACGGCGATGGGCCGATCAAGCTTGTTGTACGTCTCTCTCTCTCTCTCTCTCTCTCTCTCTGTCTGTCTGTCTGTGTGTTTCTCTTTTCCCCGGTCTCTAGGCTTTCCTAGTTACCGTCCATATATCCCGACCAGCTGACTGGCCGTCCCTCCTCCGGGGGAAGGACAAAAATTAAAGCTCATCAGCGGTCTCGCCGGCGTCCTGGCCAGCTGGCAACGTCAGACGCGCTACTTTGGCCACGACCACGGGTCGCGCTACTCGGTCCTGATCCTGGATAACCGCGGCATGGGGCGAAGCGACAAGCCGCTGGGGCGGTACACGACGAGCGGGATGGCGCGCGACGTGCTCGACGTCATCGACCACGTCGGCTGGGGCGGCGACGCCCGCGACATCCACCTGGTCGGCATCTCCATGGGCGGCATGATAGCCCAGGAGGTGGCCTGCCTCGCGCCCCGGAGGCTGGCCTCCCTCTCCCTCCTGTGCACCTCGGCGTCCGTCAGCAACACGACGACCCTGCGCGAGTACCTCGTCGAGCGGGCCGGGTTCCTCGTCCCCAAGTCGACCGAGCAGAGCATAGCCGACACGGCCCGCAAGCTGTTCCACGACGACTGGCTGGGTGCCCCGGACGCCGAAGACGTGCCCTCCCCCGACACGACGCCCCGCTGCGCTGCCGGCGTCACGTACGGCATGTTCGACTCCAACTTCCAGCGTTTCCAGGCCCAGGAGCTGGCCAAGCGCCGAGCTCCCGGCGTCTTCACAAGGACCGGCTTCCTGTGCCAGCTCGTCGCCGTGCAGTGGCACTCCAAGAGCCCCCAGCAGCTGAAGGATATGGCCGACGCTGTGGGCCGTGAGCGCATCCTTGTCATGCACGGCACCGACGACCACATGATTACGGTGCCGAATGGCCGCCGCCTCATCGATGCTCTACAGCCTGGGACCGGTATGATTGTCCAAAACATGTCGCATGCGCCTGTCATGGACCGCTGCAAGTGGTTCAACGAGCTCCTCGATGAGAAGCTGCAGGCCTGGGCACAGATCTAGACGATCAAGACGGACGTTCTACGATGACGTACGACATATGATGGATGATTGATTCACTGTATTCTCGTTTTTACGTCTTTTCTCTCTCTCTCTCTCTTCTGTTTCTGCCACAAGTTCTGGACGTATCCTTCTTCTTTTTTCTCCTTCACATTTCCATCGCTGAACTCGTTGTATATAAATATATATATATGTGCGCGTGTGTGAGCGCGTGCGCGCGTGTGAATCCACTCCACCTAGAGCATGACAAAACCAATGCCAGATAGATTCTTATCGTCGAGCTGGTTCTTAGCATCGACTCCTCCCGTGATGGAGTGGGCGCGGTAGTTGAACAGGTAGTAGTGCAGCTGGCCGGAACCGGCACCAAACTTCTGCTGCTCCAGGAAGAGGCCGTTGTCCATGAAGCTGAGGGCGTTGAAGACGTCGAACTTGAGGTTCTTGGCCAGGATGAGGGCGTCGTGGACGAGCGAGTTGAGGCGGTCTTTGTGTGCGGAGCGGTCGTAGGGCTCCTGCAGTCCCGACTCGCTGGCGTAGTACCACAGGTAGGCGACGCGGACGACGCTGTGCTTGCTGTTGCCGATGACGGATGACTCGATGCAGTTGAAGGAGAAGAAGTCGGTGATCTTGCCGTCCTTGTCCTGCGTGCGTGTCAGCAAGCTTACTGTGTGCAATGAAGGGGTGGGAAGGAAGAAGCCAAGTGCAGAATGATGAGGGGGGGAAGGAGGAGTTTACCTGAACGACATAGGACCAGACGACCTCCTCACCCCCTTTTGGCACATCAGGAACGAACCAATGCTTCATCTCCTCCTTGGTAAACTCGGGAGCCATGTCGAAGCGCTTGAGGTACCTCTGGAACAGGGGCATGACGGCATCGAGGTCCTCCTCCTGCATCTTGCGCAGGCCGCGGGTGGCGGTGGCCTCGGGCAGGGCGTACTTGTGGACCTGGTATTGGGGCTTGCTCCCGGGGGGCAGAGGGCTGAAGCCGCACTCGTACAGCTTCTGCCAGTTTATGGCGCGGTGGAAGTAGCGGCAGGTGCTGACGGGGCGGGGCAGGACGATGCCGGCGGTGTGGACGCCCTGCCAGATGCCGTTGAGGTTGCTGATGCGGGTGATTTCCTTGATGAGGACCGGGGCGAGGCGCTTGCCGCGCAGCTTCTTGTGGACGACGAGGAAGTTGACCTCTGAGCAGAGGACGGTGCGGTCGCGGACGCGGACGTGGGCGGGGATGGCCGAGATGTAGGCCACCAGCTTGCGCGACTGCGTCGCCCGGACGCCGACGTGGTACCTGCTGTGCCAGCCGGGGGACATCATGGCCCAGCGCAGGAAGGATGGCGAGTAGTTGAAGCGGAACATGGCGTCGTCGTCCTCGACGTAGTGCCCGTTGAGCAGCTCGTACACCTCCTTGACCTCGCCGTCGTCGTTGAGGTCCAGCGTGACCCACTCGAAGCCGGGCACCAGCGCCGCCGGCTCCTTGGACACCTCGTCCACCGTCTGCACCCTTATCGGCCCCTCCTCAAAGGCCTTCTCGTCCTCACCGAACCGGGGCACCGGCTGCGTCTGCCAGAACTTGTAGGCCCCCATCTCCTTGACGTTCTTGCCGCCCGACGCCAGACCGGTCATGATGTCCTGCATGCTCAGCTTCCTGAGCATCTCGGCCGTCTGGTCCGCCGACGGATTCGAGCTGCCGGACGACGACTCCAGCTCCCGAGCAAGCGACGGGTTCAGCGCGATGAGCTCCTTGGCCTGCTCGGGCGTCAGACCGGAGATGGCCTTTTGAATGTCCGCCTCCGGGTCCGCCGACTTGCCCGTCAGCACCTCCTTGACCTTGGACCTCTTGGACCTCTTCTTCTTCTTCTTCTTCTTTTCTGTCGGCCCGGCCGCAGCGCCCTCGGTCGTCGCGGTCGCGGTCGCGGTCGCAGTCGCAGGCTCGTCCTCCTCGTCTTCCGAGCCCTCGGACTCCACCTCGGCTTGCTTGCCCTTGACGTCCACCTTGGCCTCGTCGGCCGCCTTCTTGTCCGACTTGTCTCCCTGCGCAGGCATGGCGTTGTCTCGGTCCTTGTCGTCTTTCTCGTTGCGATGTCTGTCCGGTCGATCTTGTCGTCTAGGAGGGTCGGAGAGTGAGAAGGGAAGGGAGAAGGTTCGGGTGAGAGAAGCTGGCGATGGTGGGGGGCAGACGTCTACTGCGGGGCATCATGCGGCCACCGGCCCATCTCGTCACCAACAAGGTCCCTGAATTATTCAAGTTGCAGTGTATCATGTATGATTTGACACTGCAGTAGTTGACATGCCTAGCAATAATATTCGACAACTATCGTCAAAGTCTTGGCCGTCATGATTCATTCGAACAAGACATCCTAACCGTCATCTAGCTCCTATCCCTTGACGGACCATTGACCGTCCTTTTTTCAATTGTAATACTTGAGGTCAGCCGGGAGGAAGTGGCCAGCCCCTTGGAAAGCGGTCACCCGTTTTGCTAATTGCTAGTAAAATAATGAATCTAGAATGTCCGCTTTTAACCACCAATATATGAGTATATTCATATCAATAGAGAACATCTACTCTTATAATTGCATATTTTCCTATTCGATATCCACGACAACACCTTTATTCTTACTCACAATCTGTTTGAAGCTACGCCCTCATCAGACCGAGATATTCAAAAGAAACTGAATTCTAATTGGGGGTTTTTTTTTTCTTAACGATTGTCTCCTCTGAAGAACAGAGACGATATCGGCAATCGTCGAGGGAAGTAGCCTTATGGAGGTGTCTATGGGTCGCAGGTACACCGAGTGCTACTCACTATCATAACCAATCATGGAGTATTTTTAGGTGGCCGCCTCCAGACTGACCTTGATATATGCATCTATTAATGTGTAGCAGCACTCAGCTACAACATCACTACTCCTCTCCCCCTCGAGAGCGACCTGTCCCAGCAGAGTTGAAACATCTCATGATGGCCAGCGGCAGAGGAGCGTACGTCATGATGTTATTGTGACCTGATGAGAGAGAGAAAAGTTATCAGTTCCAACTTCCGCTGACCAGACATCATCTTTAACTTGGGGGCCCAACTCACCTCCGACTGCGAACAGCTCTTGCCGGACAATTACATCTGGATCGGACTTCCATGTCGTCACAAATGCATCGTCGCTCGTCCGAATCGTCTTCGTCTGTTTCCACGCGTCGAAATCTTCGTGTCCCTCAATCTTGACAACCTCGTTGACGGCAGCCCTGAACAGCTTATTGTCCTGTGTCCAGGGTATATCGGCATCGTTCTTTGCGTGGACCAGAGAGAGCCTCAAGCGGTTCTTGGTGTTTCGCACAATGCTGGCAAGCCGGTCGTCCGTACGCCACGTATCGACAACCAGGCTCTGCAGCAGGTTGATGAGGAACGGCCACGAGCGGAGAGGGGCGAGCACGGGGAAGACGCCCCCGATACGGTACTCGGCCAGCATCGTCGCCAGGTCGCTGAAGCCGGCTACGAGGACTAGTCCGGCGAACTCGACGCCGCGCGAGACGTAGCGCTCGGTCACGGCGCTGGCCACGGCTGTCCCCAGGCTCTGCCCGAGAAGAAGGATGCGCTCGGGCGGGATGCCGGCGACGTTCATGACCCATTCCACCACGGCCGAACCGTCCTCGACGAGACCGGCCTCGTCGGGACTGCCCGTGGAGTGACCGTATCCTCTGTAGTCAAACGTGATGATGTGGTAGTTAGACGTGGCTGTCAGGGAATGGTAGGTGGCCGGGCGGATAACCTCGGCGACGTGACCTGCGTTCTGCGCCGGCCTAGCATGAGCAGGGGAGCCCTAGTCTGGTGAAGGGGGGCAGGACCTACCCCGTGAACTACCTGACGTGTTAGGAATCATACTGGTCCCGGACACAGGGAGGGGGATGAACCCACAGTTCAGGATGACCTTTGCCTCCGGATCCTCCTTCAGCAGCTTAAATGACTCGGTCTGCGTGACGTCTTGCGCAAACGCGGGAGACCCGACAGACAGCGCATCCTCATTCTGCAGATAGGTCGGCAGTGGAAGGATATGCCAGGCGTAGATGGTCTCGCCATCAGCCGTCCCGAGCTGGAAGGGCGTGACCTGGTTTCCTGGGAGCAGCAGGCGCGGGTGTGAGCTCTTTGTCATCTTCCTGGTCGGCAGCGTAGGGATCTTGGGAAGAACGAACTGGCAAACCCCCATTTACCGGGGTTGTTCAGGTCACTCCATAGAAGAGAGCTGATCTTGTGAGCGTACACAAAGCTGGCCAGTCGTCGGTTAGCGAGCCGAGGATGTCGCCCAAGAAGATGGAGGAAGCTGGGACCCACTGTCTCTGGAAGAAAGGATTCACGGCCAGGATCAGGAAGATGGCATATAGAGCTAATGGCACTATGACGGCCCAGGCCGCGTGCCTGAGACTGTGATGCAGACGTATTGCCATGGTGAAGACAGTTGTGTTCCGAGACAGAGCCAAGGCCGGATGGTGGTACTGGATGGTAGCGATATGGAGAGCATTACATGGTAGAAGCCGCGGAGGTGGGCCTTGTTGCTGGAGTACGAGTACGGTGGTAGTAGCTTTCGTGGAGGTGATCTCCTGGGCAGCCACCTTCGGTTGAGTCGACACGGAGATACTGTCATCTGAGAAGCAGCAGCGCTCCCAAACACGACAGAGGACCGTCCGAGACTTGTCTATGACCCTTCAGTGTACCGTAAGTCTCAATTTTGACAATAATATTGTGAACAGTCGTCTGGGGACCGGCCAGTAGCATCACGTGATTCCCTTGTATTGCCTTTGGGAGCTTCGATCTGTCATCTGATTCCTCGGGGCGGTGGCGTAGTTGGGAGCGCGTCAGACTGAAGTCAAACTTCAATCATTAAAATCTGAAGGTCACCGGTTCGATCCCGGTTCACCCCATTCGAGTTTTTTTTTTCTTTTGCACTTTTCTTCTATCGTTCCTCCGATACTGTCTGTTCCCTTTCCTTTTGATACATGTATATTTTTCTTCCTTTTCTATGCTTGTGAGATCACTGGTTGTTACCCGCCGTTGACAATTATTCATACAAGGTCTCACTCAACCTTGATTCCGAACTGGTACGACCGTTTCTCGGGCTTCTCGCATGTTCCCAAGTCAGACGGGCGCCTGTCCGTGTGAGTACGGGTATTCAGACCCAAGGATTCCCTTTGAGAGGAATGAGGGGACGGGATCCCATAAGCTCAAGCTGCGCGGTAATCATCGAGACTGCATCCTTCCAATCGAGCGGCAAGACGCCATGAAGCTCCACGCATCCGCCCTGGTTGCCTCTGTAGCCGCAAGTTTCGCCTTCTCCGACTCCAAGGGGCAGTCGGTTATAGCTCCTATGCGACTGAAGTATTGGGACTCATCTTTTCCCATTCTCTGGCCAGACTAGGAGTTTCCTACGTGATATATCCCGGATAATCATACCGGACCTGATTTAGTCAGGGCTTTGAGTCTGTTCGAGGCTCGCTTGCAAGCACGTACTCATACAAAACATGTAGCATTGGGGAGAAAGGCAAATCAGACATGCCTGATTGACAACGACATTGAACGAATAGGGAGCGAGGATTCGCAGAAACGAGTCCCAGATATCGAATATTACCTCTCGGAATCCCCCCCCCATCTTCATATGTGAGAGGAGAGCTTTGAGAAGAGAGACGAGAGTCCTGATCGATTCAACGATAAAGAGGCTTCACTAACACGCGAGCATCCAAAAGGGTAATCCGCCCCACCGATGCACCCCAGACCAATCACGCGCTCTGACTTCCGGTGAATCGCGTCAGAGCATTCTGGCGATGAAGAATGGTACCTTCAACCTTGCAGACTACATCGGTTCCCATTCTATGTGCTCGCACAGCACCCGCCACCTATTCATGCGATCGGTTCACTACGCTCTTCTGCCATACATGCCTCCGCGTGCTCCCTGCATGCAACGCAAGACGCGTATATATCCATCTACCTTGTCTACTCCTACCATGCGTATCTAAGTTCGACGAACGGACGACGACGACGACGATACACGTCCACGACTGATCTCCCACCACGATGGAGAAGAAGCGCAAGGCGCCCTCTCGGACGTCAACGCGACTCGGGAGGGCATCTAAGCGCCGGCAATCGACACCCCGCGAGCCCACGCCGGAACCTGTGCCCGAACCCACGCCTCCTCCCGTCGTCGAGAAGACGCCCCCTCCGCCGCCGCCACCTCCTCTGCCCATCTCTATCGAGGCTGGCAAACCCCTTCCTACAGTCGAGAAGCCACAGCCTGATGATCTGTCGATAGAGGAATACCAGGACGTTTACGAGAGGTGAGAATCTTCCAGACGGCAGAAGATAGGCCTTCTGTACTGCCCAGCACATTTGCTAATCACAGCACCACAGCGGCGTTCTTGTCGAATCTCTCATCCGGTCACGGGACAAATGGATAAACGGAGGCCTTTTCGAGAAGTACTGGACAAAACCTCATAAGCGCAAGGGCGTCCTGCAAGAGGACCCTAAAAACCCCTCCAAGGACACCATGTCGAAGGTCGGGCCAGTCACCATCACACTCGAACCGCACATCTTCGAAGCCACCATGTATGTCGTTAAGGACCCCAAGCTACGGCAACAGCACAAGGAGGCGCAGCAGAAGCATAAACAAATGGTGCAGCAGCAGAAGCAACAGCTCAAGCAGCAGCAGCAGCAGCAGCAGCAGCAGCAGCAATACCAACTGCAGCAGCAGCGACAACTCCAACGACAGCAGCAGCAGCAGCAGCAGCAGCAGCAGCGGTACCAACAGCAACATTTCCAACCAGCCCAGGCTCGCCCAGTCATCCAGTATGGCCAGCCAAACAGCTACGTGCCGCTCCCGGGGCCTCCAGTGGCGGCCGCTCACTCACCGGCGCCAGACGCTCGACACGCCTCTGGTAGCCCGGCCCCTATCTCTGCGCAGCCTCAGCCTCAGCTTCAGAGGCCACCCTCGAATGAACCCGAAAGGAGGGCCTCTGACGGTCCAAGGCTAGCAGCAGCCCCTTCTACAGCTCTTGGGGGGACCACCCCTTCACCTGCGCCGAGCTACCCGCCGAGACCTCCTCCGGGGCCGGCAGCAGTCGGCAAGACAACAGTCCCACCAGCCGCCGGAACACCTCCCAACACGGCTACTGTTCGGCCGCCTCCGAATCCCCCTCCAGCACCGCAGGCAGCCGGGACATCGCCTGCTGGCACGCCTCCTACCGGCGCACGACCGACGTCGAGACCCCCAGCGAGACCGGCTGCCAATGCCGCACCGGGTCAGCCGGCACCGGCGAAAGCGGGACCAGCAGCAACAGCTTCTGGGTCCGGCAAGCTCAATACCGCTGCCCCGGCGCCCGCAGCCAAACCCGCCACGAATGACCCTGTGATAGCCCTCTTGGCCCAGCGAGCCTCAGGCGATCCAGAGCTTAGAGATCTTATGAAGAGGGTTGCCGTCGGACAGGCAAAGCAGGAGGAACTCAACCATTTCCAGAGTATAATCAACCAACTGAATGCAGAGTATAAGCGAGGAGGTGGACAGCAGGGCCCATCAGCAGACAGACTTCTCGTGGATGGCCGGACGGTCAAGTACTTTGCGGTCGAGGTGTGCGCCATCCTCGACTTTGTGCTTGCCTCCAACCTCAACCAGAAGGCAGCGGACCTCAAGCCGCCCCCGCGAAGCGACGCCCTGGTCGTCCTGCTCGTCAAGGCAGCGCTCGAGGATGAGCGTACAAAGGCCATGTGTAGGCGCATAGCCACGGATAAGCCAGGATTCACGGACTCGACGGATCTCAAAGAGATACTCGATCGTCTGCACAGAGACTCCAAGACTACGTCGCAGCACCTGCAACACCCTCCGCAGAAGCAGCAGCAGCAGCAGCAGCAGCAGCAGCAGCAGCAGCAGCAACTGCGCCCCCCGCAGAATCAGCAACAACAACAACAACAACAACAACAACAACAACAACATAATCATCATCATCATCCGCCGCCGCCGCCGCCGCAGCAAAAGCTTCCTCCAGCACCCCAACCGCCACCGCAACCGAAACAGACTCCTGCAGCACCTCAACTGCAACCGGAGCAAAAGCTCCCTCCAGCGCCTCAGCATCAGCATCAACATCAGCCGCAGCCGCAGCCGCAGCTGCAACAGCAGCTGCCGGGACCGCCGAATCCCCCACAGGGTCAGGCACCTCACGGACCAGTCGATGACAACGGAAACATCCAGCCTCAAGCCCCCAAGCAGACAATCCGCTACAAAGCCCCCACGCCTCTACCGCCGCCGCCGCCGCTCAAGAGCGACGTGACAAAGGTCATATTCGACCTCGGCACGGGAGACCGGTACCTGTTCCCCAAATACAGCATCCTGGAGTACCTGCCGACGATATCGGGCCAGATGCAGGTGGTAGCCTCGTTCCTCATCACCCGCAAAGGCGGCGACCCTGATTACGGCGGCGAACCGGACCTCGAATACTACCAGCCCGTAACGATACGCCTGTCCAGCCAGTCGGGCCGCCATCTCGAGAACCTCGCGCGGGTCGTGCCCCCGCAGGACGAGGTGAGGCAGCACATGAATGACATGATGGACAGGCTGATCCGTGCGGAGTACGTCCACCTCGCCCTGCGTCTGCCACGGACCGTCAAGGAGGAGGACGACGACGACGAGCGCGAGCGCGAGCACGGACACGGGCGCAACGAGGAAGGGCGGAGACAAAGAGCCGAGAGGCTGGATGAAGCCAAGAAGATTGAACCGGATGCGTCTGCGCCGGCGCCGGCGCCCCTGCAGCTCTCCAAACCAAGTGTGCTCTGGACGACGCCGGCAAGTGCACCTGCAAAGGTGGACCATGTGCCACACTCCGTGAATGAAGACGACGAGGCTGAGGCGCAGTATAGGCGCCTCATTCACTCGGTCGCAGCTAAGGGGCCGACTGTTCAGCTATAGGTTAGATGGGGATAGTGGTGATAAAATGTAGCCTGCACCATTTAGCTGTCTGACTGCTAGAGATATCAAATCCCCCCACGTCGGCCATCTAAACTGAGACTTTTCCGTACGATTTCATGTGCCAGGGGGTTGCAATGTGACGGCCAGACTGTTTTCAAGCTCTGATCCCCTGCTAAGCTCTCGTTGAATGACACTCTGCTGATTTGAACGTGGGCCGCTTTGAAGTTGCAACCTACTCTTGACGTGCGGATGAACATGTTGTGTTTGTTTATTTACATTTCTGTTTACACTGCTCTTTACACGTAAATATGAGGTGCTGGCATCCCTTCAACTTCTACGCCCGAGATCTAGGATCTTGGGTCATATACAAAGTACAAGGCAGGGTATAAGCTGAGCCCCATATTGTTGAATATTGTCAGTTTGTAGATTCCATCCTGTTTGGCCTTCTATGTAGTAACGGCAGTAGAAGACTGCACTTGCACAGGAACCCAAACGGGGGACTCTCCTGCCTGGCCTATAGCTAAGTACTACGCCCTCACGGTTGCGGGTCATCGTCCTCGCGGTATTCGACCAGGGGAGGTTCCGGGCTTTGGTACTTGACGTTGGTGTATATCCTCTGGAAGTCGGGCATGTCGACGCAACCGCTGGGCTTGGTGATATCGCAGGCGAGGTAGCTGAGAAGGGCACTCATGGAAGCGCTGGGCTGTTCGAGAAGCCACTGTGGCATGCCAATGTCGGCGTACATTTCGCTGAGGAAACCGACGAGCTTCTAGTGAAGCGTATTAGCATCCATAGGGAACTCCCCTCCCCCAAAGAAACCAGGAGTGACAGAGGAACGAGGGACATACCAGCGTTGTCATGGCCAAGTCATCCGATAGAAGCATAGTAGTCTCCCCAGGAATTGCGGGAGCGACTCTAGCCAGAACCTTGGCAACCTCCTTCAGACCTAGGAAAGCCTGTGGAGGAAAGGGTTAGCTATCTGGCACATGACCGGGAGGGGTGAGGAGGGGGGGTTGGATGGTGTACATACGTGCGTCATGTCTTCCTGGAGGATGTATCGGTAGTGTGGGATGCACCGTTTTAGCGTTTTCCAATCCTCCTGCAGTCAACTTGTCAGTACCCGGGTTTTCGTAATTCTCCTATTCTTTCTCATCCTTGGGAGCATCAGCTTACAATGGTTGCCTTCATACCGTCTCTATGATGGACACTGTCTTCTGAAATCAGGTACATGATCCAGTAGACGTGCTCGATGAGGCTGCGGAAGAGAGCCTCTTGATCGAGGTTGAGCTCGATCGGCTGGGGGAAGAGAAGGGGGCCTCCACGTTTGACCATGCGGGCATGGCACTTCTTAGCACCGGATCCGACGTGCTTGTCAAACTTGGATCTAGACGGGGATACGTTGTTCTGCCAGGTCCCGGCCCTTATCAGGGCCGGGAAGCACAGAATGAGAAGGAAGATGTGGAACGGCTTCATCTTGTGTGGTCATCTGCTTCTCAGTGAATGAAGAGAGCTACAGGTATCAACCAGATTGATGTGCAGTCTCTTAGCAGGTATTTGATCGTTCCTGGATGGGGGATGAAGGGAGACAAAGTGTGCATGTTGGAGGACAGATCCAAGAGTCAGGAGCGATGGGGAGACCGTCCTTCTATACATGGACGACCATGATTAAACTTCCAAAAGTACGGAAGGTGCTTTATTTACATTTCACGTTTATATCTTGTGACTCCTCAACACGGGGAAGAAGATTTGGAGTTTCGTTGGGTGATATTCATATTGACTCTATGCATATACTTTACAGTAAACATGTTGAATGCTGATGAAGACAACATGCAGTTGCCTCTTCCCGTTGAGGTCTCATAGTACCGGTACTGAGTATGGTGCTTTCGTCGTGTAGTCCACCGTACACTGAAATGAGTGAGATACCGTGACTTTGTTGGCAACTTGAAGGAACCATCCACTTGATACCAATGCACTGCGCCTTCTCCTGATGGCTCTGAGTGTTCGAGGCTGCACGTCAGTATTGACTGTCTCCGCGAAGCTCTAAGTCTACCAAGACAGAGTTTCTTGAGTATCTAGAATCACATAGAATAGGACAGATGACCAGTGTGAGCAGAAGAATACGCTTCGAAGCTCGAGGATAGCTGCTGCTTGCCCACAGATAAATAGAGGCCCCCTCCCCTTGAGGATCCTGTATCCTCTTCTCTCCCTCCTCAGACACACACGCACACAGACACACATCTGATCCCAACGTTTCAAGGCTTCTGTCACGATCAGGCTTCCAACAAGTGTCCATCTGCCATCGAGACCATACACTCATACATTACTACTTATCTTCTCCCACTACCACAGCCATGCTCTTCAGGAGCATCGTGGCTGCTGCCCTCCTGGCACCCATAGCGGCGGTCTCGGGGATCGTCCAGCGCAACTGGAACGTCAGCACCACGATGGAGACCATGACTAGGACCATGCCCGACGACTCTGACGAGATCTTCCACGGCTACAATCTGACTGTGCTCCTCAATGAGCTTCCCCCCAACAGGTCATATGTCCTCACGCCTTGCGGTGTCAGGGAGGCCAATCCCAACGGCAGTGCTGGCATCAATCGCCCCAGCAGGGTAGACGGTGAGAGCACATGTGCCAGCAGCAACCTCACCAACGTCAACACCACCAGCATCCCCCCCGACAACAACACATTTGCCGAGGACGACCGGATTACTGTCACCAGAGTCGAACCTCGCAGCCTCGGAAGGCTCCGGAAGAGGGGCTCGGGCGATGTGATTTACGGCTTCGCCAGACAGTGGCGGAGAAAGCCGTGGAACCCTCAGTACGCGGGTCCCCGAGAGTGGTGGGATCTGAGCTGGCAGACGTGCCGGAACGGAAGACGTCTGGACGCCCTGGAAGGCTGCATGTCTTTTCGCGCCCTAGAGTGGCTTGCTCACATCATGATCGCTCCGGCAGAGCTCATCACTGCGGACAGCGTCACTGATCAGTTCAGGGTCAAAGGCTCTGGCGGTGGCCACGCACCGGTATGCTCTGGCCTTGGGTTGACTCAGACCTCCTCTCCCGTTTTCTTCTTCTCCTTGTTCGAAAATCTCACTGACGTTTTTGTACAGGCAATCCTTCGGGGAGTTCTCGCTTGGACTGAGATCCTCCAGGTTCTGATCGGCCAGATCCACGACGCAACCATTGTCACCGAGCATGACCAGATGCGCATCATGAAATGCTATCTCGATGTGAGTCGACATTACCCGATATACTCGAACCAGAGGGGGTGAAAAAGAGATACAGACATATTAACCTCCCTCTCCTCCTCCTTCCAGTACTCGTACCAAGCCTCGGCCTTTCTTCAGGCTCTATCCACAAGGGCTGACGAGTTTGCGGCTGACGATCCCGCCCGGTGCATCGTCTTTGACAAGATCGAGATCCTGTACATAGTCTACAAGCAAGTGGGCGACCTCCTGTACAGCAACGACCCATCGATTCGACCTGTCCTGACCAAGCAATTCCCCGCCGTCATCCCTGACGAGTGGCACACCAAGCACGGCGCGCCTCAGCCCAGCCATCTCTTCGCCGACTACGTGCGAACGCACGACTGGGCGCGCATGGGCGGCTACGAGTCTGACTTTGCCGAGTCACAGACGGCTTGGAAGTGCATCGAGACTCGTCAGCAGTGGCCTCAGGAGCCCAGGAAGCTCGAGAGAGACTACAACAGGCAAAAGGCTGACTGGCTGAAGTTGGAGAAGGACATCATCTTCGATCTGAGAACCAGGACCAGAGAGGAGGCACAACGCAGGAGGGACAGGGGGGAAGATCACGGAAAAGGGTGGAAGACAAAGAAGCAGAGAAAGAAGGATGAGAAGAAGGCGAAGAAGGCCCGCAAGAACGTCAAGAAGCTCAAGGAGGACGGGTTTGGTGACCTCGATATCTCTTGGGGTCAGGAGATCTGGCCTGGATTCGCCGCAGAGGACGGCCTTGCCTATATCGACGAGTATTGATCTCCACACCAGACGGCACAGCTTCTGAGGGATACATCTGGGGGATACATCTGGGGGATACACCTGGGGGATACATCGGGGAGATTGGGAGGGTTCATATCATCTCAAGTAGATGTCGTGAAATGGAAATGAACAGTTTGATACGACTGTTCTCATCAAGACTGTCTGCGGTCTGATGACGGTGGTGACGGTGTTGCTGTTTTTGATCAGGCCATGTTTACGTCCAGGCTGATCTGTACAGCCAAGCGGCATTGCGTCATCGCCTCTCTCAACTCTAACTCTATGCGTGCGTGTTTGTGGCTGATGAGCTTGTAGGGCTCCAGCCACACCTTGTTGAAACAGAGAGCCGTGGTTCATCTCACGGCCTTCGACAATCCTAAGCTGAATTATGCATCATCTTATCTCTCTTTTTCTTATTCCCATCTCATCTCTTTGTCGATATCCCTACACCGAAGTTGAGCCAAGCCTTCAGCCCTGCCCTTTCAACTTCGCCCCTCCCCTCGGCGGCACCATGCCTGTTTGAAAGCTGCTATCGCTCTGTGACATCACGCCTCTCTATTCATCATGGGCCAAGCCATGTCGGACGAGCCTCCCCGACAGCAATCGCGGGAGGAGCTCACAAAGCGACTCGTATGTAAAACCTCCTCACCCGTATCTGCCTCTCTGGCGGGCTCTGGCGGTCTAGATGGAGATATGTTCAGATTGTGCAGAGTAAGATACCGTTGCTGAGACCTGGAACCGTCATGGGAGATCAACACGATAGGCGGTCACCTTCAAGGACAAGTGCTTCAGCTCTCTGGAATTCTACCTGCTCAAGGCAGCCTTTGAAAGCCTGGCAGATCGTCAGGGTAACGTGCGCTACCTGAAAGAGGACAGTGTCGCGCGGTTCCTCGAAATCCCCGACATCATTGGGGCTGCCCCCGTCATCTTCCAGATGATCTCGTACATCGGGGCCTTTCCCTTCCTCCACGATGCCCCTGCTGTGCTGGAACTCCCCCAGCTCATCATAGTGCTGGTGATCATGACGGAGCGGTACCGCAAGGTCTTGGCCAGAGGTGCCTCCGACAGGAACAGACTCTTCTTCAAGGCGCTCGCCGTGCACGACAAGAAGGTGGCCGAGACTGGAAGCTCCGCCGACGAGGCAGCTAAACAGGCTTCATCTTCAAATGCCGGGTTCGGAATCGACCAAGCGGCAAACGACGATGACGACGAAGATGACGAAGACCTGGTCCTCACCGCCTTCGAGCTGCTGGACATTGATGATGCCTTCAAGCAGGGAGACCCGCCACCCTCGCACGGCGCCATGATCCCGCCCGACAACTTCCGGAAGATCCTCATGCTCCTCCTCCTCGCGGCACCCATGGCCGGGGACGAACGTCTCTCCCAGTACTCCGACCACGCCTCCGGGGAGAGTCTGGAAGCGCTCCGGGCTACGGCCGAGTCTATCCTCGCGGCCTTTGTTGACGTGGAGACCTCTCCGGGCATCAGGTACAGCCGCTTCAAGAGCGTGGTACCGACCCTGCTCCCAAACCTGTTCAGAGGTTTCAACGGCATATTTGAGCATTTCCTGTTCGCCCAGGACCTCGGTCTCTCCAAGCACAAGGGCGACGAGGAGAAACCGGAGCCGGCCAAGGCCGTACAGCCGCTCCTTCCGCAAGTGGGCGAGATCCTTAATGAGCACTCCCTTGCGCAGCTGTCATTCTTCATCCCGGGCGACTCCCTCTTCCGTCGCGTGAGGCCGCTATACTCGGGTAACGAAGCGGGCTTTTCCATGGGCAGCTTCGAGACCAAGGTGTTCAACTGGCGGGCGCCTACGCTGGTTCTCGTCCGGGGCACACGGATCAGCAGCGTCCCCGACGGCGGGCGGGAGTCGGCCTTTGCCGACATGCTACCACCCAAGCGCTTTCCCGACGGCAGCAAGTCGGACCGTCTCACATTCGGCGTCTATATCAGGGAGCCGTGGAAGCATACGCACAGGGAATGCTTTGGCGACTCGGACACGGTGCTCTTCCAGCTCGAGCCCGTCCACGACGTCTTTGCTGCCTCGACCCTCAACACCGACTATGTCACCTTTACCAAGCCGCCGGCCAACGACCCGTGCCTGTCCTTTGGTGGTGCGCACCCGCACCCGACCAAATCGGGCCGCAGGAACGGCGTCCTCCCTATGGGGTCTGTATCGCTCACCCTCGACGGCTCGTTCGAGTTCGGCGTCTTCAACCACGACTTCACCTCGCGCGGAGGCGCCTTCCAAACCAGCTCCATCCGACAATTCAACTTTCAGGACCGGTTCCAGGTCGAAAGTCTCGAGGTCTGGGGCTGCGGCGGCGACAAGGAGGCAAAAGCCCAGGCTGACAGGTGGGCTTGGGAAGCCAAGGAAGCCGAAGCTCGTCGCAAGATCAACCTGGGATCGGGGGATATAGAGGCAGACCGAGCGCTGCTGGAGATGGCTGGACTTGTCGGAGGCGGCAATCGCAGCGGCGGATCCATGGCTTGATCGCCAATCTGATGTACTTCTCCATGTCACAACGGAGAGGGCGTTTCCCTCTTCATAGGAGATTGGATTTATTCATTGGTGTTTTGCTTCTCATGTGACACGGTACAGTTAGGGAAGGGCCATTATACATGATGTGTTCCTTCACAGTCCCCTCGCGATGCCCATACATTCCTCCCCGCCCCTGACTAGTATAATATACACTGGCTCGCCTGTGGTGACTGGTGCAAGGAGCCCGCAGATCTCTTACGGTCGTGTCTTCCTACCTCTTGGGCTCGCCGTCATCCTTCTTGCCCTCGTCCTTCTTCTGCGATGCCAGGATCTCTCCCAGCGCGCCTAACGAGCTTTTGGGATTCTCCTTCCTCGACTTTCCCGACTGAGCGGCTGCCTCCTGGGCCTCGGCAGCCTTCTTCTCGCCCTCGGACCAGAGTCCCATATTTCCGAGCATGCCACCACCGCCGCCGCCGCCGCCGCCGCCGCTCTTCTCGGCGGGAGCAGCAGCATCGTTCTCGGTGTAAGAAGAAGAAGAAGCGGCGGCGGCGGCGGCAGCGTTGCGCTCGGCAACCTTCTTCTGCACGAGGCTCCTCATGGCCTTGTCCTCCTCGTCTCGGGCCTCGAGCTCGCGGATCCACTTGACGCGCTTCTCCTCGGCGTCGCGCTGGCTCTGCAGCTCCCTCAGCTCCTTGGTCTTGGCCCTGTCCTGGCTGTAGTACATGCTCCCGGCGACCATGGCGACGACGGTGAAGCCCTGGGCGGCCACACGGGCGCGGAACATGCGGTTCGCCTGCTTCGAATCGCCGCGCCTGAGGGCTCGGTAGGCATTGATGAAGGCGGCGACGGTAAGGCCGATTCCTGCAGAGCGGGAAGAGAGAATAGAGAGCAAGACGTGTCAGCGCTCATGTGTCGCTAGCTGTCGAGAGGAAGAGAAGAGGAGAAAGAAGGCGACGTACCTAGGGGGACGAGAGGCTCCTCCTTAACCTTGCGGAACACCTTTTGCATGGCACGCTCATTGTGGAATTCCCTGTGAGCATTCAATCGTAAGCGGCGGCCCAGTGAGTACGTGTATCATCGCGTGACGTACGGGGTGCTGTCAAACGACGAGGGCATCTGCCCAGAAATCTCGGTCGGTCGGCCGGTCATGGCTACGCTGAGAATATGCCCTTGAAGCCTGGAAATGTCCTTCTTTCTCTTCTCTCTTCTTTCAATCGGGGTAGCGATGTGCCGGTTGGATGAGCGTGGTTTAGAAAGGTCTGGAAGTAGAGAAAAGAAGAAGTATCGACGAGAGGCTCGAGTGGACGGCAAAACGTCGCCGAAGCGGCGGAGTTGGCGGGCGGAGTTGGTAGTGACGCATTTGCGGTTCTGCCCGGTGGGAAAGGGGTCCACCGATTATCCCTCCCTGCTGCAGAGGCGGCTCAGCATGGATTGCAGGCTAGAGCCTGGAGGTCACAGGGGTTCCAGGTGCTCACAGGGCTATATGGCCTGCATCAGGCCGCTGTAACCGCTACAGGTTCCAGTCCCCCAGCGGTCCCGCTCAGCTTAGGGTTATAGCGGGTACGGACGGCAATGCGGGCGAGTACCTCCTGCTTCACGGGAAGCTCTACGAGTAGCTACGTAGCTCCTCCTCCAAGTTTTTGTTGCGTCAGCGTCCCACCCTCCTGCATCTCCCAATCGACAACACAACTCAGTCATCTCTTCTTCTTCAGCTCTCGACCGCTGCTCGCCACACAAGATACCGTGTCTTCTTTCGAAATCGGACATAAGCAGATACGCCGTCGTCATCGGAGTCTCGCCGGCCCGCAGGTACATTGTCGAGGAGCAAACGGGGACTCTGTCCATCCAACATGCGCCAGAGGTAGTCAACCATGTGGTTGACCACGCCTTCCATAGAGAGCATCACGCGGCCCCGGCTGGCCGTCGCCGTCGTCTCTGCTTTCTGCGCCGTATCGGTCGCATACTACGCCTACCTGAGCAGTTCCTCGAACCAGCCCGACACCGTCGTAGGTGTGAGGCTGCATCGTAGTAATGCCATCCGTCGCACCCGACCCTCACGACGACGCGAATCCCACTCGAGCTCATCCTCGGAGCCGGCCGGCGACGAGAATGCGGATGCGGACGGTACAGCCCACCCCATCGGCAACGCATCCTCTGATGCCAGCGACGAGTGGTGGAACGACATGAGCAACGTGCCCACGCAGCGGAGAGGCCACAACATTGTCAACCTGCTCTTCCGCGTCTCCGAAGACAACGCCCGGAGGAACGGGTGCGTACATAGAGGATGCCAGTGCAACGCCTGCGGGATGGTGCCCATCCGCGGTATCCGCTACCGCTGCGCCAACTGCGCCGATTTCGACCTCTGCGAGGCCTGCGAGTCTCAGGGCTTCCACACCAAGACGCACATACTCTACAAGATCAGGGTGCCTGCACCTCCCTTTGGCCCCAGGCAGATGCAGCCTGTCTGGTACACCGGCGACCCTGACTCGTGCCTGCGGGTCCTGCCAAAGGCCCTCATCACCAAGCTGTCAGCCGAGACGGGCTTCGAGAGGCCCGAGCTCGAGGCCTTTTGGGAGCAGTGGACCTTTATGGCCAATACGGAGTGGAAAGACGACCCGGACGAGCTGTGCTTGGCAATGGACCGCAAGATATTCGAGCGCTGCCTCGTGCCGACCGGAGGGTCCCGGCATGCCGCCCCCAACCTGATACACGACCGCATGTGGTCCTTCTACGACACCAACAATGACGGCTTCGTCGGCTTCTCCGAGTTCCTGCACGGGCTGTCCTACCGAAAACGCCGTGACAAGCTGCAGAAGATCTTTGAGGGCTACGATATCGACGAGGACGGCTACGTCAGCCGCAAGGACTTCCTCCGCATGTTCAGGGCCTATTACGTACTGTATAAGCAGATGCACAAGGACATCCTAGACGGGCTGGAGGACCAGCTCCTCACGAACACGGAGGCCCAGCAGCTGATCGATAGCCGCCAGCCGCTCAGCAGCCTCTTCGGTCGTGAGGGACGCGTCCCCCACGCCCACAGGGGAGGTCTGACCCTGGACGGCAAGACGCTCCACAGAGACGGGAGCGTCGACGTCGCCGAGGGGACCGGTGCCGTTGCCGAGAACGGGGGGGACACGGCCTCTCGAAACGACATCCTGACGAGCCTCTTCGCCTATGACCCGGCAGACAGGTCCCGGTGGAGGTACTTTGCCCGCGCCGCTAATGTGCAGGGCGTGGACGGCACCGACGTGATCATCTCGGATACGCAGAGGCCGTATCTGATGACGCTGATCGAACCACCGACCACGCTCGATGAGCTGGCCGGTGCCTCCGCGGAGAACCGCACGCTGGATATCGAGGAGGAGGATGATGATGACGGCTCCGGCGGTGAGACCGAGGACGGAGAAGACGGCCGTGACAACCTTCCTGGGCCTCGTGAAGCCCCCTATCCGACGGAGACGGAGGAGAGGATCAGGGCACTGGCGCAGAGCCGACACAGCATCCCCCGTCTGGAGAAGCGCCGGCGCGATATGGCCCGTGCTCAGCTACATGAGCGCTGGAAGAGACGCCAGTTCTACCTCGACGAGGAGGAGGGCGGCAGCGCACCGGATGATTGGCAAGATAACGAGGACATCTTCCTCGATGCGCAGCAAGACGATGGTGGCCACGACGACGATGACGACGACGACGACGACGACGATGACGGCGACGACGACGAAGACGGCGACGACGAAGACGGCAAAGCTGAGACGTCCAAGATGCCGGGTCTGCCCTCCATGCTGTCGCGATCGCGGTCCAGCTCCAAGGTGCGATTCGCCGACAACACGGACGATCCTGAGACGCGATCCAACCAGTCTACGTCGACGAGGAGCATCCCGGAGCGGTGGGGCGGCGTGGAGATTTCCGATTCGGAGAGGGATGCCGGCAAGGAGATCCTCTACCAGGTCACGCAGCAAGCATTCAACGAGCTCCTCGACACCATCTTCAAGCCGGCCGAGGACCTTGCCATACAGGCCAGGGAGACGAAGCATCTGCGGGAAAAGTTCAGCGATCGGATCGAGGCTTACGTTGCTCCTTCGCCCGCCTCAGACAAGCCGCGGGGTGGCGATGGGGACGGCGGAGACGACCAACCAGACGGCATCCGACAGCCGGCTGGAAATGACGGCGCCGGCGACGACGATGGCATCGACAAGCCAGCGTCGGAGAAGAGTCTGCAGCAGCTCCTGGCAGAAACAGGGTACACCGTCGCCACGAATGGGGATGCCGATAACGCCCCGCCTAGGAACGCCGTCGACCTGAGCAGCGAGGAGCACCCGGACGTCATCGTCGACGGGGAGGCGGCCGCCGAGCAGCAGCCGTCGTCGCCATCCCACGACCCGACAATGCCGCAGTTCCGTCCGAACAGTCTGCCCCAAGATGGGCTGTACACGGGAGGCCACCACTACTATCCCGATACGGCTGCAGCGGGCGGAGAAGAGGAGGATACGTCGACGACGATGCCGGAGCGTCAGGATCCGGAGCCGTCGGACGAGACGCTCAAGTGGTGGAAGCAGCTCAACAGGGTCGAGGAGCGGGCGATCGAGCGGGGCGGCTGGGGCAAGCTGAACTTTGAGGAGTTTCGTGACATCTACAGGAGCCAAGAGAACCGGGGCAACCGTCTCGATTATCTGGGGAGCTGGATAGATTTCTGCATTCCTTGAGAGGGACGGCAGTCCATGGACTTGCTGTACTGGTACTCTTGTATTCTTTTTTCATATCCTGCTGTTCCTGGACTCTCTGTTTTCTTTGGATCGAAAAAGGGTTTACAGTCAGTAATGGGTGCTTTCTTTGTTTCCTTCTCCTCTTACAGCATACATGTATATTCCACATTGTGCCTATTACTAGTTTCCAGTGTACGTTAGTGGATGAACATTCTAGATCATGGTGTTTTCGCTTAAGTACCTGGAGTATATGGTATTCAATCTCTCCATTCAAGTCGATGAAGTCTCATGAGCAATACAAGGCCTCCCTGCTTCACGACAGGAGTAAAATTGCACACACAGATATTTCAACCTCGTAACTTTTTTTTCTTGTTTTCTGTCTCGACTATGGCGTTCCCATCTTACAAACCCCGCGTCTCTTTCTTTCTATTATACATGTGATATATAAATATAAAAATGATACGATATGACAATCCAATCGGCATGCCGCTCCCCCTTTTTTTCAATTCCTTTCCAAATCATGCCTACTTGCTTTTAGAAGAGGGGTGGAGGAAGGAGAGAAGATCTTTCAAGAAAGGTTCTAGAGAGTAGCAACGGTAGAGTCGACATTGTCGAAGCCGAGAAGCTTGTTCCAGGTGTCGGCGGTAGTCTGGTCCCTGGTGCCGAGGGCCTCGATCTGGGCCTTTGCGTCGAGGCACTCGGTGTGAGCGGTGTCGGAGGCCTCGCAGACGTTGATGAGCTGGTCGCAGATGCGGTTGGTGATGATGTTGGGGTTGAGGGCCTCCTGCTGACCCTCGGCGACGAGGGGATCCTGGGGGATGAAGGTGAACTCGTCGGCCGGGCGGCCGTTGAGACCGCCGACGCGGGCCATGGTGGGCGTGCACTTGCCGAAGTCGGCATTACCCGTTCCGGCGTTTCCAGTTCCGGCGGCGGGGCTGGCGCTGGCGGTGGCGGAGGCGGAGGCGGTAGCGGTGGCGGTGGCCTTGGCCTTGCAGCTGTCCTTCGTCTTGGTGACGATGGCGGTGGCGGAGGCGGAGGCGATGGCGGTGGCGGTGGCGGAGGCAGTAGCGCCGGCATCATCGCCGGCATCGTCGCCGGTGGTATCCGTGGCGTCGCCGCTGCCATCCTGACCGGCGAGGACGGTGTTGGTGCCGGAGGCGTCCTGGGCGGTGAAGTTGGTGAAGCCGTTCTGGATCAGGACCTCGCCCTGGGAGAGGCCGGTGGCGTCAAAGGGGGTGGCCTGAGACTCCTCGGAGAGCCTGTTGGCCACGTCGGAGCCGCCGACGGCGGGGTCGACCAGGGGCGTGATGCCGCGGAGCTCGGCGTGGGTCGGGAGGGTGGCGTCGGCGCAGACGAAGGGCTTGTCGACGGCGAAGGGGTTGAAGTTGGTCTCGGCCGAGACGAGACCGATGGCAGCATCGATGACGGCCTGGTCGGTACCGAGCTGGTCGAGCATCTGGTCGGCAATGGAGAGCTGATATTCACATGTTAGCACCCTGATACGAAGCATCGACAGATCCTACTGGTTTTTCTTCCTTCTCTTCTGAGAGGTGCTGGAAACCACAGGAAGGGGGAGGGGGGTAGATCCTTACCTTGTCACAAGGGCTGGCAGCAGCAAGGAGAGAACCAGGGATACTACCGGCAATGGTCTCGGCGACACCGGGGTCACCGAAACCCTGAGCACCGAGGGAGCTGACGGCAGACACGGGGATCTGCTCCTGACCGAAGCGGGCCTCGGTGACGGCCAGGAGAGTGGAGAGAAGAATAGTCTTGTACACAGACATTTTGAGAAATCGAGATGGAAAGAGGAGGAAGGGAAAAAAAAAACAGGTGATGAGATAATAGAAGTTATAAGAAGAAGAGAAGATAAAGACCGGACCTAGCGGTTGATTGTTCAAAAAAGAGAGAAAGAAGTGAAGTTGAGCGAAATCACCAGGACCGCTATGTGAAGAAGGGAAAAAAGAAGGATGGAAAGAAGGAAGGATGAGTTTGCTTGATGAATCTACAAGAAAGAAGACTGATGGACCGGGCGTGATCTTGATCTTTATACCAATACTCACCTTGGGCTACTAACCGTATCTATCAACTCAGAACCGGGGGAGGAGGCTCCATGAGGAACCACCCAACGGCTTAGCCGCTGCCAAGATTGTAGCCAAGATGGATACAGGTACGGCAAATAAGGTGCCGCCAAGAATGACGGGGTTGCTTCAAGTCCTGAACAGGAACATGGTTTGATACCATGTCCAAACGGGTATGTCTCCTATGTCTGGACTCTGGAGAAAGGGACAAGGGAAGAAAAGAAGGGAGGGGAAAAATATATAAAAGGCAAGTATAATATTTTATATATATATTAACTTGCATTACATTATATTAAGTTAAATTAAATTTGACTAGGAAAATACTCGTTAAAAAAAAAGGGCTTTTTTCGATGAATAAATGATGAAGATGTAAGAGCGTATTCCTTTTTCTCTCTTCTTTTTCTCTTCTTCACTTCTTTCCTTGTTTCTTTTCTTCTCTCTTCTTCTCTCTGAAGCCAAAAGTAAAGAGGGAAGATAGAAAAGAAAAAGAAAAAGAGAATAGGGTCCCTTGAAATTTCACATATAGTCCAAACACTTCTCTGGCAAAGGGGGTGATGTTGTGTCGTTTGAAAACTAAATTGTAGAGACGAAGACTTGAACAGCAACAATAACAAAGCTGTGGTCCCTCGATGGCAGATTAATCGTCCTCGGCTACATCCGAATTCGACCTGCTCAGACAGGTTGACAGGAGAGACCAGCTCGTATAACCCGTATTCCGTATTACCCTAGTATTGGTACCCGTACTGCAACCAGGGGTAGGGGTTGAGCTTGGGGTTGGACAGGATCCCGAGACGAGTCCCTGACTGCGACGGTCGGAAGAATGCAACCTCTGGGTTCTTGGCAATCCCAACCCCAACCCCAACCCCCCTTTTCTTCGCAAGTTACCATTGGCGCGCGCGCAGGAGAACCGTGCATAGTGAGAGCCTGGAGGAGAAGAGCGTGCGAGGGAAAAAGAGAAGAGAGGAAGAGAAAGGAAGAGATACGATAGGGCTGTCCGGGGTTGGTAGGTTGATACTCGTAAATGTATCAAACTTATTAGCAGGGTAATATATCAACACCACCTGGATGGTCGACTCCGGCGGTGACCTGGCAATAAGTTGAACGCAGGAGGTTGTCGTCTCCCGTCCACCGTAGGACTCCCTCTCTTCCCCCCCCCCCCCCCCCCCCCCCCCCCCCCCCCCCCCCCCCCCCCCCCCACCCCCCCTCCCCCCCCCCCCCCCCCCCCCCCCCCCCCCCTTTCCAATACAATCTCCCCGTTGTGATACTTTTTTTTTTTTACATGTATTTTGATGTATTTTTATTATTACCAGTCTCGTGAGATATCAGTCAGTATTATATGTGTCCGTACGAATACATGTATTGCTCTTCTGCTGGTATCCGCAGGTAAATGATACATGACTTATTCTTCTTCTTTCGTATACGAGTATGTGATAATAATAATACTCTCCTCCTTCTTCCTCCTCCGTTCCAAGCCCCCCACCCCCCGACCTTGATAAGAGTTGGGCAGCATGCCGCCATCTATTACCTTGGAGCTGTGATGTGATGTATTGATCTTGAGAGAAGGTCCCGTCTCATCCTGACATGCGTGTAATGCTCCAACTGCACACAATGATCCAACATGTTCCGTACGGCCTCCTCCTCCTCCTCCTCCTCCTCCTCCTCCGCCTCCTCGGGCACAAGGTCGCAGGACTGTACCGGGTCTGTCAGCGCGAGTACCAGGTCGCTCTGCGAGTACAGATTAACACGGGTACGGGTACGGGTACGGACTGATACTCGGGCTGATAACCCCGAGAGTCGCTTGTGTGTGCTAAGATGGATGAAACTATATGTGTCATGGAGACCCCCCCCCCCCCCCTTTCCCCTTGGGCCTGTTAATGCGAAATGAAGATATGACAGGATGACAGGGTGAGAGGGTGAGAGGGTGAGAAGGAATGGAAACTGGCCAAAGTTTTCCTGCATCGTTTCTTGCCTAGTTCCCTCGGATGAGGATGGGTTTCTGGTGTTGAAGATGGGAACGGAAGAAGAACAAAGACAGTCATATGCCGGTGGATAGAGGACCTCGCCATACTAGTCGTGTCGCCCTCAAAGTCACCACGAATACAGACTTGATCTTGATAATTCTGCAGTGATAAGCATGATGGCAGATGAGTGATAATACTATCCGTACCATCACGGCAGTTTCGACCATGCCCAGAATACAGACTCAACACACGAGTAGCGATAATACACTTCATCTTATTGACTAATAGTAAAACAGCCCGTTTAATCCTGACAGAACATGCAGCATAGACAGTTCCAGCACACCATAAACCTGTCATACCGAGTACTATACCCGAGGGCATCATATCCCCCATCTCTACCCCTCCGATGGCGTGCCGAAAGTGAAAGTGGGTGGCTTCGTACGCAGATCGGGGGCTGGGTGTCGGGACTTCGCGTCCCAGGATGGGAAGATCAAGATTATGAAGTAAACACTCTATCAGAGGACGTCAACTCTGTTCCTGCCCGACGCGATGCTTGATGTATTATGACAGCATCTGCTCGTACACTGTCAGAATATTGACGTGTCCATCTGTAGGGTAACCTGATCAAAGAAACCCATCAGCAGAGGAGACGAAGCCATCGACTCCCACAAGAATAGATAGCTGACCTTGTTCTTGATGGAAAACAGAGACAGAAACAAGAAATAGAAAGTTTTTCTTTTTTTTAAGAAGAAAAGAAGAAGAAGAAGAAGAAGAGAGGAAAGGGAGAGAGAGGGAAAACACGTCATGCCCTCATCAGACGACGTCTTAAACATCATCCTTCAGATCAGGCAACCACCCCTTTGGCCTCTCGCTCCCCCTCACGACAAGCCCGTATCCCAGCTTCTCCACCTTGGCAATGCTCTGCCTCATGGCCTCCATCTTGAAGCCGTAATCCTTGGTAGGGACCTCTGGCAGCATCTCGTACGCGCATCCGAGCTCGTGGATATCAGCCAGAATGTTCCGGCCGCCGCTGCCGGACCCCTCACCTTCCCGCCCCCCCCCGGCAAGCCGCCCCGTCTGCGCGGTGGTGACGGTGGCGAAGCGCATCATCTCGCCAAACAGGTCGAACACGCCGTACAGGTAGTCGTGGGGGGCCACCAGGACGTCGGCCGGGATGGCCGCCTGGGCCTCGGCGGGGGTGATGATGGTCTGGTGGCGGAGGTAGTGGGCGAACGAGAGGGCCTCGACGAGCTCCTCCAGCCCGCGGAGGTTGTGGCCGTAGCGGTACCGCTTGATGGACTGGAGGTCCGGGCCGATGGAGGCGATGAGCTTGGAGATCTCTGACAGGCGGCTGTCTACTTCTCTCTGGATGCTGGGAGGGAAGTCTTGGTTGAGTTTCTTGACTCTGTTTTTTTTTAGAGAAGAACAAAGAAAAAGATGAGAAAGGTTAGTGGGGTGGTGAGCGAGGATCGGAGAAGGAGTAGGAGCAGTAGTAGCAGTGATGGTGAGATGCCATGATATACCTTTGCAGGGAAAAGATGCTATGAAGCCGGCATTCATCGTCAGTATCGAGCAGATGAATGAGTGTGACTCGGAGCATGATGGGAAAGAAGACGGTCGTGGACCACATACATCTTCTTGCTGAGAGCAGTTATATCCCTTGACGCCTTGATGATCCTCTCACGTCGATCGTAGTGCTCGTCTAGCTCATCGCGAAAGTCTTCAAACATGTCGTGGAACCGACCGCGGGGAGCATCCTGGGCGGAGTTGTCCTTGGAGCGGGTATTGCCATTGTGATCCCTCTTGATACCCCCTGACATGACGAGAGTCATATATATATATATATGTATATGTATATGTATATATATATATATGTGTGTGTGTGTGTATGTGTGTATGTCAAGAGTCGTATGTGAATGTGAATTCCGTGGAAGGGTTTTCTTCCCCTCTTTTCCTTTTTTCCCCTCTTTTCTTTCTTTTTTTCCCCCGTTTCTTTTCCTTTTTTTTTCCCCCGTTACTTTTCCTCTCCTCTCCTTTCCTCTTCTCTCTCTTCGTTCTGCGGTGTTTAGGGTGACGACGATGGCTGGAGGTTGGAGGTTGGAGGTGGGAGAAATTGTCGGTGCGGCTCTGCTTGATGTGCGCGTATCGATCCATGATTCGATGCATCATGACACCGCTCCACCCTCCTCCACCTCGTACCCTCCACCTCGAACCTCAACCACCCGCATGAGCTGCGACCGCCGAGGAAGAGCGCGTCACCATGTCCCCGACAGCCCTGCTCCGTCCGGCGCCCCTCTTCGCCATCGCCGCCCTCCTCCGCGTCGGCCTCCTCCTCTACGGGACCTGGCAAGATGCCCACTCGGCCCTCAAGTACACCGACATAGACTACCTCGTCTTCACCGACGCGGCGCGCCTGGTATGGCACGGCGGCTCCCCCTACGACCGCGACACCTACCGGTACACGCCCCTGCTGGCCTGGATCCTGGCCCCGACCGCCGCCCCCCTGCCGGGCCTGTTCTCCGCGGGGAAGGTCCTGTTCGCCCTGGCCGACCTGGTGGCCGGCTGGCTCATGCTGCGCATCCTGCTGGTCAGCCAGCGTCTGCCCGTCGAGAGGGCCGGCGCCTTCGCCGCCATATGGCTCTGGAATCCCATGGTCGCCACCATCAGCACCCGCGGCAGCTCCGAGGGCCTCCTCGGCGTCCTCACCGTCGCCGTGCTCTGGGCTGTCGGCGCCCGGAGGTTCGGCCTCGCGGGCGCCGTCCTCGGCCTGGCCGTGCATCTCAAGATCTACCCCTTCATATATGCGCCCGCCATCGTCTGGTGGATGGACGAGAGCGCCCTGGGCAGGACGGACGGGAAGGCGGACCGGAAGGCTGATCCGTCGTCGGCCGACGTCGTCGTCGCATTCTTCTCCAGGGAGAGAATCACCCTGGCTGCCACCAGTCTGGCCACCTTCTTCGGTCTCAACCTGGTCATGTACTGCATGTAAGTCTTCTGCATGCTCTGATAATGCCTATGCTGCCTATGCTGCCTATACCTGTACCCGTCATCCACCGGCAATGCTTCGAGATGTCCGGGAGGAGTGGAAGACCGAGATCTGACGAGACAGATACGGCCAACCTTTCCTCGTCCACACCTTCCTCCACCACCTCTCCCGTCTCGATCACCGTCACAACTTCTCCCCCTACAACATCCTGCTGTACCTCACTTCCGCCTCTGCCGCTGGAGACGGACATGTGTCGGTCCGTGCAGAGTCCCTCGCCTTCATCCCCCAGCTCCTCCTCTCGTGTGTCCTGATCCCCCTTCTCCTTGCCAAGAAGGATCTGGCCACGTCCATGCTGGCGCAGACGTTTGCCTTTGTCACTTTTAACAAGGTCTGCACATCCCAGGTAAGTCTTCTCCCGTCCTCGCTTCGCTTCTACCCCCCCCCCCCCCTTTGCCATATCTCCTTCTCCTTGTGGATCCTCGCCTTCGCTCGCCCTTCTACTCCCTCCTCCCTCCCTGCCAATCCTCGCTCTGCTCCGCTCCGCTCCGGTTCCCGCTAAGCAGCACAGTACTTCCTATGGTACATGGTCTTCCTCCCCTTGTACCTCCCGCGCTCCTCCCTCCTGCGTAGCCGGCCCCTCGGCCTGACCGCCCTCGTCCTCTGGGTGGCCACCCAGGCCTCCTGGCTCCAGCAGGGCTACGAGCTCGAGTTCCTCGGCGAGAGCACCTTCTTCCCCGGCCTGTGGATCGCCTCCCTCTCGTTCTTCCTGGTCAATTGTTGGATTCTGGCCATCATCATTACGGATGGTGCTACCGGGTATGAAGAGGTCAAGGCTCATACCGAGTAACAATACTCTCTCACTCTCTCTCTCTCCCCTCCCCTCTCTTACATGTATATGTTACATCATGATCCATGCAATCAGCAAAGTGTGTTTCCTATACACATCATGTCCTCTTCCTCTTTTTCAATCAAAGAATGAGAGAGATTGTACCTCATCTTACTGTATCATCAAGAATTCAAACGACTTGTACATCATTCTGTATGTAGGGAGGTCATGAGCTTAAACCCGTTTCCTTCTTTTTGCAAAACATACAAAGCCAAGTTATTCCTTCTGATATCCGACAACCAATGCTGTAATTATGGCTAAGATGAAAAATAAAATGAGAACTTAACGATCATAGAGAGAGAAACAAGGGTAGATAAAAAGAAATAGTAAGAAGAAGAGTAAGTGAAGAGTAAAAGAGTATATGTATAAGGAAAGAAATCGCTTCATAAATTAAATCCCAAATATCCGAATATGCCTAGCTCCCCATTAAACAGAAACAAGGGGGGGGGGGGACGAAAAGACAAATGATGAACCCGCCATAAAATCACGGATGACGATATCCTGCTTCGTACTAGTAGCATACCAGCCTCAGCACACCCTAGTGGATCGTCATCCGATGCGACAAGAGGCGGTAGTTGGTCAGCTTCAGCGACGTCATCTTCTTCCCCGGCACCTGGGGGGACATGACCATTCGTCCTTCCTTGTTATAGACGATGTTTCCAAACGAGTCGGTCAGGTCGTCCCACTGGGCGTAGGGCCTCGCGGCGCTCATCTCGGACAGGATGTCTCCGCTCCACACACCGGAGCACGTGTTGTTCTTGAAGAGGAAGTACGGATTCAGAGGGGGTAGTGCGGACTCTGGTTTTTTTTTGTCAGTCAATCACTCAGTCGGTCAATCAATCAAGGCTTCCTATCGGTTCAGGATACGGATTCGCAGAGACCGATAAACAGAAGGCAAGAAGAGGCAGATGCAGATGGACAGATGGGCAGGGTGACGGGGGACAATGAGACAGGGATGGAGGGCAAGAGACACGGAGACAGAGAGGAGGGGACGGGGATGGTTGGATAGAGTCAGAGAAGACATACCGAGATCTACAAATCGTATCCTGAGATAGTGGACTTGCTTGAGCACCCTGAGAGACCGGATAGCCGCGAGGACCAGCCTCTCAAAGGCATCGATGAAGCCCATGTCGTGTATCCCCGATCCGGAATCGTAGTACCGGCTCAGCGGCCTGCAGCAGTTCTTGAGGGTGATGTCGACGGACCTGAGGCGCGAATCCCTCGAGTCGGCCGTCAGCCTGGCGATCCTGTCGAACAGCACGTGGCAGCAGCGGCCCGTGTACGAGAGGTGCTCCAGCCCCGAGGCGGCGGCCGTGGCGAGCGACGAGCACACGTGCGTGCGCTCGGCGGCCTTGAGGAAGAAGGGCGGCACGACCGACTCGCGGCGGTAGTCGGACTCGAGGCACAGCTTGAGGGTGGCGATGCGGGGCGGCAGCAGCGGGAGGAACTCGGCCATGCCGATGTACGACTTGGACTTGGGCTTGCTGTACGAAGCGTACCAGTCCCTCAGGTTGGGGAGCGCGGCGAGGAGGGTCGACAGGTCGGCGTTGTCGCGGGCAAGGTTCCACTGGCCCCGGGTGATGAGCGTCTTGACGCTGGGCAGCAGGACGAACTGCCGCGGTTCCGGCTCCGACCCCGGCTCCGACCCCGTCTCCGGGCTGCTGCTGTGCCGAAAGTGCGCCACTTTCGGTGCCTTGCGGCGCTCCCCGCCCTCGAGGGTGAGCACCCGTACCTCGGGGAGAGCGGCTTCCACGAAGCGTAGCGTCTCGTCGAGACTGCACTTGTTCCGTGGGAGCGTGTAGGTCGCGTTCGTCAGGCCGTCGGTCGTGACGGTCGGTAGCGCGAGACCGCCCGCCGCCGTGGCGGCCGGTAGCGGATTCCGCATATTGCTGCCACCGGCGCCGCTGTCGCCGTACTTCGGCTGGAAGACGGGGAACCAGATCTCCAGGTGACGCACCAGCGGCCGGAGGTGCGGGTGCGTCGACAGGTGCACCATGGCGTCCTCGACCACGTCGACGGTGCCCTTGAGCTTGATGTGCCGGTACAGCCGCTGCTGGACGAGGTACCTCCACGTAGCGCTGACGAGGGCGAGCTGTGTCAGTTCGCGCCGGCGCGAGTGGCGCATGGCTGTGCTCCAGCTGCAATCTCTCGCTACCGGTGACGACGGCGACGACGAGATGATCTCCATGCCGCTCGTCGACGTCGACGATACGCGGAAGCCGAATATGTGATCGAGAATGGCCTCTTGGATCTCCGTGGGAAGGTTCATAAACGTGCTGCTGCCGCTGCCGCTGCTGCCGCTGCTATCGGCGGCGACAGCCGTGGGCTGCTGTTGTGGACCGTTGCCGTCCGACGGCTGCTGCTGAGCCGGCATGCAGTTTGGGGGGGGGGAGGAGGGGACGACATGTCTGGTCAGTGGTGATGCCGGAGAGGGGCAGGAAGATTCGTTGGGCACCGACGGAGGTGTGCCGTCGCCGTCGTCGGCGCCGTGGTCGCTTGGAACGTAGGGAAAGGGTGTGCTCTTGGGCCGCTGCGGACCGACAAAGCAGCGCACGCCGTCGTCTGGCTGCTCAACGGTAGCGAGGGATGATGACGAGGACGACCCCACGAGACTGTCGAGATCTGTTGCTGGCGTGGATGTCGTGTTCAGGAGGCCCGTCACTGTCATCGTCGCCGTCGTTGAGGAAAAAGTCGGCGGACCGGGGGAGGCCCTCCGTTGCTGTTGTTGCTGCTGCTGCTGCTGTTGCAGTTGTTGTAGCGCTTCATTCGGTTGCCGTTGTTGGTGACGATCAATCAGGCAGTCGACCGAAGTCGGCGGTTCTTTGAGACCGGACATGCCGGCAGTGGTTTTGTTTCCCTTCTTCTGTTTCTCTCTCGTACTCTCCTGATCCTCTCTCTTTCTTGATTTACCCAGTAGCGCGTGAAGTCGGTGTTCGGTGTCTTTCGGACCCAAGTGGATTATAGATTGTCGGAGGGGTCGGTCGGGCAGTAGTAGTAGTAGTAGTAGTAGTAGTAGTAGTAGTAGTGATAGCAATAGAGGATAGAAGTGGTCCGGGGGAGGTAGAGATTCAAAGGTCAAAGGGATGGCATAGTGGATGACGGACAAGGGACAAACAAGATGTGTGATTACTTCTTTCTTTTTTCTCTCTCTCTCTTTTTTTTCTCAGTTCAAACAGATGATGTGGTGAGGGAGAAGAGAGAGAGTGTGTGTGTGTGAGAGAGAGTGAATGAGAGAGAAAAGGGCGTCAGCGCATATACAAGAAAGGAAAAGGACGAATAAGCAGCCCCGTCGGATCTGTCCCGCCTTAACCTCAGACTCGCAATCAAACGGAGTAAAGGAAGGGGGGAGGAAGGAGGGGGAGACGAGGAGAGTGCATTGCACGCGTAGAGTGGTGCAAAAGTAATACAGGTATTACGTAGGCACCTGTGCAGGTCGGGACAGGGCGCAGGTAGGCACCATTACAGGTACATGGTTAGCATAGCAGCCACTGTCCGTAGCACTCGTAGGTAATGACTCCCTGCAGGCAGTGAGGGTAGCAGTGAGGGTAGCAGTAATAGCAGTCGACACGCGGTATTACGGCCACTGTAAGATGCACACGCACGAGGGGAGGAACAAGAAACCTCGTCATCATCGTCATCATCCATCATCATGTATCTTGCTTGACCTGTTCTCCCTATACATGCATTTATACAAGTATCCGTACTCCCCCCTCCCGTGCTGTACCGAATAGCAAAACTCTTCCGTACCTTTCTGTGAACGACACTCTGAGGTCGTACTCGTAAATAGACCTATACCCAATGTCAGGTAATAATATTTCGTCTTGTCGCATTCTCCGCCCGCCAACGGCAGCCTGATAAGATGGCCACCATCAAGTTGAGATAAGATACGGCTATCAGATGATGTAGTGTGGCTCCGTACAGAGAGGTTGGAAGATGGGCTAGTCACTAATCCGTACAGAGTACAGATTACATGTATGTATATTTCAAGCCCATCTCTCTCTCTCCCCCCCCCCCCCCCCCCCCTCTCCTATTTCTCCCTTTTTCCCCCCCCCCCCCCCCCCCCCCCCCCCCCCCGTCTCTCTCCTATTTCTCCCTTGTCCCCCCTCTTCCCTGGGGTTCCGATCCGATGACGATGGCCACACAGCCTTCAATTCCAAGCTCAGCAAGTCCGACAAGATGGGGGGGGTGGTAATGGTCCGAGTCTTCCCGACAGTTGTCCAGACGTCCAATATCGGGACCGGGATATACCATCAGACTGACATCCAGAGCATGTTCCCCGAGGCAGAGGAAGGAGACGAAAAAAATTGTAATATAAAAATGATGATATAAAAAAAACTCCATTCGCCTTTTCTTGTCTTCTTTCGAATTCTTCCTCCCCAGCAGAATATGCAGTCCAGTTGTTGTTGTTGTTGTTTCTGGTTTTCTGCTGTCGGTGTGCTTCCCCTCATCTAGCTTTTAATCTTCCATATTGGTATCGGCTTCCTCGTTCTGGTCTGCGCCGCGTATCCAGAGAACATTGTTACACCTAATCATGTTTGTGATGCGTCAGCCCACGATTCCCCTCTTGCTGTAACTATTCTCATCCTTCTCCTTCTTCTTCTCCATCTTCCTCTCCTTCCCAATGCGGCTGATGATTTCTTTTCTTCTTCTTCTTCTTCCCAGTCTTACCTGATGAGAACCTGTCCCAGGTCACCGGTAGCCTTGCCCTCAATGTACTCGACCGTCCCCGAGAGCTGCAGGTTGAGGTAGCTGTCGAGGGAGACGAGCTTTCCCTTGTACTCGGTCTCCCCCCACTTGAGGCGCACGACGATATCCTTGTCGACGAGGCCCTGCAGCATCGGCCGAGGGTTGACGGGGACGAAGCTCATTGTTGGGGAGGGTGGTCGAAAGAGGGTGAAGAAGGAGTCTGGATTCCCCCCCTTTGTTTTTTTGTCTTGTCCCGTTTGATAGTCCTCGTTTGAGGAATGAATTGTCGACGCGCACGTGCGAGCGAGAGAGTCGTTGCGGGACGTTGGGCGGAGGGCGGTCGGATGTGCTTCGATGTTGATGATGGGGATTTTGATGAAGCTCTGCTTTGCTTTCGGTTTGCGCCCCCACCCTTGCGCTTCCGGGTAATTTTTTCGCCGGGTCTTCTTTTTCTTTTGTGGGACTTTATCTCTATGCCATATCATATATGCGAAGTAATACCGGATACACTCAACTGTAATCATCACCGTTCCTTGATAGCTTCAATCAATTTCAAGTGTTCGTGCGAAGAAGAGAAATCTCAACACGAAAAAAAAAAAGGAGAAAATAAAAGCGACTAGTCCTTTATTCTTCCAGAAAAGAATTGGCAATGGAAATCAAAAAAAAAAAAAAAAAACCCCTAAATTTTTAAAAAATAAATTTGAGAAAGCAGAATGAGGAAAAGATAAATCATCACAGCTTAGGTCCACCGAGCCTGTCCCTCGAAATACCCTCCACAAGCTTGACGACCTCCTCGGCACAAGCGTACGAGCCCTGGTAGCCCCAGCCAGCGTGGCCGTAGTTGTGCACGACCCAGGCGTCCCCGCCGTCGAGTCTCTCGCTCTCGATGCGCACGCCTCCGCGCCTGTAGGGTCTGAGGCCGACGGCGTGCCTGATGACGCTCAGGCCGCGGACGCCCCTGCCCCCCGCGAGCTGGGGCTTGGCGCGGACGGCCCTGTCCATGATGCGCAGCGCCGTGTTCGGGTCGGGCTGGGAGTCCCACCGGCCCTCCTCGAGCGTGCCTCCGAGGACGGTGCCGCCGCCCGCGGCCCTGGTCATCATGTAGACAATGTCGGTCGGCGGGTCGTGGCCGTGGTCGTGGTCGTAGGGGGGCGCGACGACCATCATGGCGTCGGCCTCGTTGCGGACCACGACCGTCTGGCCCCGCAGAGGCGTCATCCGGCCGTCCTCGACGCCGCCGAGGCGGAGGGACCCCAGGCCGCTGGCGTTGACGACCACGCTGGCCTCCCTCCCCGTGTGGCTCATGCGCCGCGCCTCCCGGATGTGCCCGACCACGCCGCGCTTCAACACCCCGCCGTTGCGGACTATCTGACCTACCAGCCAGGACAGGTAGACGGGCACGTTGATGCAGACGCTCGTGAACTCGCAGCCCGAGGTGCACCCGGGGATGACCTCGTGGGCTTCCAGCTCGCGGTAGTCGTCGAACAAGGTCGAGAACCACGGGTTCGATCCCATGAGACCCTCGGCATTGGGGTCATTTCTATAGATTTGGCATTCTTGTTTTTTTTTTTTTGTGTCATGTCAGTCTGTTCTTCTCTCTCCTCTTTCCCCTTTTTTTTTTTTGAAAAAAGGAAAAAAGGATTTGATGTTGGTGTTGGTGACGTCAATGTGTGCGGTAGCAGTAGTATTGGTCGTCGTTGTGATGATGAATGATGGATGATGGGAGTTTGAGATGTGAGGCTTACTCTGAGCGTGAATTCCCGCCTCGGGCACCTCCTCGCTGAGACGCTTCAGCTCCGGCCATGTACGGGCCTCGAGCTGGTTGTCATCTCCGGTGGACATGCTGTTCCCCATCGTTTCAGCGTACGGATGGATCCGGGGAGGGCGGGCATGGGCATTCAACTCACGGCAACACATTGGCTCCGGCGTAAGGCGACGCGTATTCTATGTCATAGTCGCCGGGCATGTGTTTGGCCACGACGGTGACAGAGTTGGTCTTGTCCCTCGATAGGAGGAGAGCCGTCGTCAGCCCCGACACTCCAGCCCTGAATTGTTTTGCGCGATGATTCAGCCCAGGAATCCCTCTCGTCCCCTCTCTCCCTCTTGTCCCCTCTCTCCCTCTTGTCCCCTCTCTCTCTCTCCCTCTCTATCCAGTGATTTTTGCTAGCAGGGTTTCCTACTCCCCGTGTCCGATTGAGGGAAGGGGAGGCCATGTCATTGAAGTTTGGACTTACCCCACTACGACGATTGTCTCGCCCATGATGATTATGCGGCGTACGTGGTTTCGGCACGACAGACCCAGAAACTTGTCTTCTTCTCTTTTTTCTTCAGACGGGAAGAGGGGGGGGGGGAGGGAATGTTGGGGTTTCTTGGGGTGTTTTGCAATCAGAAGAGAGTCTTTTGTCTAGGGTTAGGCAGTCAGGATCCCTCTCCCGAGTTTATTCGTACTCCAACAGCTACCCTAGACGGTCAGAGATGGAGGAGAAGATAATGATGATGCGATGTCGGCTTCGTATCGGATGCGGGGTGTGCTCAGTGGATGATGAGCTGGGGAGGAGTTTAGGTTTTTTTTTGGGGGGGGTGCCGGGACCTGTTGTTATGTCGACAGCCCAAGTGTCACTGCAGATTACATGTACGGCCTGACAGAGCAAGTGTTGATATTACGTTAACCCCCCTGTGTAATCTGCATACTGGCATTAGTGAGCGATGCTGCTAATCTGTGATCCGTACATGCAGTATAGTACCGCTCCGTAACGAGTACATGTAGTATCATCAGATCAGACGACTTCGGGCTCGAAACCAGAGGGATTGAGTGTCGAACGTTCCCCAATGGGGATGTTCCGATGAAAGAGTCCTATCCTTTACGTGCGGATGTCATGGCACGAGGCAACACAATGATAGTATTCCGTCTCGACACGTGCAGTTTGGAACGGGTAAACCCCCATTCAAGGATCCGACATTGATGGCTGTTTGGCCAAGGCGTAACACTGGAGCCGTATGTCTCGGCAGTGGCGACGTAACGGGGGGGGGGGAAGACATGATGTGGAGTGCATCGGTCTGTAGAGCTCGGTTCCAAGCTTGGGGGCGGAAGGGGTAGAGGTGTTGTTTGCAGTAATCTGTACTGATGTGTATGGTGGCATCAAACGACATGGTATTGTGCCGGGTTGATGAGCCTGATGGTCTAGGAGATTTGTGTCAAGGGTCACGCACGTATATATATTATATATACGCCGTATGATATATTATTATATCATACTACGTGTATTATATGTACGTGAGAGGTGTACGTATATATGCATATGCATATACATGCTAGTGCACTGGTACGTATATATGCATATACATGCCATATGTAAACCCTGTACTGGTACACATGTATGCATGTGCATATGCATATATAATCTGTACATGCATGTATCTGCTGTATATATGACTGCTAATAACACAGTTGACGTCCTCTGCTCAACCCCCGTCCCTTCAAGTCACATGACTCATAGCAGTAGTAGTGGTAGTAGTAGTGGTAGTAGCGGTAGTGGTGGTGGTAGTAATCTGTAGTATTGTACGATTTCAATAATGAAATTCCGTCGACTCTGCTCCGTACTCCCCGTACTCCGTATCACTTCGTAACATCTTCCGTAACGATAGACAACCGTGCTCGACCGACGACCAGCGCTTACCGTCAACTCTACTCCGTCCATCACCCCGTGCCGTCCGTCCTGCTCGCACATCGGCACCAGGCACGGGAACCTACGACGTAATGCCCACGTCCCGATCGTCAGGGGTACGGGGTACCCACGGCACCAGCCGCAGCTGCACTCTACCACCCAGCGCTCCGTAGGAAGACGTACAGGTATCAGCTCATGATTATTAGTACGCCTAGTACAGCTCTGCCGGGGCCCCCTGTCGCCAGCTGGTTACGCGGCGTCTGCGGATTACAGATGATGATAGGCCATGAGCATTACGAGCAATAACATATGCCATCCGTACTCGTACCGTGCTGTCCGACCCTGGCCATCATCATCATCGTGTGACGAACAGCTTCGAGATACCCATCTCTCTGGGGCGATGTCCCTCTGCCATATCACTTGGACTCTACCGTCTTCGCCTCGTCTTTATTTGGTCTTTTCCCCCCTCATGTTTCTCCCTTCATTTTTTCTCCTCTTCTCTTCTCTCGCATCGCCAATGTCCTCTTTTCTAAAAAAAATAATAATAATAATAATAATAAAAACAAAGAAAAAGAGGGCACCCCTCACCGCGTTTCGCCAGTTGTGTCAAGTCTGCAACCGCCAACCAACCACGGATCTCGACGGAGACAAGGGGGGGAGGGGACGGAGGTGAGGGACCAGGGCATGATGAAGAGAGAGGAGAGTCTAGATCCACAACCCTCCAGAGTGCTGGCAGCTCCGTGATGACGACGGGTTCAGTACAATATCATCAGTACTACATGCATGGATACTCTATCCCTCTCTTCTTCTTTCGTGACATGATCCCCATCGTTTCGCAAGATGCCGCCTAACCGATCGTCTTCCTTCTTCCTTCTCCGTTCGACCGCCAACAGCTGGGCGCTCTCTTGATGTAGATACAGCTGGATGAAGAAGTCTGGAAGAGATCCGGTGTTCCTCGCATGGACACAAGATCGATGACCGGATGTAACCGCCCAGAGGCCGTACTCGTCATGTTGACCTGAGCAGATAAAGCCAACCACGTGTTATCACCTGCTGAGGGTCATAAATAAATGCCATGAATGACAATATTCCCTCATATTCCTCCTCCCCATGTCATGTCAACACCTCGAGAGCCCCCATAGAGTCACGGGCGGCGGCAGAGGACGAACAATCAACCACTGGCTAGGATGTGAAACTCCCCTGTCCAGAGTTCTTCTAAGATTGGGGGGGGGGAGGGCTCTGTTGCTGCACACGTTTCGAACAGACTCCGGCATCAAGGGTCTTGGACCTCGAACCTGCGACGTCTAAGCTTCGTATCCCCATGCCTTTCTGAACAAAGCCTCCCCCCCCCCCGTATGATGACGAGTCAAGGAGTCGAAGAAGGAGAAGAGAGACTCAGAGAGGAGAGGGGGGGGAGGAAGGATTCAGTTAGAGTATTACGGGGCAGTAACGCTCCTGTCAACGTACCGTATTCCGTAGAAATCACAGTATTGTCTCTCTATTACCGTTCCAAAACCCATTCCTGGTCACGTCCTCCCCTCCCCCCCCCACCCCTTTGCACCCTTGCAACGACCCAAGACGAAGCGACGCACGCACCCGCGGCGGCTCTGGATGGACGTCACACACACACCCACTATTATAATATACCACTGCTCTGCCTCGCTCTCTTTCCACTTTCCTCTTAGTGTCCCTCTTTGTCTGCGATCGTCCGTCTTGTTTTCTCCTTTCAGCTTCATTTCCCTCTTAGTTCCTTTTTTCTTTTCGCTTCTTATATATCTCGGACTGTTGTGCTTCCTTGGTTCCACCCTGACGCCAAGAGCCAACAAGAGATATCTGCCGCCGGTCGACACTTTTCCCCATCATCTTCTCTTCTTCTCACACGCACGTACGATTTCCCCGAGACTTTCTTAGTCTCTTACGTGTAAGTCGTCGGCGCTCAGCAATTGCCTCTCTTGCCTCCCCCCTTTTTCCTTTCTCGTTGCTGATCCATATCAACAGGTCTTACGATCTTTTTATTCTTATTTTTACGATCACTTCTTGAAAATCAACGCCAGAGAGAACGGTTTCTTGTTTCTCTTTGCTTAATCTTATTCTTATTCAGATAAGCCAGTTTCTCTGGTCCTTGTCTTATTGACTTTCAGTCGACCACTCCCTCTCTTGTCACCGTCAACAGTCGCTCGAGTTGAAGAAGGGCTGGTCCACTCTTCACTCTCATCTTTCTTCACGACTTTTATATCATATTATATATATATACACATCTTTCATATCTTTCTTGATATAGGAAAGCCGATACCCGACATAATGGTTTACCTCAAGTCCATCGTCAGCAGCACCCTGCTGTTCGCCGCAGCGGCCAACGCCCTCCCCCGCGGCAGTACAGCTACCGGCAGCAACGCCAACAGGGAGCGTGCCCTCGACCTGGGCGGCATCCTCGGAGGCGTCACCGGTACTGTCGGAGACGTCGTCGGCGGCGTGACCAAGACTGTCGGCGACGTTACCAGCTCCGTCGGCGACGTCACCAGCTCCGTCGGCGACGTCACCAGCTCCGTCGGCGACGTCGGCGGCGTGACCAAGACTGTCGGCGACGTTGCCAGCTCCGTCGGCGGCGTGAAGGAAGCCATCGGCGACATGGCGGAGCAGGTCAGCGGGGCCGTGTCCAAGATCGCGGGCATGATCAGCAACGCCAACGCGTCCAACATCATACCCAACCGGTACATCGTCGTGTACAACAACACCTTCGACGACGCCTCCATCGACACCAAGGAGGCCGCGTTCGGCAGCCTCCTGAGGAAGCGCTACAGCCAGCTGAGCAGGACGAAGCGGGCGACGACGGCCCAGCCGGCCATCCACTCCATCAAGATGAGCACGTGGCGTGCGGCCCGCCTGGACGACGCCGACGATGACACCATCGCCGACATGTTCAACTCGGCCGAGGTCGAGTACATCGAGCACGACACCACGGTCAAGACGACGGCCCTCATGGCGCAGACCAACGCGCCCGTCGGTCTCAGGCGCCTCTCGTCCAACACCACGGGCGCCGACGCCTACGTCTTCGACTCGTCGGCCGGCGAGGGCATCACGGCCTACGTCATCGACACGGGCGTGCTCGCCAGCCACTCCGAGTTCGAGGGCCGGGCCACCCTGGCGGCCAACTTTGTCAACAACGTCGACACGGACGAGAACGGCCACGGCAGCCACGTGGCGGGCACCATCGCGGGCGCCACCTTTGGCGTCGCCAAGAAGGCCACCATCAAGGCCGTCAAGGTGCTCGACGGCCAGGGCAGCGGCAGCAACTCGGGCGTCCTGGACGGCATGCAGTTCGTCATCCAGGACGTCGAGGAGAACAAGCTCAAGGGCAAGGCCGTCGTCAACATGTCCCTCTCGGGCGGCCAGTCGGCGGCGCTGAACCGCGCCATCCAGTCCATGGTGGACGCCGGCATCGTGCCCGTCGTCGCCGCCGGGAACGAGGCCACCGACGCCAGCACCGAGTCCCCCGCCTCGGCCCCCAACGCCATCACCGTCGGCGCCATGGACGCCCTCACCGACCAGGTCGCCGACTTCTCCAACTTCGGCGAGGGCGTCGACATCTTCGCCCAGGGCGTCGACGTCGAGTCCGTCGGCATCGCCAGCGACACCGCCACCGAGGTCCTCTCCGGCACCAGCATGGCCAGCCCCCACGTCGCCGGCCTGGCCGCCTACCTCATGGCCCTCACCAACACCACCGACCCCGCCACGCTGACCACCATGATCAAGACCCTCGCCAAGAACAGCGACCCCGTCACCGGCGGCCAGGCCGACACCACCACCCTCAACGCCAACAACGGCAACACCTACCAGGCCTAGGTATACCTGAGCCTGCGTCGTCGTCGTCGAGACGGCACGGTGACCATGATGCAGACATCATCATCGACGGAGGAGGGCGGGGATCATGACAGCAGGCCGACACCACCGAGTCGTGTAATATACAGTCAGGGCTTCGGTATATTGCTTTAGACTCCTACACTACTTACCGCATGACATGGTCAGTGTCGGCCTGGACAGGCAGACAGAAGACGAAGAAATTCAAAGCAACACCTGTATATTGAGACGGAGAGATATTCTTCACCTGTTAGGATCATAGAGAGGAGAGAAGAAAACAAGACGAGAGATGTCGGATCAAAAATCTGCCCCTCACTACTAGGTACATGTACTTGTTGTGTCTGTTTTGCGTGATGGGAAATAAGAGAGAACCAAGGTAAATATATATAGACATGGGGCATAACAGGTATAAGCCTAGATTAAAGCACATGTCTCTCTCAACAAGTTCAACCCATCTTCTTGTACTTGAATTCTCTTGTTGCAACGGCATAAATGATTCTCGATCCTCCGCATCCGATACCTGCTTGTTTCCAATAAAAATTCATCATACTTTTCTCCTGTTCCTTTTTTTTTTCAATCTAGAAAGAAACCCCCCTCGAAAAAAAAATGTCCGCTCTCCAACATTAAGACTTTTCGAGTTGATATCCCTCGAAACCGTCAACGAAGTGCCCATATCTAGCGATGCAGGCTAAGAGCACGGATAGATTTCTAATAAGAAAAAAGAAATCAGGTATATTATCAGCACTTCTTCGGCACAACCACAGTCATTGAGAGGACTGGATTGCAATTTGACATCCGTGCTATGTTGAGGGAATGAAGGTATCGAAGATTTCATAGGGGACAAGGATCAGTATCACCGAGGGGTGGGGGGAAGAGGCATTTCCAAGAAGCGTAAATTTCTTTTCTCTCGTACAGTATATATGGGGGGAGAGAACAGTCAGTACTAGATAACTAAGGTGAGCATCGAGTATCAGCTGCACATTTTCCTTGTTCGGATACCCAAGAAAGAAAGACAAGAAGTGATATTAAGTTGTTTTTTTTTAGGCCGGGGAGGGGGGGGCGAGGAGTAGGCCTAGTAAGATGCCATTGATGAGTTAATCATGAGAAGGACAAAAAAAATAAAAATAAAAATAAACCGGGGGGTGTTAAAACATGACTGCGACAAGACGTAGAGTTGAAGAGAAGCAAGAAGCGTGATGCGAGAAGAAGGGAGAAGAAAAAGGTGAAGAGAAAAAAAGAAGAGTTGAAAAAAAAAGTGGTCGGGAAATTATTAGTAATCATGTGGTAGTGAAATAGAGCTAAAGGTTTTACAATTCTTCGTGGCCAATGGCAGCCGCCTGGGTAGCGGCCCCCGCAGCGCTGGAGCTGGCAACCCCGGTAAGACGCTTGGTGTCGATGTCGTCGAGCCAGTTGCCAAACTTGGCTCCGAACATCCAGGCGATGAAAAACATGATGCCCGCGACGAAGACGAGGCAGCCGATGGCGATGCTGAAGATGAGTATGGCGTCGCGGGGGCTCGAGGTGAGCTCGCCGCCGACGTCCTTGCGCTTGGCCTCTAGCTCCTTGGAGAGCTTCTGAGGGTCCTGCTTGGGGAAGAGGGTCTCGATGAACTGTTCAATCTGGGTAGAGTTAGTCATCATTCTCTCCTCCCCCTCTCTCTCTCCTCTCTCTTTCTCTCCTCTCTCTCTCTCTCTTTTCTTTTCCTTGGCAGAAATCATATAGAGGCTGGCGAGACATACCTTGGCACACTGAGTGCTGATGGCCAGGAAGTTGGGATCCTTGGGGTCGTTCTTCTTCTGGATCGACTTGACGTAGCGACGGAAGACTTCGCACTCGGTCTGGAGGTTCTGGGTAGACTCGAGCATGATCTTGCAGGCCTCGCCCTTTGTGATCTTGACGTTGCGCTCAAAGATGGCGGGGTTGCGGAAGACGGCGTCGAGGGTGGCGATGGCCATGCCCTGGGGGATGGCGACGAAGTTGAAGACGGACTGCTCGCGCATGCCGGCCATGTAGAAGAGGCACTCCTCGGTGTGCTTGAGGGCGTGGAGGACCATCTCGGACACGCAGTTGAGGGCCTGGTCGCGGTACTTGGGGTCGAACATGTGGTCCCACTCGTCGACGTACTTGCTCCAGACCTCGCGGGGGTACCAGCGGCGGCCATCGTCCCAGTCCTCGCGGATGTCGCGGATGATGTTGACCTTCTGCAGCATCTGGCCCATGGACTCGGTCAGCTGCGGCCGCTCGGCCAGCTTGGGGTGGGCCAGGTCCGAGGCGAGGAAGAGGCGGGTCAGACCCTCGCCCACCAGGCCGGCGACGTAGTGGCAGTACAGCTCGTACTCGTCGATCGTCTTGACGCCGTTCTTGATCATGTCGTCGTTCTGCACGTAGTCGGCCATGCCGCTGCCCATCTTCTGGGCAATGTCCTGGATCACGTCCAGGTGCGACTTGGGTATCTTCTTGAGCTCCGTCACCACCACGTCAAAGTGCTCCAGCAGCGCCCGGTCCTTCTCCTGGCTCTTGTGGTACTGCCACCCGTCCTCGAGCATCGTCTTGTAGAAGTTGCGCAGGATCGGCACCTTCTCGTCCAGCGGGATCGTCATGTCGTCCTCGACCGTGTCCAGCCCGCGCAGCACCAGGTAGAAGAGCGCGACCGGCACCAGCAGCTCCGGGTTCAGCTCCATGATGACGGCCACGAAGCTTCGGCTCGTCTGCTTGAGGTACTTGAAGCATTCCTTGAGCTCGGGCGAGTCTTTGGACTCGTCGCGTTGATGTACGGGATCATGGTAGAGTTTCCTGTAAGGGTTTATCCCACGTTCCACGTCAGCAATGTCCGGGCTCGCATATCATGTAAATACACACACACACACACACACACACACACACACATATATATATGTGTGTGTGTGTGTGTATGTGTGTGTGCATGTGCATGTATGTGTATGTGTGCGTATCCATTGCTCTGCCGCTCCCCTCCTATTCTTACCATTGAATGACTGAGCGAAGCTCATGTGGCCTGAGGAGAAGGTAAAGAAGACCCATCTTGGCTGGGGAAGATGTTGTATTCTCGAGGCGACGTTGTATATAGAAGATGAATCGGAGGAGCGGTCCGGGTCACCGGTGGTACAGGAACGCTATTTCTGGGGACGAGAGGCAAGCGAGAGGATTCGGCGGCAAGCAAATGAGTTGTTGTTGTTGTTGGGAGGGGGGATGGTAGGACAGAGACGAGCTGAAATAAGGAGAGGAAAAGGGGGGACTACGGACCAGTGATGATGATGATGATGTAAAAAAAGGGTTAAAGGGAAAAAAAAAAGAATGGGGGTGGCCTGGGGGGGGAGAGTGGTCAAGGACTATATATATAAGGACTATATATATAGAAGGACATATCCTAAAAGACTGACATTTCTAAGAGAGAGGAGTAAAAAGACTTTGAAACGGCTGAGATGATTCATGGCTTTTCTCGGAGCATGTCATCTTTTCTGCAGTGACTGTTCGGGGCAATACGTGAGGATTCACTTGGGATCGTCTTATTTTTTTTCTTTTTCCTTCTCCTTTTTTTTTCCCCCGCGCCGTCTGCAGTAGGGAGATGTACGAGTAACGAACTCCGGATTTTAGGCAATCTTTTTTTTTTCAGGCTGCATTGATGTATGCAAAGCACGCCGTCTACGTCAACGTACGAGCATTGAAAATCATGGCATTATTAAGAGCAGTAATACCCGTACCTGAATACTGAATAGGAGGCTTCGTATGAACAACGGCGTGATGACCATACTACAGGTATGGATGAGTACACGTATATTTGTAGCAATGCTTGAAACTGTTGACATGCTTGTTGTTGTAATACTGATGGCATCCATAGCATCATGTCAAGAGAGAGAGAGAGAGGACAACGGTACGTATACCCCCCCCCCCCCCCCCCTCTCTCTCCCCGTTTCGACTAGGAGTATCGAGATGATATGTACAGATCTGTACCAAAGGCCACGCGTGACACTTTTTTTTTCTTTTTTCTTCTGGCGGCGGGAGTATAGGGTAATTGCAGATAGAGAAGAAAGTGTTAAAGCAACATGGTTAGCAGCACTGATCAGTATCATTCATACCTGGTACTGTATATACCAGAATAACTGTAACCATCCTCATTCGGAGTCTTTGTTACCCATCCTTCGCAGCGAAACACATCCGCCCGCTTCGAAACAGGAAATCCGGCAAGTCCCGGCTGTGGTGGTGTGCTGCGGTACCAACCACGATGACGCACTGCGGAGGAGGCAGGACGGAATGCTCACCGAACCAGTACAGGGCACACACTCACCATCTCGCTATGCGATACCACCTGTACAGATCTGTAGCGTCGACTATGACGCTACGCCCCGCTGGACCGCACGGTACAGGTACTGGCCATACAGGTCCGGGTCATCCATAAGGAACCGGCTGCTCGGCTTTTCGAGCTGCGCCCCGTTCTAGAGTAGTGGTGGTGGTGGTAGGTGGTGGTGGTGGTAGGTAATGCTGGCCATGATACCTGCTGTACACCACGTTACAGTATTGCATGGGATGTCCATATATCAAGTCATCCGTCTATCCGTAGAGTCTACGGAGCTATATCGGTACGTAGATGGATGATGAGGAGGCACTATCACGCGCAGCGAGTGCGATGAGAACGAGCACGTACGATATCGTAATACAGCGCCTCGACACTGCCCAGCAGCAGCACCCCAGTGGCGGCACAGGCCATGACGTACTGTCACGTACAGGTCGAGACCACTACAAACTCCGCTGTAGGTTCTCTATCCTGCCTCTGTCCGTCTGCTCTGTCCGTCTGCCCCTCCATTCAATATTACGTACCCCTCCCCTCCCATCCTCCCCTCTCTGTCTCTCTCTCACTCACCCACACACACTCTCTCTCTCCCGATCCCGAGGAAATTTCTGGCCGACCGCCAACAAGTGGATCGACCTAACAGCAGACAGTAGCCATCACCGCTTCGTCTCTCCTCTCTCCTTCACCCCCCTTCCCTTTCATTCAGACGGCACGGATCAGAAGGAAAAAAGAGAGGAATCCGTCAAGGACAGATACCGAAGAAAGAAATCACTCTCTCCCCTCTCCTGATACGGACCACCCGCCCACCATGGTCGTCGACACGGCCTACTACGACACGCTGGGTGTCCAGCCCACCGCCACCGACATCGAGATCAAAAAGGCCTATCGCAAGCTGGCCATCGTCCACCACCCCGACAAGAACCCCAACGACCCGACCGCCCATGAAAAGTTTCAGCAGATCGGCGAGGCCTACCAGGTACTGTCCGACAAGGACCTGCGCGCCGCCTACGACAAGTTCGGCAAGGACAGCGCCAAGCCCCAGGAGGGCTTCACCGACCCTGCCGAGTTCTTCACCTCCATCTTCGGTGGCGAGGCCTTTGTCGACTGGATCGGAGAGATCACCCTGATGAAGGACCTCACCGCCACCATGGACATCACCATGCAGGAGGAGGAGGCCGCCGCCGCCGCCGCCGCCGCCGCCGGCGAGGTCGAGGCCGAGGGGCAGAAGCAGGCCGGTGAGACCGCCGACAAGACCAAGGATGAGTCGCCGTCCGGGACCACCCCGGCCGCCGCTGCCACCGCCGGCGCCGCCCCCCAAGTCGTCGTCGACGAGACCAAGGATGCAGAGGGGGCGAGCGGCACCACCACCCCAGCACAACCCTCCCGGTCAGGTGCCACGTCGCCGGCCCCGTCGTCGACGTCGCACAGCCGGACGCACCAGATACCCATCCGCCCCGCCCTGACGGACAAGTCGCACGAGGACATGACGGCCGCCGCCGCCGCGTCCGAGGGCGACCTGACCAAGGACGGCAAGAAGAAGGGCGGGCTCTCCAAGGAGCAGCGCGACCAGCTGGCGGCGCTGGAGAAGGAGCGCGCGCGCGTGCGGCAGGAGCGCGTGGACACGCTGGTGCGCAAGCTGGTGGACCGTCTGAGCGTGTGGACCGAGGCGGACAAGAGCGCCCAGGTGACGCGGTCGTTCCAGGAGCAGATGCGGCTCGAGGTGGAGAACCTCAAGATGGAGTCGTTCGGAATCGACATACTGCACGCCATCGGGCAGACGTACGTGTCGCGCGCCTCGGCTCTGCTGCGCAGCCAAAAGTTCCTCGGCTTGGGCGGCTTCTTCAGCCGCCTCCGCGACAAGGGCACCATGGTCAAGGACACGTGGAACACCATCAGCAGCGCCATCGACGCCCAGCAGACTATGGAGGACATGGCCCGCCGCGAGCAAGAGGGCGGCGAGGACTGGGACGACGAGAAGCGCGCCGAGTACGAGCGCCGCGTCACCGGAAAGATCCTCAACGCCGCCTGGAGGGGTTCCAAGTTTGAGATTCAGAGCGTCCTGCGCGACGTCTGCGACCAGGTTCTCTACGACAAGAAGGTTCCCCTTCCCAAGAGGTTGGAACGTGCTCAGGCTCTCGTTCTCGTCGGTGATATTTTCAGCAAGGTATCTACTATTACTCTCTCTCTCTCTCTCTCTCTCCCCACACACACAACACACACACACCCACACACCCACACACCCACATACACACCCACACCTCCCTCATAAATATCTGTTTTCCTCTTCCCCCTTTCCCCAACTCCCTTTCTTTAGAAGTTGCCGCTGACCGCATTCTTCCCCTCCCCACCCCACAGGCCGCCCGCTCTCCAGAAGAAGAAGGCGACTATCTCGTCTTCGAGCAGCTCGTAGCCGAGGCCGCCATAAAGAAGGACAAGAAGGAGGTGGACAAGAAGAAGAAGTCCAAGGACCACCACCACCATCATCAGCACTCTGAAAAGGAGTCGACGACACCTACTGAGAAGTAGAACTGACGGACTTTGTTCTAATCACACGTTTTACCTCTCTTTTTATACAACTTATTTGGGGTTTTTTCTTCTGTCTGGGAAAAGAGAGCAGAGGGGGGGGAGGGGGGGGAGATTTAAAAAAGGGAGAGGAGGGAAAAGAAGAAGTAGAAGAAGGGAAAAAAAAAAGACAAGTCTCGAATAGAAAGGATGGACCGTGCTTTTCTTGGATTTTTGGCTCAAGTTTTGCGTTACCTTTTTGTTTCTTCGTTTTTCTATCATGTCCGTTTGTGCGTTTTTGTGGTTTCCATGCCATCGTCGTCGTCATCGTCGCTGTTTTCTTTCTTTTCTCTTCTTTTTCGTTTTAGCCTACTATTACTCCATTTATATCCAACCCTTCAACATGCGTCTCTGATTTACGAGCAATATGTTCAAGATGGCAGATATATTTCAAGAGATGTGTGTGCGGGTGTGCGTGTGTGTTGTAAAAGTAAATAACTCGAGTAATATGAAGACGGATCGCCATAGAAAGGAGAAAGGACGGACAGTAGAGCGAAAGAAAATGCGGTATAATATATGTACATTGTAAATGCAAGCACGTGTTGGGCTTTTTTTGTAAGCAAAGGCGGGGGGGTATCTTGTATCATACAAAAGAAGCAGATATGCAGGACATGAAGGGAGAAGAGGGATGAGGGAAAAAAACAAAAAGGAGTAATGAATGTCCAAAAAGACTGACGGGGAAAGGAAAATGCAAAGATAAGCTGGACATGGTAAGCGTTCTGCTGAATAAAAAGTGACTGAAGAAAAAAAGAGAGAGAAAAAATATTGCTTGCTAGGAAATGGCAATGAAGAAAAAAGGAAAAAAAGGAAATGGCATAGAGAAGGAAGAGATGGTGGTGGTATATATGGAAAAAAAAAAGAGTAAGAAAGGAAAAAAAGAGAAGAGGGAGAGAGAAGGAGGAAGAAAGGTAAGAAAGAGAGGGAGGGAGAGGGAAAGAAGAAAAGAGAGGAGAGAGAAGAGGGAAAGGGAAAGAAGATCGATGATAAGAGAAGAATAGGAAGAAGGGGAAGAAGAAAGAAGTAGAAAGAGAGAGAGAGAGAGAAATAAATCAGGCATCGACAGGCAACTCGACACCACTATCACGATCAGGAGGCGTCTTCTCAGCAGCAGGTATATGCACCGTGGAAGCATCATCACCAGGAGGCGACGACGCATCATCGTCGACATCGGCGTCAACATCAGCATCAACGTAGACGTCGGCATCATCGTCCGGTGGGGGTAGGATGTGCCCTCCCAGCTCGACATCCGACACCCTGACGTGGTACCGCAGCGCCCTGTTACCTTCCTTGATGAGGACCTCTGTCCAGTCGAGGCAGCGCTTGATGCTGGTGTTGAGCCTCTGGCTGTCGACGAGGAGCTCCTGGTGCTTCGACAGGTCGAGCTGGAGGCGCATCTCGTCCCTCTTACGCCTGGCGGCCATGTGCGCCTCTTCGTCCGCGCGGCCGTCCGCGGACTCGCCGTCGTCCATAGAGCGGTCGTCGTCTGAGGGGGACAGGTCGGACCCGTGCAGGGAGAGGGACCGGTCGATGTCGAGCGTCTCGTCGGCCTCGGACAGATCTGATAGGTCGGTCGGGGGCTCGGTCAGGGCCGCCGACGTGACCCGGCTGGACACGGCCGATAGTCGGCCGGAGCGGGACAGGCGACGGTACCGACGGAGCTCGGCCGTCTGCCGACGCAGCTGGCGCTCCAGGGTGCGGTTGATGGCCTCGAGGGAGGCGTTGCGGATCTCCAGGTCCTGCACCTTGCGCTCGCGACGCGCGTTGGCCACCAGCTCGCTCACCGCGTCGTTGCTCGAGTGCGCCGACTTGGTCGGGCTCTGCGTCCCGGACGGGATCACGTCGCCGTCGCTCGGGCCCTCTTCCGCGTTGCTGTCGGCCCCCGCGTCCCCGTGCCTGACCGAGCCGTCTTCCCCGTCCTCGTCCTCGCCCCCCCCCTCTTCCAGGTCTTCGGCCGCCTGGAGGAGGGAGGCCATGCTCACGACCGGCTGGCTGAGGCCCGGGCTGAGGCCCGGGCTGAGAGGGGGCGAGGCCGAGAGCACCGAGCGGGGCGACTGCGGCGAATGGGGTGGCTGGAGCTGCTGCAGCGGCAGGGGGATGGCGTTCTGCTCGATGTTCGATATCATGCTGCCGTTGCGGCTCCTGGGACCGGCCGACGGGGACGACAGCTCCCGCGCCGGCCTCTCTACGCTGACGCGCCTCCTGATGCCGCCCACGTTGGCCGCGGGGGTCAGGTAAGGGGGAGACGTTGCCTGCGGGCGCGTGGCCGTCTGTGCCGACGACGCGGTCTGGAGAGACGGTGAGGCCGAGAGCGTCGACGCCGCCCTGACGGGCGATATCGGTCTCGACGTCGAGTTGGGCGCCCTAGAGCTGGCGGACAGGGTGGACGCAGACCCGGAGGTGTTCACCTGCTGCTGCTGCTGCTGCTGCTGCAGCGGCGGCGGCGGCGGCGGCGGCGACGGGCGTGAGGTGTAGTCGGGCTTGCCGTCGGCGTAGAAGAACTTTGTAGACGTGGGTGCCGGCGTGGCGGCGAGCACGGGGGTCAAGGATGGGTTGGGACTGCCGGTGGGGGGGCTGGTGGTCCTCCTGCCGTCGACGGGAAGCCCATTGGCGTGGAAGAAGTTGGAGGGTCTCTGGGGCACTGAGACGGGGCGTAACGGCTGCTGATGCTGCTGCGGCTCCCGCGGCGGGGGCTGGTGTGAGCTCGGTCGCGGGGCGGGAGCGGCACTGGCGTAGAAGAACTTGGCGTCTGGGCCGTCGGGCTGGCTCGTCAAGGATGCCGAGCTCGAGATGCCCAGTGCCGACCTGGACGACGACGAGGGCGTGTCGAAGCCGTGATCCGGCCTCGGGCCGCGGCGGGGGGCGATGCCTGGCGGGAAAGGGGACGGTGAGCAGGAGGTGGATCGGTCGTCCTTGCTGGCAGTCAATCTTCGGGGGCCCCCGTGGGGCGAGACGAGCGAGGGGGTCGGGGGCTTCGAAGATGCGGCCACCTTGGGGGTCAGGGGCGGTCGGTTGGCGGCTCTGAGGGAGGCGGCGCTGAGTTGGGGCTGACGGGGCCTGTTGTTGTTGCTGTTGCTGTTGCTGCTGCTGCTGCTGCTGTTGGTACTGTCACCGCTACCGGGGGCCATGTTGCGGGAGAATGGACCCGGTACAGACGACTTCATGGGACGCGTGGTGACGATGCGGGGGATTATTGGCGCTGGAGGAGGAGTAGGAGGAGTAGGACGAGAAGTGGATGCAGTATTATCAGGTGTGGAAGTGGCGGTTATGGTGGTCGGTGACGGCTTCTGCTGCTGCTTCTTCCTGATCAACCGCTGTGCATTGTGTTGGTTGGGATCTCGCTTCAGGAGGAGAGGTTGACGAGGTAGGGCTGTAGCTGTAGCTGTTGTGGTGGTGGCAGCTGTGGATGTGGATGTGGATGTGGATGTGGTGGGCGTAGCGGGAGATGAGGACGGGTCGGGCCCAGTTGTCGGTGCCGGCGGTGTCTTTCTCAGTCTGCTGGTGCTGGCGGAGGATCTCAGAGCTTGCTTTGCTGAGACGGCGGAGGCTGGAGATGTCTTGGAGGGGTGTCTGTGTCTTGAAGACGGCGAGGATTGCTCGTTGGGGTCTAGGGAGCGCATGTCGCCACGACCTTGTGGACGTTTGCTATTGATCCGGTTTGCTGTCGTGATTGTTGGATTGAGCTGGAAGGTGGTGACTGTGAGGTGTGAGACAGTCCTCCTAGCGCTTTCCAGTGCTGGTGGTGCGGCTGGTACGGATTAGTGCTGCTGCCGTCTCCAGGGGCCGATGTCACTGTATTTACCAAATTTACAGCGGGGAATAGTAAGATGCCGAACGGAGGGTGGGGCTGAGCCTATGCTCGTATGCCCACGTATGAACAGCACACACACACACACACACAAACACACACACACACAAAAAAAAAAACACACGGACAGGGACAAAAAGACACAGAAGGGGGGGGGGGGGAAGAAACACCACGCACACGAATACATGCGTACAATGAGAAGAATGCAATTCCATCCTGCATGTAGAGGGATGTTAGTTTATGCAGTTAACACTTGGTCTGTTTATGCACTACACACAGACACTACACACAGACACTACACACAGACACTACACACAGACACACACACACACACAGATACACACACGCACACACACACACACACACATGAGTCCCTACATTCTCCCCTTCAACAAGCAAATACGAGCTCTTGTACGGGATCACCGCTTTTGAATCAGACGTCGGTATGGGTCTAGTCTACGAGTAGTCTCCAGGTCTCGAGTGTCCCAAGACTGCTTCTTCACATGATGCATGCCGATGCCATCAAACGTAGATGGACAAGGTAAATGCATGTTCAATCATGATCACCCAGATCCAACCGTGAGGAACCCGACGGAGAATCAGTACCCGGGGAACCAACGGTATTAAATCAATGGTATTCATTGTACAATCGCATGATAATCTGTACAGATTACAACCTACGAGAATGATTTCCCTCCTCTTCCGTCGTACCTATCATCATCATCATCATTACGTCGTAATCCATAGGACTCGTAGTATTATCAGCGCTCGTACTAGACTCTGCTAGCAATATCAACCCGTATTATTATATGTAATCCGTATATGTATAATCTGTTAATCTGTATTGCTCTGTATGTATGTGCGGATTTATGTATATAGTAATAACTCTGCTACTCCATAATCTAGATGTACGGATTATATGAGGATGTGTACAGATTATAACCTGTACAGATTAATCTGTTCTGTATGTATTAATTATCACTCGGATGTATGGCTACCCCATGTCATACGGAGTATTATCATTTAATTGATACCTTCCAGGCCCATACGGAGTAGAGATTAGTGCGGTTCATCTTTCCCCTGAACAATAACAGCCTGAATAACGGCCGTAACCAGGTCAGCAATTCTAATTCTGGAATTCTGCCGAATCCCCAAACCCCCCCCCCCACGAATAACTCCCACCATCACCACCAACCACCACCACCAGCCACCACCAACCACAGGCACGTTAGTCACCCCCTGGTCATCAATCCACCACGGACCAAACACGCACGCAGCCACCACAACCCCACCATACCCAACCCGTACCGACATCATGATCCTTCACCCGCTCTTCAAACCTCCACACCTTTGATCCTCCCAAGACATCTCAACCATGGGCTGGCTACCGGATAGTCTCGCCCGCCTCCGAGCCGGTCTAGTCGGCGAGTCGCAGTCGTCACCATCATCAACCCCAACCCCTCCCCCTCCCCCAGTCCTTCTAGAACCGACCGAACAAGACGAGGAAGACGAAGATGAGCAGGCAACGCCGAGAGCCTCTGCCACGCCGTCCAACGTCCCCGTACCTAGCCTTTCCCTATCCGCCGACAGTGGCAAGAGCAGCGACGACGACGACGACGACACATCAACCACCGCAGCGTCACCGCCGTCGTCGATGATGCCTCCGCCCCCTCCACCCCCTCCACGTCTACCGACCCTCTCGCCCAACCCGCGCCCACCCCCGCAGTTCCTGGGGCCCAACTCTGCCCAGCGCGCACGCGGCGGCGGCCCCGTGCCCAACCGGAATCCCATGTCTGGAGGTCCGGGAGGAGGCCTGGGAGGAGGTCTGGCCCCGCCGGTGACGCAGTCCCTCGCGGCCGCGGCGGAGACCAAGAAGAAGTCGAGCAAGAAGGTCATACTGGCCCCCGGCCGCTCCCCCCTCGACTGGGCGCGCATATCCGGGTCCCCGACGTCGGACCTGCGCGGCCTGCCCCCCTCGACGCCGTACCTGCGCGTCACGCCGTCCATGCTGAAGAGGCAGACCGGCCGCAAGGGCAAGGACGCCTGGACGGCCCTCAACGGTAAGGTCTACAACATCACGCCCTATGCCGAGTACCACCCCGCCGGCGTGGGAGAGCTGATGAGGGGCGCCGGCAGGGACGGCACCAAGCTGTTCGCCGATATACATCCCTGGGTCAACTATGAGAGCATGTTGGCCTCTTGCCTGGTCGGAATCCTGGTCGACGAGTCCGAGGGCAATCGGGAGAGCGAGATGGATAAGATGGATTGACACTCGTCTCTCCTTCATGATCCCGACATTTTTTTTATAACTACCCCATCAGCTTCTTTGGGATGGACTGCATTTGTCTTTGGATACATGCCGTGATTATATATATACAAGTTGTACAATGATAAGACACACAGGGAGAGAGAGATAGAGAGAGAGAGAGAGGAGGAGGAGAAGAAATGATACCCTTCTATTAGACCATTTCACCGCCTCTTGCCAAACCTAAACTTGAATTCGTCATCGCTGTCATCACTATCCGCCACCTCAATCACCTTCCGAGGCGCCGGTCGTTGTCTCTTGGCCGGGGGACCCTGCTGCTGCTCCGTCGACCCCGTTGCCGAGCGTTTACCGCCACTCCCCTGATTCGACTGCTGCGTCTGCCGTGTCTGTGGTGGTCGAGCAGCAGGCTGAGGCGCAGGATCTGGTTCGCCGTCGCCGTCGTCGTCGTCGTCGTCATCGTCATCATCACTATCCGAGGCGACCACGACCCCCCTCGTTGGACGTCGTGCTGCTGCTGGACCAGCAGCAGCAGCAGCAGCAGCAGCAGACGTTTGCGACGTGGTCTGACCCCTCCGGTTGTTGTTGCTGTTGCTGTTGCTGTTGCTGTTGCTGCCGCTACCCCCGGTGACGACGGTAGACGGTTCGTCCTCGAGCCAGTAGTCGTCTCCTACGCCGAACTCCTTAGCCTTGACCTCTGTCAGCTCGACAATGACCCGTGCTGGCTGCCTGCCCGCGACCTCGCCTCTGCGCCGGAATCTTTTGAAGTTCTTCATGCCGTTCCACCGCGGGTCCCACCGACCGTCGGCAATGTCCTGCTCGCGCGTTCGCGTCGCGCCCGCTGGCCGACGGACCTCCACCTCCTCGACAATGTTGAGACGGCGGATCTCGGAAAGGTCCACGTCGTCGGGGAGGTTGGCGAGGTCCTCCTTCTCCCTGCGAGCCCGCTCCTCTTCCTGCTGTCTGTTCTGCGCTACAGCCGCCATGATGTCGACTTCCTCCTTGGTCTTCTTCTTCTTGGGCTGCTGCTCTGCCCCAGCCTCCTCCGGTTCCGGTTGCGGTTCCGGGGAGGGAGAGGCGAATGCTTGGCCTTGTTCCATCCGCTGCCGCTTGAACCGTGCGGCCGCCGGGGCCATGCCATCCATGAGGTCGTCTCGGCCATGAGTGGACGCTTGGCGTTTCCTTCTCCGGCCGTCATCAGGCTCTTCTGTGGCATATGCCTCTTGCGGCGGTTCCTGCGATACAAACAGGCCACCTTCATCTGCCACGTCATTGCTGGTCTCCGGTTCCGGCGGCGGCGCCGATGCCGACGGAACATCTTCCATCTCCACCTCGGAGTCGTTGTCGAACCCGGCAAACCGCTTCCTGGCTGCTCTGCGACCCGCAGGTGGTCTCCGTGGCTGAGACGTTTCCCGAGCGGTGGTAGAAGGCGCCTGCTGCGGCACGCTGCCAGATTGCGCGTTGGGCTCGGACGATTCTACCTCCAGCGGCCGACGTAGAATCCCCGCATCCTTTGTGAGGATGGCCTCGAGAAACTCGCTCTGCTCGATGGGCCGGTGGTCCAGGCGTAGCGAGACGGCCCGGAAGAAATCCGTGTACCATGCCACCTGGGCACCCTTGGCCGGCACATACCTGACCAGTACCACCCCTTTACCCTCGCCGCCGTCCTCAAACGACCCGAGGCCCTTCTCCCCAGCTAGACTCTTGACAGCACGGACAAAGTCGTCGACTTCCGTCTCCTCCGGCACGACGGACTTGAGATGAGCCTTTGCGCCGCCGTCGGTGATTGGTCCAAGCAGGTTATTGAACTGGCTCTGATCGTAGAAGATGAAGGTGTAGCCCTCGAAGACGTTCCTGCGCCCCGAGTCGGGCGCGTACGTGGTATCGGGATGCTGCACTGGCTCTCCCCCGGGCGGGGGCAGGTGTTCCATCTCATCTGGCCAGTGGCGCTGAAAGTCCTGCTCGAGCAGGCTGGTGGGCACGCCGTTGCCGTCGCTGTCCAGCGGGGCGGCGGCCTGGACCACGGCGTCGAGAAAGGATTCGGTGACGATGTGCTTCCCGTTGATCAGGGCCTGCAGCCCCTTCGCCGTGTTGCGCTTCTTGGACACGACGTGCGTGGTCCACTTGGAGTGGTACTCGGTCAGGAGCTTGATGTCCAGCTGCTCGAACCGCTCCTGCAGCGTCGTGAAGGGTCGCGACTGCAGCTCCCTGCTCGTGAAGGAGAAGGTGAAGACCACGGGACGCCATGTCAACCTGCATCACCGCGACAAGTCAGCAGAGCGGGAAGCAGAACGTGGGGAAACGTAACGGGTCCAGGGGTTGGCGCCACCTAAATCTGGTCGGGCACTTGGCCATGACAAGCTCGGCCTCGGCACCTTTGACGACATGTTTCTCGCCCCTGATCTTGACTCCGTCGACAAAGGTCCCTATCTTCGTCGCCAGGTCCTCGATCGTCAGCCTCGGGCGGCTGGACGGACTGTGCGCGTGCCCTTGCTCGACCGGGTCGATCGTGATGGTCAGGTGTTTGCGGGAGATGGTGTTGTGGGAGATGGCAAGCTGGCCGGCTAGTATTCGGGTCACGGGGACCATGAGTCAGCGTAGCTCTTCCACAAGCTGTCCGATATCTTGGGTTGTTCCAATACGTACGCTCTGCCGTCGTGCGCCCAAAAAGATATGTCTTGCCCGGCCGTAGCCATAGACGCCGGCCTGGGGGAGGTGGCAAATGTCAAATCAGGCCAGATCATGACGCGACAAGCTCTTCCCTGTCAATCAACTCACCTCCAAAGGACCCGTCCGGACTCTCTAGAAACCACATTGCCGATACTCCTCTTGGAATGCAGTTGAGGCCAGGATGAGAGACGGTGCCATGACCCGATGATTGGGGGTGGTGACGCCTTAGCAGTCTTGACGAACAGGTGCGGCGGTTAGAAGCCTACCGGTATCATTAACTGATGGTAATACCTGTCGCGACGGGCTTTTGCGGGGCTGCGCTTACGCACACGCGTCCGACGCCAACTCACGTGTATGTGATGCCGCCAGTAGCAGTGTTATTAATCTGTACGCCGTATTGAGAATAAATGATGACTCCGTCAATCTATGACCATACTCCCCCGTACATACTACAGAGCGACATTCACAATTTCACCCGGCAGTCTTCAATTCACCCAACTGCGTCGGTATGTGGCTAGCAGTACAACAGGGCTGGCCATGTCATGTCGAAACGATATCTCTCAGCTAAAAGATCCGATTTGCGCAAATGACCAGACCGACGCTCTTGTACAGGTTTCTGCGGAAAAGATCACAAGTCTCTCAGCGGACAGGCCCCCCCTCTTCAAGCGAATGTAAGCGAGAACAACAGTCCCCCATATCTACTCTCTAGATATCTAGAGAGAACCGGTCTGTTACGGTCCTCTGCAAGCCTCACCCGATGCCTAGAGCTCTTTTCGAGATTCATACATCGACAGGGCCTGCTTGAGATATTAACCCGTAACAATATTTTAGCGCATTGGGTGGGTGGGCTATGAATGAATCATCTAATGTGCTACCGGTACAAGGGTTATTCCGACCCGACTCGAGCCCACACCGGTACCCGTCTCACCAAGCATCCTACGGAGACACGGGGTGTGAAGATATATAGATAACGGTGATAGGGTCTGTCCATCAGCACATGCGACTATAGCTGGTGGAACACGCGGGGTCCTGTCAAGCTCTAACCTACTGTTTGATATCCGCCTCTCATTCCAGCTGGCGAGTTGTCCTTTTTGTTGAAGAATTTTCTCATCATTCGCCTGAGAGTACCTCTCTTCTGCTTGTTGAAAAATCTGCTCATCATTCGGCTCAGAATACCTCCCTTCTGCTTCCCTCCCTTGGCAGAAGGGCCGCTGGGAAGCTGGCCACTGGAAAGCTGGTCAAAGGAAATGGCGTAGGCTCCAACGAGATTCTGGTTCAGATGGGCCTCCGCTCGCTCTGACATAAATGCACCCTGCCAGAGAAGTGCCCGTTGACGACGCCACGGAGCCAACTGCCTTTGCAGGCTGGGTATCTCCCTTCTATGGATCACGTCAGGAAAATCATGGGTGGTCTGGCGATGGATATGCGATACAGCCTGTCTCCAGAAGTCCGGCCTTTGGGTTTTCCAGGCGCTGCAGATATCCTTCCAATCATCTTCCGATCCTGTTGGGATCGAGAACGAGGTCAAACCAGGGGGAGCCGGTTGATTGGAACTGAAGCGGAACAAGAGAATACCACGGAATGTTGCGCCCCGCAGCTGAAACTCTTGGGCCAGTGTCGAAGCGTAGCCCAGAAATGGCGGGTCTTGGACGACTTCGTTTTGGTAGACGGCCCAGAGAAAGGCCCTAAGGGCGGAGAAGGAAGAATATATTCCACGAAATGGGCCCGCCGGGAATAGCTGGGATGTTACTCCACCTCGCCGGGTGAGCTTGGCAGGTATTGAGCTAATCTCATCCTCGACCGTTGCCGCTCCTTGACCCCCCCCCCCCCCCCGTAGATGGTATCCGATTCCTCGAAAAACTGGGGCCCCACCGGGGGTGGACGGTGTCCACGAACTCAGCGCTGAGGTGGATTCAAAGCGACATATTATGTTCTGGATGTCCGCGTTGGCCGCCCATGCTTCTTTCAGGGACCTGCCTTCGAGTCGAATCTGAGTAATAGGAGCGAGAGGCCCGGAAGCAATGTCTGCAGTGTTGAAGAGATCTGCAAAGACCGTGATATCTTTCTCGTATCCGAAGGTTTTGCGGATGACTTGATCACGGCAACAGTCCATGAGATGGCCAAATATCTCGTCGGCCCATCCGATAATGGTTGGAGTATTAGTAATTAGTCATGGAGAGAAATGTACGTTGTACGACTCTCAGCAGAAACGCACAGATTGGGGGGGAGGGGGGGAGGAGATAACGTACCGGGATCGGCATGGCAGGACAGCATTGTTTGGTTGTCTCGCGGGAGTAGAACATCGTTGGTTCATGCACGTAAATTCTGCGGGGAGCAGCGGCGAAGCGGTTTTACCCCTCCTTCTCCTTTGGTTGTGGGGGTTGTGGGGCTAGCAGTAATGATACTCGCGACACGCCCCATTTTTATCAGAAGTCGGTTGGCATGTGCGCCGTAGGACGGCCCTGGATGGGGGTGCTCTGACAAACTTGGCCCTACCCCCCCGACACCAAAACTGACCCTACATCCCCGTATTTTACTTGACCTGATGTCATAGAAAACTGTGCGTATATTAGGTAAGCCGAGCTCGACAATAAAACTATCGAGTCCGACGTCGCAGATAATATTAAACCAGCATAAGCAAGACTGTCACACAAAAGGAGGGGTGTTCGTCTCTTTTTGGTATGTCTTGTGGTATGCCGGTTGATGTGCTGATGTGCTGATGTGTTGATCTTGTATTTCTATGCTAGAAGGGACGGATCTGACGTTATCATACTCGAGTCCCGCTTACCTAAGCTATAGAGGAGGTAAACAACAAACACTCGTCGTATTGATTATAGACCTGGCGATAGCCATCCACCAAAGCACAGAAAACCGGACCCATTGCCTCCCCTACCGTAGATTCGACGTCATGTCTGATATGTTGCATGCTGTATCGAGCACGGATGAAGTTGACGTCCAGCGCGGTTGCCTATGTCCACGTCTCGATACTCACCCGAATAATGGCTCTGCCCCTTTGGCGAGAACGGCACAGAGAAGACCGCCACGGAGATTCCGCCGACAGCTTTGACAGCGGCGCCACCTGCCGCTTATCACTCCGGACATTTCTTGGTTCGTCTAGAGCTCGCTGTTGCCGCATCTGCAGGGCTTGTCGAGGCGGTAGACGCCATATCCGTGCGTCCACCAGCTGTAGCCGTTGTTGAACTTGAGCGGTCCGTCGGTCCACTCGATCGACAGTGTGTGCTTGCCCTTGGGCAGCATGAAGCTTCCGTGCGAGAAGCCCTTGGCGATGCAGGAGTCGCCGTCGGTGGTGCACGACAGCTTCTCGTTCTGGAACCCGTCCTCGTGCGTCTCGCCGATGACCTGGCCGTCGAGGGACACGGTCCAATGTTCAGCCTGGTACCAGCTGTCGGTTACGGTGAGGATGGTGTCCTCGTCGAGGTCGAGGGTTCGAGTCCACGGCCCGGGGTAGGTGTTGCCATCGTACTTGTGCTTGGCATCAAAGAGCCTGGTCCATTTGCGTCAGCTGAGAGATGTAATCGATGAGAGCAGGTGATCACCTCCTTCTTCTTCTCCTTCTCCTCTCCTGCTCTCGACATGCATCACGGTGAGGACCGAGGATGAGCCGTTGGAACCTACGTCTTGAAAACGGTCCATCCCTGGACCTGAGCTCCCCGGCAAGGCTTGTCATCGTCCTTGCTGCATGGGAACTTGGAAGCTGGCTTCTCGACCACGGTTCCGCCGGCGGCAGTCGTCGTGACCGTCGGGCCCGGGATGGGCTGCGACGTGACGGTGACAATCTTCTCCGGCGGGCAGACGGTGACCTCGATACCAGAGGTGACGGTCGGAATAATGGTAACTGCATGCACGTCCGTGTCTCTGTCAGCACTTCTGTCCCAGACGTTGGGGTCAGGCAGGCGATCGAGGGTCCGAATCCGTCCTACCGGTGGGATCCACGCCGACCAAGGGAGGCTCGTTGATGACGGTGATTTCGCTCGGACTGTGGCCGCTGGTGAGGGTACTGGTCTTGGTGTGCGTCTTAGTGGGGTCAGGCCCCCCAGGATAGACCACCTCGATGACAGGGCCGTTGATCTCGGTGTTGGAGGCGTCGGGGAAGTAGGTCTCTCCGGGAAGCATGGTGATCGTGTGCGTCTCCCTCGTCACATGGGTGCCGGTGGGGACAATCTAGGGACGGTGCGATATCAGCAAGGCACCGGTCCGGGATGTGCATACAGGCGGCTGAACTTTGGAGCACTCAGGCTTGGACTTACGATGACGGTGTGGGTGTAGCCCGGCTTGACGCATGTCGGGGTGATGGTCAGGGGCGTCGCGATAGGGATGAGCCCAGGCACAGACTCGGTCACTGTGGTTACCGTGGCTGCAGAAGCCATCCAGGCCAAAGTCAGCACCGCCTAGTGTGTATAGCTGTGCATTGCAATCTCGGTAGAAAGGGGCCGGCCAGTGCGGGTTCTCTTCTTACCGATACCCAGGTTCTCGCAGCTGATATGAGTCGCGCAGACTCCAGCGGCAAAGAACGGAATGTTGGTCGAGCTGGTGATCAGGGCAGGCGTAACCACGAGGTTTTGGCCGACGGCCTCGCCGACTGGAACCTGACGGAAACCCGCTTCCTGGGCAGCAGAGTTCCTGACCTGGGCCGCGAGGACCATGACTGTCAGGGAGCGCATGTGCATTGTCGAAGATTGATAGGTATCGTCAAGGGTAGAGGGTTGGCAGGCGCACGAAGTGAAATTGGACAGAGTAGAATCTTTCACTCTCCAATCGTCGGTATCCTTGGGACGCTGATGAGATGAGGAGAAAAGACGAGCTTGCCAACCCCCTGATTCCCAGATCAGGCAAGACCTTATATATACCGGACACGATGTCGATATAGCCAAGATTGAAGACTAAGAGCTTCAGTGCGATCTCGGCCAGTGTTCATAGTCTCCAGCGGATCTGGAAAAAAACTTTCATACATATTCCGCAACCGTCTGGTGGCGTCTCGACGGACTGAATTTGTTGACGTAGTCCATCCTGAAAGGATCGAGGACAGATAGGCGAGCATGGATGTCGATTGTTGACACATTAAACACATCCGGGGTCCCCGTCCGGCATCACCAGTAGCTCACCAAATATCAAGAGCCGGGGTCTATCTGATGATCCCACCCCTTCTCCCCCCCCACACACACACATTCAAATCTTAATCTCTTTTTCTCTCCTCCAGTTTTCTCGCTTCCATCACTCTCACGATAAGACAAGGCTTAAGACAGGGATTTCGAATTTGAAAACAGGGAACCAGAGTTCAACTGCTAGCATACATATACACACTGCATATATGTAACCTTGCGCCATCTCCCGATCCACACACGACGCAGCCGAGGGCCCACATGATGATCTGTTGCTCAGCTCAACTCACGGGGCCGATCCCTACTCCTATCGGTTCGGGAGATCAAGTTGACATTGCCGGGTCCACATTTGCCCGCGTCCCATAGACGAGGGAGGAGCCGAGACGGCAAGCCGGAACGGATTCTTCTCTGATGAGATACTTCGGCCTTGATAGCTCGAGAAAGCTCTGGGGAATGCTGCCGTGAACCTTGAGATGCTTTAGGGTTATGGCCTGGGACCCGAGATATTGCCTGCAGTGCTGATCTGCGATCTGTAGCGGCGGTACAGAGGGACATGAGGACATGAGACAGAAGCAGATGGCTCATCGAGGGCGATGCCTCTTTCATCTTGACAACTTTCCATGTACCTACGGCTGGCTGGCCTGATTGAAGATGTAGAATCTCCTACACAATGTAGCCCATGCCGGTATTTGTGTGTTTGCCTCCAGACGAACTTTCGTGTCCTTTTTTTTTTTTGATCTTTCCTTGTTCGTTGGCTTCCGTATCTTTGCTTTGGCTCTGTAGATGGACGGATCATTGAGACATATCGTCGGGCATGCCGTCGTAGCCAACGTCCATCAACCTGTCTATCTTTACGGTTGATGATCGGCGGCATGAGGAATAAAACATCCGCGAGGGTGGGAGAGCGTCAGACTAAAGGTTCGGCCGAGAGGCATTGTTAGCGAGAGAGCTATGTGTACGTATATAGGATTCTCTTGGTTGAATCATATGAGAGTGAGTGTCGTCATGTTCTTTTCCTGAACAGGAGGGTGGGGGTGGGGAGGGAGAGACATGGAGGGAATTGAAGTATATTAGCCTGGCTCTAGTTACGATCGAATAAGCCACCTGCAGACGGAGCAAGGTAGTTGTCGTGACCGACGTTGTCAGTGCCGGTACCACCACCATCTTCTTCGTCCCCGGTGCCCCCACTGCTTGGTGACGAAGCACTTGACCTCTGTGTTGATCTGGCCGTCGTTCCATGGTGGGGTCACCGCGGCCGGCATGGTTCAGGAGGTCCGTCTCGAGCCGGCTGATCTCGTCGACGAGGGCAGCACGATCGCTCTGGAGATTTTGAATGCACGGCCATTAGGTTCATCCTTCTGTGCCCCGAGGCCGCACAACCAGGCCTTCTTCTTCTGGCGGCACTTGAAGGCGGCTATCCTGCTGCGTTCGAGGTACTCTGTGCGCTCGATGTCGCCGTTGCCCGTCTCCGATCGACCTTGTCGTCATCCTCTGAGGCCTGACGATCCCTATTCCTAGATCGGCTGTTGCAGTTTCTCGACGCTGAAGTCCCAGACTCCTCTCCGTCCCGTTTCCGTCATGGAAGTGGCCTTCTCCGTGCCCGAGCTGTGTGCGTCATCCATCCGTGAGTCTTACCCTACCTCCTGCGTCCTCCATGTAAGGATGAGAAGGAGCTCCTCCCGTTGCAGAATCTAGCAGCTCAGCTCAACATGTTCAGCTTAGATTGGTGAAGGGAATGGATAAGAACCTATTGCCATGCTCTCTCTGTACTGCAAGCTTCGGCGTAATCCTAGGTTAGAAGATTATACCACCACCCATCTACATCTTCCATGGCCTTTAACTTTGGAGCTGGAATTGGAATGCTGGGAAGAGGAAGGCGACTGATCACCGATGCCTACGTGGCGCATCGTCCTTCACTTGATAGATACCTGATATGGTATTCCAGACGATCTCGGCTTAGGATCCCATCCATATCTAGAACAGACACCTCAACCGGCCTCTCAGACGGTCCCGCCAGAAGTTTCGTTCAAAGTCCGACCTCTCATCAACACGCCCTCCCCTTTTCTCCTCCGCAGACTGTGAGTTAGCGGGGCAGGAAATTGAGCTTGACCGGACCCCGTATTTCACCAGTTCTGGTGGTATATGGGCGGAGGAAGCACGAATACAGCATCGATGATGCTGTGTGCTCCGTACCTGGGGTTTCTTCGAGCCCATCGTACCATGTGCGTGATACTTTTGAACTCCACCTCTCCTCGGACCTCGGTCAGAAACGGCCAGCCGTATGTGACCGCACCAGCTCCATGTGCGTCCGACTCCGCCGGTGGACTACCTTACGCAGCGCATGTGCAATGCATATATAGATAGGCCTATAGCTAGCTAGGGTGATATATAATCCTTGTCATTATCCGAGGGAAGACGGAGAAACTGTCTATAAGCTACGTAGTGAATATGGGGTCAATCCGAGGGCCTGTGTGGACGCCTAGTTACCAGATGGTGTCTGGTACTCAGGATTTAGATCAAGTGAGCGTATATTCCATTCTCTTCCAGTACAGTCGACCCAGCTATGGTGATATGTAACGGACGTTATCTCCTCTCTCTAGGACCTGGGCTTGACCCCCCTGGTCTCCTCGATGCGCAGCACAGCCTTCTCGGCAGACAGTCCGCCTGCCTGGAGCAGGGCCAAGGCCTCCTCCAGGCCATCCAGCCCGTTCTCGACGGCCCGGTAGGGATGACCGCCGAACCAGCCCTCGGCCAAGCCGAGACCCAGGAAGGGGAAGAAGACGGCGCCGAATTCCCTGTCGCCCATCACGGCACCGGAAGCCTTAGCCTCGGCAGGGATGTCGGTGTAGACTGACTTGACGAGGGTGAAGAGGATCTCGGCGTGGCCCGAGTCCTCTCGACCGCCGACGACCATGTCGGGAGTGAGGACGGTGACGATCCGTCCACCGCTCGCCAGGGCCTTGTCGAGGTTGGCGATGCTGTCCTGTCCGGAGACGGCGTCGAATGCGAGCCTGACGTCGCCCCCGGCGGCGCCGCGCAGGCTCTGGACGACGCGGCGGTTGCCGGTGCGGTAGTCGACGATGGTGTCTCCCTTTGACCTGTCGATCAGGGTCTCGACAAAGGAAGCGCCGTTACCGGCCACGGCGACGATGGGGTGCACGTTGGACAGGACGGCGAGCTTGACGACGAAGGCCCCGACCGCGCTGGCGCCGCCGTACACTATGAGAGGTAGTCGGCTCGTGGCAGGTTTCCAGGGGAGGGGAAGGCCCAGCTCCTGATACATGCCGAGAGCAGCCGTCATGGAGGCTAGAGGTATGGTGGCGGCCTCTTCAGGGAGCGGCCTACATCAGCTACTCGGGATTTCTAGAGAAGAGAAGAAGAAGAAAGGGAAAGAGAAAGAAAAACCCCCCCCGGAAATCACCCCCCTTTCCTCTAATGTGATGGATGCAATAGAGGAGAAGGGAGAAAGGCGAAAGGCGGGGGGAAGGCAGGGTTTGACGTACCTTCGAAGCTGAGGTGCTCCGGGATATGGAAGGTCGACTTGGCGCCGGCGATGGAGAACTCGGCAAAGCTGCCGTGAGGGGCGTTCATCTCGTGGAAGGCGGCGACACGATCCCCCGGCCTGAAGTTGGCGACACCGGGGCCGACAGAGTCGATGGAGCCGGCAACGTCATCGCCGTGGTTGAAAGGTCCCACCTCGGGGGTCCAGTGCATGGGCTGCTTCCAATCCTTGGGGTTGGTGCCGGCGACGACGGTGCGGATCAAGACCTCGCCGGCGCCGGGGGTGGGCACGGGCACGTCGCGGATCTCGACGCTCAGAGACTTATCGTAGAATGCTGACTTCATGATTTCGAGGGCTTGTTTGCTTGATAATCTTCACGATGTATTTGCTGGTTCGAATGGGCTGTCGAACAGATCTGGAAATCTGCCAGAGTGGAACGTAGGCTTCCTTTTCATACTTCATCTTGTGCTTCTTCACTTCCTTTGAAGAGCAGTGGTGGTATGATCCCCCTCCCCCCAGATCATACAAGGCGTTCCGTCAGTGACATATCAGGACGAAGGCTTTGGACCATGGATGGCTAGTGGAAGCTTGCGGTATGCAAACCATACGCATATGCACTTCATACGCTCCGTGTACAAGACACACACACACGTATAAGTGAATTTCCAAAAGGGGAAATTGACCTTTGACGTGTGTTCCAGAGTCTTTTGTAATAAAAACATCTCCATATGATGATGTAATACTACCCTAAACTCTCCGACCAATTAGATATTATTAGATATTCGAAGGGGGAGCTCAGGACCAAAGTGGGCGGCCCAGTTCTCAGTCGGCAGAGATTTTGTCATCATACCCTCCTTATCATTCTCGACTTCCTGAATTCCCCACAATAATATGTCATGATGCGGCTCCGTAGCGAGAGAGAGAGAAAGGAAGGTTAATTATCCATCAATGTACGGCTCCGCACATGGCCGGTACCGCTTCCGCATTACCTCGCGTTCCGGAAGCTCGGCTGCCGACTTCGGGTTGGCAGGGTTTGCATGGGCATCGGGACTTATCACATGTCACTCGTCTCCGTGCTACCATTCAGGACATGTACACGTGAGACTTTGGAAGACATCATCGTGTCACACGTCTATACTCGTATACCTCATTGCTTTTCGTACCTTGAGTCTCGCTCATCGGTAGTCACTCTCCCATTGGCGGGGGTTTATATTTCCTCTTCAACCTGATATGTGTAGTACAAAAGAATAAAAAATAAAGATTCTAACGAAACCGCTTTTGTGGGTAAATGGCAGATATCCAAAACAGATGGAAAAGAAAAAGAGAAGGGAAAAGGTAGGGGGGGTGGGAGGAGTCAGACGCTTTTATCTTACTTCATTCTTTCTGGGCGGTGGAGTGTCCAAGCTGACCACCAAGTTTCAACAGGAGGGAGGGTGAGAGGTCGGAGATGATCACACCTTGTCGAGGCGCAGACAGTCCAGGAGCATCCTCTTCCTCCCAGCAGCCTGAGCCCTGGCACCCAGCTCATCGTCGTACGCCGTCTTCTCCTGATCGATCTGGTCGGGCTCCTGGCCGGTGAGGCGGCAGAGCTCGTCGGCCTCGCCAATCTTCCACCCACGCAGGACGGCGGTGCAGGCGGCGGCGGCGACGAAGCAGATGGCGACGTACAGCTGGGTGCCGAGGTAGCGGCCCGTCCCGGCGACGATCTGCAGCGCGATGGGCTCGCTAAAGACGCAGGGCAGGACGATGGTGAGCCACATGACGTTGAGGCCGGAGGCGACGTGTCGCAGGCCGACGACCTCTGCGGTGACGGGGGCTACGGTGACCCAGAAGGTGCCGGCGACGGCGCCGCCCAGGAGGGCGAAGGCGACGAGGGTGCCGTAGGCGGTGGCGGGGATCCAGACGGCGAGGGCGGAGACGGCGGCGAGGAGGGTCGTGAGGGCGGCCATGCCGATGCGGCCGGTGCGGTCGCTGAAGTAGCCGATGAGCGGGCGGCCGAGGGCCTGGCCGAGGTTGAAGACGGCGCTGACGGTGGCGGCCTGCGCGGCGCCCAGGCCGATCTCGTTGGCGTAGTTGGCCAGGCTGAAGATGAGGGTGACGTAGGCGAGCATGCTGAACCACCCGTACGCCAACAGGAGGACGTACTCGGGCCTGCGGAGGAGGGCGAGGTCGAAGGCCAGCTGGGAGGCCTTGATGACCCTGTTGCGGTCGCGCACGAGCAGGACGCACACCGCGTTGACCGCCAGGGCCAGCATGCCCAGGATGCGGAGGGCCCAGGCCGGGCCGAGCCGCTCGATCATGGCCCCCGCCGCGAGCGAGTAGACCAGGCCGCCCAGGCCGGACCCGGACGTCGCCACGCCGCTGGCCAGCGACCGCCGCGTGGTGAACCACTGCGGCACCACGGGCACCGACGGCACGAAGAGGAAGCCCATGCCCACGCCGAACAGGATGCCCTGCGTCAGGAACAGGTGCCAGATGCGCCGCGATAGGCTGGCCAGCACCAGGCTCGCCGCCTCCAGCACCACGCCCAGCATCATGGTCGGCTTCGTGCCGAGCTCGCGCACGCCCAGCGTCGCCAGCGGCGACACCAGGAGCGCGCACGCCAGGCTCAGGGACCCCACGAACGCGTACTCCAGCGGCGTCGTGCCCGGATACGTGTCCGTCGCCAGGTAGTGAGCCAGGAAGACGCCGTACGAAGAGTTGAGCCCCCACGTGTGCGCGTTGATGACGGCCACGCACGCCGTGCACACCCAGCCGTAGCCGCCGTTGGGCGGGGGCGGGGGCCGAGGGGGAGCGGCGGCGGCGGCTGTGTCGTCGTCCGTCTTGTCGGCGGCGGCTCCCCCATCTTCGAGGTCCTCGTCCCGTCCGTCCGCCACCGACGTCTGGTCTCGATCCTTGACTGCCATGATGGCTTCCCGCAAATTGACTGGACGTTTGCTTGCCAGAACTTCTGCCTCTCTCTCTCTCTCTCTCTCTTATCTTTCTCTTTCTAACCCTCCTCTCCTCGAATCACCAGATGAATGCGGTCTGTGTGAGTGGCGGTGACTGATGGAAAAAGATCTGGCTAAAAGAAAGGAGGATTGAGCCAGCGAGATGTCGTTAGAGAATATATCCGACCTTGGCCTTGCGTTTCCCGTGTAATCCACGCCCTTTCTCAACCTCCCTCGACCCTGACGAATGATGGTAGAGAAGAGCACACATAGAGATAGGGAAGAGAGGGAAAGATGGAGAGCGGGGGAAAAGGTGATGCTTTAGTCAGAAAAAAAATTTAAGAAAGGGTCGTGCCCCAACAAACTTGCAACCTGGTCCATGAAGAATTTCGCTTCTCTCTTTTTTCTTCCTGTTTTTTTCTCTTCTCTTCCTCTTCTACAATTTTTTTGGTTCTTCATGTGACTCCCGCCTGTCTTGCATATTGCTTCACGGGGACAGAAGAAGGATTAGATATACATGTTCTTATCTCGAACGTCTTCGTCATCCCGGGAATAAGCGGAGTCTACCTCAAGGTTGCATCAAGTGAGTATATGACTGTTTGAGCCGTCAAGCCCCTCTAGGCAGAGAGTCTCGGCAACTAGTGCGGAGTATTACATGATGTGTGGTAATCTTCTCTTCTTGGCATCTGTCCCGAACTCCCCGTATGTTGTTGTGGGTTGAACACTGATCTTGTGAGTTGGACGATGGTCACGACGATCTCTGTGCGATGCACCTAGGGGCCGAAGGAATCAACTGTCAGTGAAAAGAGAGAAGTAGAATCGATAATTGTCTAGAATATGTCATCTTGAGAGGCTGGCCGGTGGATGGGAAGAAAAAGTCCGGGAGACGAAATTTTTTTTTTTATTGTCGGGAGGTTTTACCCCGTCGACGGAAATTGCATCTGCAACCATCAGTCACGGTTGGGGGAGGGGGGCCGAAGAACCACGTACCTGCGGAGTACGAGTAGTACTGACATGTAACCTGTATAACGGAGCCTTATGTTCACCAGTATTAGGCTGCATGACGGACAGACAAGCGTAGCTTCGCATGCTCATACTCGTCTACACCAGCGACCAGCATGATGACACCAATACGTCAGATCGTGTACTCACTCAATCGCCATGTCCTATGCCAAACCGCATCAAAGAAAGATGAGTGAATAAGTGGCTCACATGTCCCTCTTTTTTTAATACAAAATAGTGGGGTATATCTGGCGTTGCGGGCTCCATCAAACAGAGTGGATGAAGCATATTAACCCCGAAAAAAAAAACCATTACAGTACCCCCCCCGTGTCCGAGATTAAGAGTACAAAAGAAATATAAACACCAAAGAAACCTGCTTCGTCCAATCAACCTCGACAATTGTCAAATCCATTCGTACATTACACTGCTCCGTCGTCGCGGGAAGGTAGAGAGGTTCTCAAGCAGCGCTGCGGTTGCGCTGAAGACGAAGTTCGCGGCCCTTGTCAGACCAGGGGAAGTGGATGACGGGGACGGAGTAGAAGGAGTTGCTGTGTATCGTCAGCATCGGCCTCTTCTCCAAACGAGCATCTCCCACACCACAAGAGAGGTGGTGGAATGAAGAGAGAGGAGGGAGCGAGAGGAGAGGAAAGAAACGTACCTGCTGTCCTGGATACCGGCAAGAGCATTATACCAGGCTAAGAAGGCGGCAAGGAAGCCAAAGAAGCCACCAGCCTTCTTGAGAGCTGTGCCGGTCTCGAACTTGCCCGCGTCGTTGGCGTAGTTCTCGCAGGCCAGCAAGAGAAAAGCGATGTCGAGGGTGAAGAAGAGGAGGAAGAAGGCGACGGTGGAGCGGAGGGTGCAGAGGAGCAGCAAGGTGGTGAAGATGAACCAGCCGGTCAGGAAGAAGCCGATGGGGTTGTAGACGTCGCCCTCGTACGGTCCTTCGGCTGCCGTGATGCCCCAGGCAGGGGTGAGCAGGATGGCGTAGGCGATCCAGAAGCCGCCATAGGAGGCGAGGGCCGTGGCGCCAAAGGTGTTGCCGCAAGGGATCTCCCTAGGAAGAGTTAGTATGATGCCTGCAACACTTTCCCCCTCTTCTTCGCTTTTTCCTCTCCTCTCCTCTTCTTTCGTCTTTCTCTTCTCCTCCCCCCCTTTGCAAGGTTCCCCCTTCCGTCTGTTCTCTTGCTACTCCTCCCCACTTCGCGAGGCTCGTACCATTACGTAAGAATCTCCAAAAAGGGAAGGGGGAGGGGGGGGGGGGAAGAGACATTGNAGTTAGTATGATGCCTGCAACACTTTCCCCCTCTTCTTCGCTTTTTCCTCTCCTCTCCTCTTCTTTCGTCTTTCTCTTCTCCTCCCCCCCTTTGCCCCCCCTTTGCAAGGTTCCCTTCTCTTGCTACTCCTCCCCACTTCGCGAGGCTCGTACCATTACGTAAGAATCTCCAAAAAGGGAAGGGGGAGGGGGGGGGGGGAAGAGACATTGGAAATGAGGGGGGAGATGACAAGACGAATGAGCGCGTGTCGAGGTGAGACTTACCACATGCCAGCAAGCAACTGGACCAATCCACCATAGGCATAAGCAAGAGGGACAACAATGTTGGGCTCCTTCACGCCCCTAGCCTCCATGTTGACGGCCGAAAGGACAAAGGTGGTCAGGGCGAAAGCGGAGAGTCCGAGGGGAGCCGGGTTGGCGAGCTTGCGGTGCTCGTAGGCCTTGAAGGCACCGGGCTGGAGGGCGCCACCCTGGGCCATGGTCCATCCTCTCTGGTCAGGGTGGGTGTGGAGGTGAGGGTTGTAGGGCGGAGAGTCATGGCGGGTCAGGTTGTTCTGGTCGGACGAGCCGTTGGCTCCCGTGTCCTTTTCGATGGGAATGTCGGACGACATTGTCTGGTCGTCTATGTCTTGCTGTTGTCGTTGTTGTCGATGTCGATGGGTAGTAGTGATAGCAGCAGCACACGCAAGCCGAAGTATCACTTGGGTGTGTAGGAAGATCAGCAGACGAGCTCGCTTCCTTCTCAAGCGTCGAACAGGTTCTCTGAATATTGGAAGGGGGGGAGGGGGTGAGAAAGAAGGGAAGGGACAGGAAGGAAGGGAAGAGAAGAGGAGCCCTTTTTCTAAGATCCGGGGTGGGAAGAGGTGACCAAGTTACTTTATGGTCTGACACAAGAAAAAAGACTGCAGAGGTAAAAATTAAAAAATATTAAACATATTAAAAAAAAACATTGAAAAAAAAACAGCTGCTGGATACGAGTGCGGAGTCGAAAGACATGGGGGGAGGATGCCATTGTGGTGTGCCAGTGTGGAGAGACCAGCAGGTGTGGATCAGAGAAGATGGGTCATCAGACACTTGGGTCGGGAAGGGGGGGGGGGATGGATGTACCGTACCGATGTTCTCATACATGTACGATACATGCACGAATCTCTACGGATGTTATCGCAGAGCGGAGTAGTTGGCACTAACGTACTCTGTACAGAGAGCACATGGACGGACAAGGATGTATCATAAGAGAGAGAAGAAAACCATCAAGGGCTGGACCTTGGGTTAGGGGAAGGAAGGGGGGGGGGGGGGGG